GCAGCCTGCATGAGCAGTTGTGCCTCATCTCGCACAAGCTGCGTGGCCCGCGGTAGAAAAAGACTGCGCAGGGCAAAGCTTCGTGGCCCGCGGGCCACCTGTATGCTTCGGCCAGCCCCGGGCCGCCTCAGCTAAGCTCGCCCCTATACAAGCAGCTTCGCAAGACAGCAGGGTAAAGCTGTCGCACAAGCACTAACGGACAGTTTTTTGCACGAAGCTCGCCCCTGCAAGCCGTGTCGGAAGAGAAAGACAGCGCAGGGCAAAGCTTCGTGGCCCGCGGGGCACCTGCGTGCTTCGGCCAGCCCCGGGCCGCCTCAGCTCAGCTCGCCCCTATACAAGCAGCTTCGCAAGACAGCAGGGCAAAGCTGTCGCACAAGTCAAGCACTAACGGACAGTTTTTTGCACGAAGCTCTGCAAGCCGTGTCGCAAGAGAAAGACAGCGCAGGGCAAAGCTTCGTGGCCCGCGGGCCACCTGCGTGCTTCGCACAGCCCCGGGCCGCCTCAGCTAAGCTCGCCCCTATACAAGCAGCCTACATGAGCAGTTGTGCCTCAGCTCGCACAAGCTGCGTGGCCCGCGGAAGAGAAAGACAGCGCAGGGCAAAGCTTCGTGGCCCGCGGGCCACCTGCGTGCTTCGGCCAGCCCCGGGCCGCCTCAGCTAAGCTCGCCCCTATACAAGCAGCTTCGCAAGACAGCAGGGCAAAGCTGTCGCACAAGCACTAACGGACAGTTTTTTGCACGAAGCTCGCCCCTGCTAGCCGTGTCGCAAGAGAAAGACAGCGCAGGGCAAAGCTTCGTGGCCCGCGGGCCACCTGCGTGCTTCGGCCAGCCCCGGGCCGCCTCAGCTCAGCTCGCCCCTATACAAGCAGCTTTGCAAGACAGCAGGGCAAAGCTGTCGCACAAGCACTAACGGACAGTTTTTTGCACGAAGCTCGCCCCTGCAAGCCGTGTCGGAAGAGAAAGACAGCGCAGGGCAAAGCTTCGTGGCCCGCGGGCCACCTGCGTGCTTCGCACAGCCCCGGGCCGCCTCAGCTAAGCTCGCCCCTATACAAGCAGCCTACATGAGCAGTTGTGCCTCAGCTCGCACAAGCTGCGTGGCCCGCGGTAGAAAAAGACTGCGCAGGGCAAAGCTTCGTGGCCCGCGGGCCACCTGTATGCTTCGGCCAGCCCCGGGCCGCCTCAGGTAAGCTCGCCCCTATACAAGCAGCTTCGCAAGACAGCAGGGCAAAGCTGTCGCACAAGCGCTGACGGACAGTTTTTTCCACGAAGCTCGCCCCTGCAAGCCGTGTCGGAAGAGAAAGACAGCGCAGGGCAAAGCTTCGTGGCCCGCGGGCCACCTGCGTACTTCGGCCAGCCCCGGGCCGCCTCAGCTAAGCTCGCCCCTATACAAGCAGCTTCGCAAGACAGCAGGGCAAAGCTGTCGCACAAGCACTAACGGACAGTTTTTTGCACGAAGCTCGCCCCTGCAAGCCGTGTCGCAAGAGAAAGACAGCGCAGGGCAAAGCTTCGTGGCCCTCTGCGAACCATGTTCGTCTCTGCAAGCTCTTGCGCGAAGAAGAAAAACTCCGCCGAGCAGTTGGATCCAGCGCCGCGGCAAGGTTAACAGCCTGGCCGGCCTGAGCTCGCGCCGACGCGATTCGATGCTTTGCCGTCCACGATTTGGCCTTGCGTTGTCCTCGATTCAGACCTCGCATCGAACTCGATTCGGCCCGAGTCTGCGCTCGATTCATCGCACCCGATTCGGCCAACAACCCAAACCATAGGGGGTGGTGAAACTAGGAACCCTGAAAGGAAACCAAATCGGAATGGTTTATCAATAGGTAATAGGGGTCATTCCAACTCATTCCCTGAGCACCAGCAAGCACACTCACGCGCCTAGGCGAATGATTATTGTTTCGAGGTCAAGTTCCTTCCATTCGAAGATCAGATGAATCAGATGAAGCTACTGTGGATGGACGAAATCCTGCACCACCTAAAATACCCTGCAGGTGATGCTTTCCCTGTAGATACCGTAGCAAACGTTCTGGTTTGCTATGGTTTCACACTGGTGCGAGAAGCGGATTTCGCAACCACCCACAGTACCGGCTCGTACGTCCCCCCCTTCAGTTGAGATAAAAGCACCTGGACCCCTGGCAAAAGGATCAATGAAGGTCAAGTTCCTTCCATGCGAAGATCGGATGAAGCTATGTTCAGCGAACTTCTCACCAGGTTCCAAGTTCCGGTCACAGGTACTCGCCCTTCACAGCTCCCAACGCGGAGTGCACCGGCAGCGGCGCCGGCAGATCTGCAGGCCAAAACAACGGGTTCCGGATCGGTGAATTCGGGGTCCGTTTGGGTGGGTTATCCCTATATTTGTCGTATTGATTTACCATGTGGTGCGTGTTTTGTTTGTTTGTTTGTTTGTTTGTTTGTTTGTTTGTTTGTTTGTTTGTTTGTTTGTCTGTTTGTGCTTGCTTGTTTGCTTGTTTGCTTGCTTGCTTGCTTGCTTGCTTGCTTGCTTGCTTGCTTGCTTGCTTGTTTGCTCGTTTGTTTTTTTGTTTGTGTGGTTGGTTGGCTGTTTGGGGGAGCCTCCTGGTCAATTGCTATTTTGTCTTTTTGTTTGGGGCAACTTTCGCGTTCTCCCAACAGCGACAGCTGTGGTGCTCTAGCCAATCCTGGGCGGGGCAGTTCAGAAAGCTCTTATGGCTTATTGCTTCCTTTTTGAGGCAAACTAGGTCCCCCCCCCCCCCAGTTTTTTTTTGTTATAGACTACAGAAAAAAAGGGCACCCTTAGTCTAAGCTCTCTACTGGAGGACCTAGCAAAATCAAAGCAGGCATTGCATCATGCCGACCCGAATGTGAGACAAATCCATTTTGGATGAAAGTCCACCTCCCGATCGATCAAAAAGTCCGCACTACTGCTCTTGTTTCGCGGCGGTTGCCGGATGAGTCCAAAGTCAATCTGAACTGCAGAATGCTCCGATTGATTGGTGTTCACCAAGGTTTGGACCCTTCCAAACGGATTAATTAAAGCATCCCCTTAAGAAGCCGCCGCCTTTTTGGGGCCAACATGATTTTGAGAAGACTTGCCAGCACCCGAGATGCCAGACTCGGGACTACCCTTGGATCACCCCCTCGATCCGAAAATTCCGTCCGAATCGTTCTGTTTGTTTTCAATGGCGAGATCGGTTGGAGGTAACAAGCTCTCACCATGATTCAAGTCTATCACTTGGCAATCCAAAGCCTGCGTGAGGTCTTGGAAGTATTGTAGACTGTGCAAATCTGTCTGGCCTTTGGTTTCCTAGCTTGAAGCCATGCTTTGGACATGACAACGTAACCCCATACAAAAGAACCATAGTCTTCCAAGATGTGTACTTCCATCTTTGGTGGTACAGTGGTACCCAGAAGACAGTGACAGGAGCCCAAAGGGTCACTCGGTACCTTGTAAACATGCACTGTGAACCCCGGAGTACGCCGAACCCCTCGTTGATTAGTAGGATGGTGTCCCCTCTAGTGGGGGTTCATCACTTTTGGAGGGGAACCCCTATTGTCTTAGGACAGGTTTATTAATGCGGGTCAACATTTAGGGGCCAAATTCGGGGGGGTCGTTTGGCACATCACAAGGTATGACGGGGATTTTCGAGCATTCCGTCCGATTTTTGCGTGCCAGGCGTCTCCTTGCTGCTCTTGTCTGGAACTTGGCCAAGAGAGGGTGGCTAGGTCCTCCAGTAGAGAGCTTAGAATAAGGGTGCCAACTTTTTCTGTAGGCCATCTTTAGTAGGGGAACCCTCCCAACCAAAAAAGGGGTGAGAAAGGGCGGCACTGCTGGGGGAGGTAAACACTCGAGTGGCCCAGGCCGGCGGCGGTGCTCCTTTTTCCCTTTTTGGAGGGGGGTTGCCCTTGGAAAATAAAGCAGAGTTGGGTGCACCAATGGGCGCGCCTTGCGCAGCGCCTTGTTGGTTTAGTCAATCCTTACCCACGCAAAGAGGAGTTGTGCCATCGGTTTTTACCCTTCTTGCCCTTCCATGGGTACTGGACGTGGGATGCCGGATGCTCTTGAGCGGGCAGCTTGTACAGGGGACCTGTTCTAACAACACGTGGATTGGGATCTTTGGGTCTTATCTATATGGCTGTGGTGGTCAAACCCAGTGGGATCCCATTTTGGTTGGTAGGTGCACCACCCATTTTAGGCCTTATTTTAGTGGGGATTGGGATGTTCACTGGGGGTACGGGATTTTGACCCATGGCCATATACTACCGGACACTCAATCAGACTATCGGAGAAACCGCGCACAAGGCTTAGTATGAAGATACCCTCCTTAGAACATCTGGTGATCTGAGAAGTGTTTGCTTGAGGGTACCTCTCTTTGGAGTGGTTCAAAGGAACACAAACAGGAACGAACCACTAGACTATATTATTATTATTATTATTATTATTATTATGTTTATTATTATTATTAATATTATTAATATTATTAATATTATTATTATTATTATTATTATTATTATTATTATTATTATTATTATTATTATTATTTTTATTATTATTATTATTATTATTATTATGTATTATATATATATATATTTGGGGGGGCTATTTTACGACAACCAAGCCGAAACTTCCATTTGCTTAAGAATATTGTTTCCCCTGTTGGTCTTAAAGGGAATCTTTCACTCCTGGACATATTTTCTCATTTTTTCCAGGGGTCTTAACCAAATGGAAGTAAAGGCTCCGGGGATCTTTGTTCCAGGCAAATGGCTGTGGGTCAAAACCAGTGGTACCATTTTGGGGTAGGTGAATTCACCACCCCCTGGGGGCTTAAGCAAATGGAAGAGGTTGTAAAGCTGCCATTTCGAGTCGAGGGGGGCGCCTCCACTCTCAGGTTAGGCCTCGCCGGCTTCAGCACTGGCATGGGCCCCCGGCGGCAGAAAGTGGCAGGTGAAAACTGGGCCTTGTCGAACCGGCGGCAGAAAGTGGGTCAACCGGACCACAGCTAGGTCCCCCAGTGCCCTTCAATCCCCTTTTTTGGGGACGGGTTCCCCTACTAAAATAGCCTACTGAACAAAGTTGGTACCCTTATTCTAACCTCTCTACTGGACCTAGCCCATGAATGGGTTGTTGCCAAAAACCACAGTGCCCTTAGTCAGAAAAAGAAAACGGTACCAACTTATTCTAAGCTCAAAGTACTGGAGGACCGGACATGCTGAAGCCGAGAGGTTTTGGAACACTACCGTAAGGATCCCCCGCCCGCCCAGCTGTGCTGCCTGAAAGCCCCTGATTTTTTTGACCCGACAGCGTCATTATCACCTGCAAAGTCCACATGAGTTCCGTTAAACCCCCCCTAGTTGAGGACTAGTATTGCAGCGACCCAGGTTTTTGACACACGCAGCGAAATGAGGCCGCCCCGCCTCTGAATCAACTTGATAGCGTGGAGCCCGCCAATAGCAGAATAAGTGGGAACGACATCTGAAACGACATCCGAAGCGACATCCCAGCGGCAGTAATCCCTTCTTCATACTTTGCGTGCTACGTATTTCCTGACAAGTTGCGACTTTCCAGCCGGAGCTGCCGGAGCGGAGTTTGCGCGCTACGCTTGTATTGAAAAGTTGCGGCTTTCCAGCCGGAGCTGCCGGAGAGCGCACTTCGCGTACTACACTTGTACTAAAAAGTTGCGACTTTCCGGAGCTCGCGGAGCACACTTCGCGTACTACGCTTGTACTTAAAAGTTGCGACTTTGCAGCCGGAGCTGCCGGAGCACACTTCGCGCACTACACTGGTACTGAAAAGTTGCGACTTTCTAGGCGGAGCTGCCTACTACGCTTGTACTGAAAAGTTGCGACTTTCCAGCCGGAGTTTGATGGCCGCGTTGCCTGCGCACGCTTGCCCGTGCATGTTTGACATGTTGCCTTGCAAGATGCCGTTGTCTGTACATCCTGCAGTTTTTTCCCACTGTTCATGCCGAGCCAGAACGACATCAGAACGACATCCACTTGCTTGTCCCACCCAGCAAATGCAGGTAGTTTCCCAAAGTGTATTTCCTGTACTACACTTTGTACCGAAAAGTTGCGACTGTCAGCCGGAGCTGCCAAAGTGTCTTTCCTTTACTACACTTGTACTGAAAAGTTGCGACACCCCGGTTCCATCCTCTTGGTGCCGAGTCCGTGCTGAGGAGACCTGCGGCCAGGGCGATCTGGCCTTCTGCTGGGACTGCTCGCTGTGGCCATGAGCCTGCAAGGCGCGTGGTTTGAGAAACATCTTTTGCCCGATGGTTGCGAAAGAAACCAGGAAAGAAACCCATAAGAGACCTTTGTTGCATTTTGCTTGGATGTTAGGACTTTAACTTTTTGCCAACTAATGGGTTTTCCACTAAGCCACTAAAAGTTAAACTTTTCGCAGGCGAGCAGAAAGCAACCGAGAAACCATGGGAAATGTACCTAAGAAACTCAAGAAACCCCGTATGGACCTAAAACATCCACAGGGCTACCCATGAATGGCGCAAAACTCCTCCCTTGCAGCACCACAAAGCGAAACCCATGGGAAATATTCCCAAGAAACCCAAGACACTTTGGGTTTTTTGTTGCCTAAACGCAAGAAACCCCGTATGGACCTACTGTGGATGGACGAAATCCTGCAACACCTAAGAAACCCTGGGGTGACGCTTCACGTGTAAATACCACCAAACCATGGTTTCCCATGGTTTCAAAGTGGTGCAGGATTTCGTCCACCCACAGTACTACCTAATCTACCTTGGTCCACAGGGCTGCAACATAGCGCTTTCTTGTCCTGCGAGTGGGGAATGGACCTTCTCCGGGTGTTGGGTGAACCGGAAGCGGATTCCCGAAGAAAGTTATGACGGCGGTTGGGAATGAACCTAGGAACTCTGAGGGAAACCATGGAGAATGGCTTGTGTGGTTGAATGGACCCGATGCGGAGCAGACACGTGTCCATCTGATACCAAACATGTGTTTTCCTGGAACACACACACGTGTCCAGTTCGAACATGTGGACCGGTTTTGGGGGGGGGGATTCCCGAAGAAAGGAAGCAGCAAGCATGGATGGTGAAAAAATGTGGGGTCATTCCCACTCCTTCCCCGCGGGAACCAGCAAGTAGTTTGTGAGGTAATGCTCACTTGCATCCAAAACGAATTGACTATTGGACCTTCGGCTCCCGCTTTTGGATTCCCATTTTTAGTCACCCCAAAAGGTGAACCATGTATTGTGGTTGTCCTTCGGACAATCAAACATGTGATTCGACAGGCCAAACAGTGGTTGCTTTGCTTTCTTGGAGCGAATTGCTGTATTAGCCTCACGACATCGTTGGTTCCGATGCGGTGATTTCTATTGCGATTGTGCTTCAAAACCTGCGCTTCAATGTGTAGATTGACGGGAAATGGACTGCTGTCACCGATCTTAGTCCCAACTCTTGCGGGAAGCAGCAAGAACAGTTCCAGAGGGACTTTCGCGATCATCTGCAGAGCATGAAGAAGATATGTTTGTTCAGTGATCAAGAAGTGACATGAAGATATGTTTGTTCAGTGATCATGAAGATCCATTTGTTTAGTGATGAAGTGTTCATGACGGCTACCATTTTCCCTCTGCCTCTCCCAAACCCCCCCCCCCCTCCCCCCCACCCACCCGCGCAGGGTCCAGGATACCCCGATCTTGGTCATAACGACCCCGATCTTGGTGTGCGACCCTTGTTAGGACCCAGCTGGGTGTCACACAAAGGAGTGCCTGGAGGGAAACGTCATGGACACATCAGCAGACATGTTTGCCTCTAGGGTTCGGCATTTCCCCAACCATAGTTTGTAGACAAAATCTGCTTCGCACCAGTTGGGATGAATGACACCCCTATGAATGGGATAAACCGCCTACTGGTCCTTTCGCTGAGGAATTTCCTGCCGGTTTCTGGTGAGGATTTTGTCCACAACATCTTCCAAAAGTCTGGCAGCATGCCCAGCAAGAGGGGAGTTCGTTTTCATTGGTTGGGGTGAAGGGGGGGGACCCGGAACACGCCCCCACATTCCCGATGATAGGCCCTCCTAGTTTGGCACATTCATCTTGTACACTCACCACATGCTGTGTTTGTACAGGCGTTTTGTGCGGCTGTTGACCCGTGCTTCCGACTTGGGGGTCACTTATAGGCTGAAACCTGTCAACACCGCGCACTGTTCGGAATCTGAATGTTTTCCGCCACCTGCAAAGCCCCATTTCCAGATGAAAAAGGATATGACTGCCATATGATTGCCATAGCCATTTGAAGATCTTCCCGATTTTTGAGGCTCGTGCTTTGAGGCTCGTCTCTTGAGCTGTGTTTTTGTTTCCTTTTATTGCGCCAGGATAAAGAAACACAGATCATGTTGGAAGGGGCCTGACTACTTAGGTGTGCCCCTTGCTGGGTTGGAAAGCGCTTCAAAATCGGGTGCCCCCGAAATGGCGGAAGTTCCTTTAGTCACTCTTTTGGATTTAAGTCATTCAAGTGGTAAGCAAAAAGTGCGGATTAATACTTTTCTTGGCCCATCCACACGTTCGGAAGTGAGACCAATGTACAATATCACCAGGGTATCAGTTTCTGGTGGTCCATTTCTAGTACCCTCCCTCCAACTAACATGGCACCTGTGGGAGGGTACCTGGAAGATCAAACTCCTCTTGGAGGGACCCCCTTTCAGGTGCCATGTTTGTGGAAGAGAGGGTAGGTATACAAACAAACAAAAAGCACACATCCACAGAACTCAGAGATGGCCAGGTTGCGACATCATGGCCAGTCATGCCGCGGGCACCTGGGAGAGCAGGAGCGGCAGCAGCAAATCCCGCGACCAGTGAGCGTCTGGGGGTGACCCTTGGGGTTTTGCTAGGGTTTGGGTGCAAAAAGTCACTCCCAAAAGGATGTCTGATGCTTTTCCAGACCTGTTTAACACCTTTCCCTAGGGTTTCCCTTGCCAGCGCATCCAAGAGCAGATTGGCAGCGTAAGCCATGTAGATACTTGTCCTTACCCGCTGATATTGTCAAACACTATGCTGTTAGCTACGGCTACTGATGTGGGTGGTGTTTGAGTTTGAGGTTACCCTTTTAGGGGAGTCTCAAAAGCAAAAGGGAAACCAAGGTGGTTGAGGGTAAGCAATGTCTGTGTGAGTTTCTCAAAGTACCAGACATTCTTGTGACCATAGGGTGCCATCCATTCTTGTGTCTGTCACCTCAGGTGTGACAAGCCGTCGACGAGCGGAAAACTGCCGGACAAAAGAACGCGTCTTTGTGTTCGTGCGTGTTTCCGTGCGGTGCAGGCTTGGAAACAGGACTCTTGGCGCTGCGGAACTCCTTCCGGTTGCGGGAACTCCCATCGAATCCATGTGCGGATTTCTCCGGATTCCAGCGATGTGTGAGTGCGTGTGTGTTCTCTTCTGCCTGACTAAAGGGAAGCCAAGAGGAAAGCCGCCCAAAATGGGTCACCATCCTATATTTGGCTTCTTAAAACCTTGGTGTCCCTTCGGTATGACAGAGAGGTTTACCTTCCCAACAAGCGCGGCTTGGTGCACAACTCTGTTCTGGAAGACTACTCTCCTTTTGGAAAAGGAGGTGTTCTGTCAATTCCTGTATTCTTCCACTGGTTCCCTGGTAAGTTTTCAACAAGCATACACCATGGTTTGGGTCCCGAAGAAAGACGGTACATTTATATAAATCCTACCAGCATCCCGCAACGACTGCTTGTATGGCCAAACTCGGCATCCAAAACTTTGATGGATTTTGCTTGGATGTTGGGACTTTAACTTTTTGCCAACGAATGGATTTTCCATTAAACCACTAAAAGTTAAACTTTTAGCAGGGAAGCAGAAAGCAACCCAGAAAAGGCAGTGGCTGTGGGGTGCCGGTGGGTTTCGGGTGGTTTCGCGAGCAAAGCCCGCTCCAGGCCCAGCTATCTTATGAACTTTGCGGTGCGCAGCACGCAGGTGGAGGCTGCATGGTCCCGTCAGGGAGGCCCCAACTCATTTGGGCTTAGGGTGAGGCGAAATTTCAGCTTGGCTTCAAGGAAACCCGAAAGGAACACAGCCATGTTTTGGGGGTCCATCTCGACCCGTTTTGGCTTGACAGGAAAACCATAGAAAACCAAAAGGACAACCGAAGTCCTTGGGATCCAAATCCCAAAACTTGACACGTTCCCATTGAGCTCCCCTGGGCTTGAACGCAGAGACCGAGAGACAACTTTTGAAAGTCTCCACCAACATAATTTTATACTTTTATTAGGGTAGACACGGGTAGACTAAATATGCTATGCGTTGGTATGTGTGTGTGTGTGTGTGTGTTTGTGTGTGTGTGTCTCTGTGCGCCTCTCTTTGTGTGTCTCTGTTTGTGTGTGTGTTTGTGTCTCTCTTTGTGTGTCGCTTTTTGCGTGTCTCTCTCTCTCTCTCTTTGCGTGTCTCTTTTTCGTGTGTCTCTTTTTGTGTGAGTCTCTCTCTGTCTCTCTTTGTGTGTGTGCCTGTGTGTGTGTGTGTGTGCCTGTGTGTGTGTGTGTGTGCGTGTTTTGTGCTTGGGGTGAAACAGGCAACTTACCCCATGAAGGTCCCTTTGGGAATCCCCTACTTTAGGATTGAGAATCAAAGTAAATTGTCCAGACCCCTCACGAGGGCATCTGCCAAAATTGATGGGATCCCAACAATGAGGTATTTGCTTTTGGTCCCCTTGTCAGCACCTACCCTCAAAAAAAAACATATGCTTCCTCACTGCAGTGCCCGCCCATTCAGCTTGCAGGCCAACACTGGAGTGACGCAAGTCCACAGCAAGGCAAGCAAGCGCTTGTTTTGCCAGTCCTCATTCCGGAATCCATGTGGGGGGGGTGTTTTGTTTTAGGGACCCTTTGTTGGTAAGTTTTAAGGGAAACCAAAGGCAACACAACCATTTAAAGACACACCAATCTCTTGGTGCTTGGGTGAATCTTTAAGCTGTCTTGTGAGTTTGAGCTGCGTTTAACACTCCACGGCAATCGGGTAAATTCGTAGTGGGCGGTTTGGATTGGTGGTTTGGGGATGTGAACCCCAGGTTCTTGTAGACGGCACAGCAAGTGGGAAGCTACTACTTAGCCACCAAACCAGCCAAAAGAGAGAAGCTGATAAACAGGATGTTCCACACTTTGGCACACGTGTTCTCTCTGCATCTCACCGGCAGAAAGTTAGATTGATTGTGCAAGGGGCAACATCCAGATCTGAAACATAATTGGTTGGGCCCAGTTTTGAACGGAAGACATCATGAATCCTGCTTGCAGTTCACAGGCGCGCAAGGCCTACGCCAAGACAAAGCCGAAAACCCTAAGCCCAGAGTGACTGCCCAGATTGGCACAAGATCCATCCCTTCGCTGAAAGGATGTGGCAGCTGGGCTGATTCCTGGTTGGTTTTGAAAGGAGGGCATGGATTGGATTGGCCAACCCTTCATTTTTCTCAGCCGCGGCTGGCTTTCCTTTCCTTTGACCCGATGTGGTTTCATTGCCCACGGCAACTTGGAATTGGTGGAGCTTCGAGCCCGTTTTGTGTTTCGACGTACGGAACAAGGGCGGGGGCCCGCAACAGAGGCCTCTTCGCGGCGTGCGGGTTGTTTTTGTGGGTGATAGAGTCTCCGTGACCCTTACAAAATGGGGTCATCACCCAAAATTAAGGGGTCATGTACCCATTTTTAAAGGGTCATGGAGACTCCAGGTACGGGAAATCATGTATCCCAGTTGTTCGATGGCGCCATCTTCCTGTTTTTGTTGGCTTCAGCCCAACACGGTCAACTTCATTCGCCTGCGCCGCCAGGGTCACTGGGCAACTGGGGTGAGGAGTGGAACTCTAGGTCCCTCAGCGATTGGTGCCCGACCTCTCGCCCCTTTTTTGGTTGGGAGGAACCCCCCCTACTGAAATAGACCACAGAAAACAGTTGGTACTCTTACGGTGACGACTTTTAAATATGTGGGGGCCGGGCCTGGGCTTCAGGGCTGGGAGGTAGTGTAAGACATCTGTTTAAATCGGATGTTCAAAGTGGCTGGCCGGGCCACCCTCACGGGCCCTGGAGGTAGTATGAAATACCAATTAGGATATTTAAATGGCAACACCGAGACAGACCCCTTCCCCGTAAAAAAACAGGGCGTAACACAATTCAAGGCCTTGCTAGCAGCTGCGTTGCGCTAGCTCCTGCCAAGCCAGGTCAGATTGCACAGGTCCAACCTAAGCCGCCATGTTGGTACTATGCTTGCGTAACTCCATGCTTGATAGCCGCCTGGAATTGCGGAGCTAAGTGCGCTGAATTGAGCTGCCCAAGCCCTGTGTACGTGGCTCGTGGAGAAAGAAAGCAAGAAGAACATGAATGCCCCTTGTCTCGGACGGGACTCCCAGGTTTCCTTGAATTCTTGAAACTCCTGGCGTCTGGGGATGGGAGCTTCTTTTAAACAAATCTCAGAATGAAAAGAATTGGAAGAGAGAGAGAGAGAGAGAGAGAAAGAGAGAATGCCTGGAGCTGGCATTGGGCCCTGTGTCAGACCTGTTTCAGACCTGTTTCAGACCCCTGCAAAAGCAATTGCAGGACAATGCTTTCGTAATTCCATGCTACATAAACGGCTGGAATTGCGGAGCTAAGTGCGCTGAATTGAGCTGCCTAAGCCCTGTCTACGTGGCTCGTGGAGACAGAAAGCAAGAAGGACATGAATGCCCCTTGTCTCGGACGGGACTCCCCTGGCGTCTGGGGATGGGACCTGTTTTTAAACAAATCTCAGAATGAAAAAAGAATTGGAAGAAAAGAAAGAGAAGCAAGAGAGAGAGAGAGAGAGAATGCTTGGATCTGGCATTGGGCCCTGTGTCAGGCCTGTTTCAGACCTGTTTCAGACCCCTGCAAAAGGACCGTCTCATATTCGCAAAAGCCCGCCCCAAATTCGTAGCACACACGCGTCAGCTCCTGCCAAGAACCTAAGGCGCCATGTCGGCGCAACACTGATGCCTCTAATTGCAGACCAACGCTTTCGTAATTCCATTGTCCATGTTGCATAAACGCCTGGAATTGCGGAGCTAAGTGCGCTGACTTGAGCTGCCTAAGCCCTGTCTACGTGGCTCGTGGAGAAAGAAAGCAAGAAGGAGCTTATTTTTACACCCACAGAATGAAAATAATTGGAAGAGAAGAAAGAGACGCAAGAGAGAGAGAGGGAGAGAGAGAATGCTTGGATCTGGAATTGGCCCTGTGTCAGACCTGTTTCAGACCTGTTTCAGACCCTGCAAAAGGACAATCTCATATTCGCAAAACCCTGCCCCGAATCCGTAGCACACGCGCGGGCCCTTGCCAAGCCACACAGGCCCAACCTAAGGCGCCATGTCGGCGCAATACTAATGCTTCTAATTGCAGACCAACGCTTTCGTAATTCCATGCAACATAAATGCCTGGAATTGCGGAGCTACGTGCTCTGAATTGAGCTGCCAAGCCTTGTCTACATGGCTCGTGGAGACAGAAAGCAAGAAGCACATGAATGACCTTTTCTCGGACGGGACTCCCAGATTTCCTTCAATTCTTGAAACTCCTGGCGTCTGGGGATGGGGCCTGCTTTTTTTCAACAAATTCCAGAACAACCGACTGGTTGCAGAAGATGTAATTGGCAACAAACAGGAAGCAAATTGACAAGGCGGGCCGGGCCAGAGGCAGGCTTTCAAGACGTAACGCAAAATACCTATCTAAATCGGGTATTTAAGTTGGTCGGCCGGGCTGGCGGTAACGCTGGCGGAGGTAGTGTAAAATCTTTGTTGAATTTAAGTGTCCGGGTGTTTAAGTGGCGACACCGTATTCTAACCTCCAAAACTGGAGGACCTAGAATTTCTGTGAGGGAATCCTTCTTGGAATGACAAAGTCAGTAAGACTATGAGGATGGAATTCCCACAGAGGTACTGTGGATTCAACATCCATTTCGCACCGGTGGGATTGGTGAGTTATCCCGGTATTTCATCCGACATCGTGCAAAATGGATTTTGTCCGAAAATTGCTGTTTCCTAAAAACAAATCATGGGTGTGTTGCTCTTTAGGAGACCCCCCACAGATTTCAACTGATTGGGTCCCTCTGGTTTCCCTTTAAACACAAACAAGCGATCAGGGAGCCGAGCCTCAAGACAGGAGCCAGATGGTTTGGTTCACACAGCCAACTGTTCTTTTGGGAAGGTTCTGGAAGGGGTTCCCTTGAAGCTTCCTGTGCACGTCCATGGTGACGGTCTTTGCAACATGTGAAATCCATTCCTCCGTGTTCCTTTTTTTAGCACCTGATTTGAAACCTACAAGGCCAAGGGTGGATAGTTGGGCATGTGGCAAAATAGGGTGAACTCAGCATGCCTTCTGGTGTTTGGCTTTGGGCTCCCCATTTGGAACCACCCCGAAAAGGGTACCGACTCACAGAAATGAAGGGTGTGCCTTTTTCTGGATCCCTGCAAAGTGGCTGTTTTCCTTTTGGTTTCCTTCAACCAAATCCAAAAACGAGGGTAGTATGTCTAAAACAAGACTCACCCTCCAGTTTTGCCGTGCGTGGCTGCTTCCTTTTGGTTTCCTCCAACCCAATCCAAAAAACGAGTGGTATCTCCAAGAAAACGACTCGCTCAGCCCCCCAGTTTTTTTTTTGCGGTTTTGCCGGGCACAGACCTTCTTGAACTCCTGCAGCGTGCCGGACTTGGGCGATGCGCAGAAGGCGCAGATCGGGCGGCTTCCGCGGGAGCGGGGGTTTTCGGGGGGCGGGGCTGGCTTCCACCGCTCGGAGTGGCGCCTTTTCTCTGGGATCAACTTGGGCCTTTCGGGGCACGTGTCCTTTTTGGCTTGCTTTCTGCTTTTGGTGTTGGTTCCCCCTTTGTTGGTTCCCTCTTGTTTAATGACTACGTGTGTATATTACATGTATAATCAGTATATATATATATATGTATAGATGTATGTCTATATTCATAGTCGGCCAACGTGGACAGTGTTCGGCTTCGAGCTGCGGCTCGCATTCCCGCTGCAATCCGCCTGCTGCAATCAGCCTCCCCCTGGCAATCAGCACCTGCCCAAGAAACTGGCAACATTTGATTTCTCACCCCGGAAATGCGAATGTCCCACGAAACTGGCGTGTCTAGGCGTTTGTTTCTGCACTCTCTCCGTCCGGCCAGCCCGCAAACCTAGATTGACGCGCTAATCTTTGTCAGCTCTGAGGCTCTGAGCCTTTGTCTCTTGGTTACACAGGGCTCCTTAAAAGATCCCCATTTTGAAACCATTTGAAACATGTGGCTTTTTCAACACCAAAACAAAGGGAAAGCACCATTTGCAAGTTGCAATGTTCAGGTGTGTTCACTGTAAGGATCCCTGTTACACAAAGGGTGCCCGTCGGAGGAAAACCAGCTGTCTCGATCCGATCAGAACCGCCACAAGTCCAATCCTCCGGTTTGGCGCACTGTATGGTCGAAACACCTGGGTCATGGACTTCTTGAGGGAAGTTTGACAACCATGTTGATTGTGCTTGGTGAACAAAAAGCCATGGAGAGTGTTTACCCCGCGCTCGCTCGCCGTTTCTGCTCCTGGACCACCTCATGCGTTTTGATTGCTTTGCTTTTCCCTGATCAAAGGTGGTTGATTTGATCGTGCCAAACGCTGCAGTTTAAACTTGGGTGTTCAAGCAACTTGGTAGGTAATAACCATGGCTATACCTTTGGTAGCTATAGGGTCGGTCCTGTTAGAACCATAGTCATATCCCACTTAAGTTGGCTGAACATCCAGGGTAGCCTGAGGAACTATATATATATATATATACATAGGATAAGTCCTCTTACAACCATGGTTCTATCCCACTTAAGTTGACTGGACAATTTAGGGTAGCCCGCGCAACTATTTAGCACATTGGTTATATCCCAATTAAGTTGGCTGAACATCCAAGGCCAGGTCCCCAGTAGTGCCCTTTCTCGCCCTTTTTTTGGGGAGGGTTCCACTACTAAAATAGACTACAGAAAAAAGGGTACCCTTATTCTAACCTCTCCACTGGAGGACCTGGAAGGTATGTCCTCCGACTTGTTGGGTTTCGCAAGTCGTTCGCGGAAGTTTTTTGCCGCGTCAGTGCAACGGCCACGGGGTGTGCAAGACTTTCGCCTCCGGCGGTCGCCTCAGGATCATTGGAGTCAAAATGGCCCCAGGAGCGCCTATTATTATCTTTACCGGGGACCCTCTGTCAGGTTTCATGTCTGTGTTTGGGACGCCACAAAAGTCCCTACATTGCGCTTCTTGGTAAGTATATATGGCCCTTTTTAAGGTGTTATTAACATCTCATTCGCACATGGGGTGCAGTCCAATGAAAGCGAGGGGTGGTTTTAAACATCACCTTTTGGGCCCATGAAAGGTGAGTGTCCCTTGGGGGATATTTTAAGGGGAAATATGGGGTGAGTTGCCCGCTGGCACCCAGTTTTCGAGCTGTGGGAGTTTGGCTTCAAATGCGGTGATTGTCCCATCGGGCTTTCTGAGACTGGCTACATAAACTCGTGCAAGGCTCGGTGGTAAAAAAAAAAGAAAGAGTGTGTGTATGTGTGTGTGTGTGTGTGTGTTTTGGAGGGCAACCCTTTCTGTTGGGGGTGCCCCTATTTTGACACATACCTATGTCCAGTCCATGGTGAAATCTCCCACAGAACCTCTCGGGGGGCTCACTGGTTTCCCCATGTCCAGTACCGGAAACATATTTTGACCGTGGGTCATATGGGGCTTGTCGTGTCTTTTTTGGGAACCGCGTCAAAAGGGAAGTCAGAAGGAACCAACTATGCTGTGGGGTATGAATCTTTGACAGAATTAGCTCCCTGTTTTTGTTTTTTTGCTTTTTTGGGGTCCCTTTGTTTTCCACTAACCAGGCAAAAAAGATATATTTTTTGCCGGGGTCCTAGTTCCAGCCAAGTTAATATGACTTGAGACTAACCCGTGTTGAAAAACAACATGTTGGAGGAGATCGCAAGGGGGTTGCTAAATGAATTTCTCCAGACCCGCAATGTGTAACCACGCAAAAAGGGGCCTGACGACTGCCTGTGGGTTTTCCAGCATTTGGTCAAGTTGTGCTGAGCGCAGATGCAGTCCCCATGTCCATCCCCAAGTGCAGTTGGTTGCTTGTCAGTTGCTTCAGTTTCGCAGTTGCCCAGCGGCGCCCGTTTTTTTTTTTGCATTTTTTGGGGGAACGGTTCCCCTTTAAAGTCTCACCAACCAAAAGAGGATGCCCTTGCTTTCCCGCCACTGGGCATCTGAGGGTTTTTTTTATCCCAGCTTTGAACTTTGAAGTCTCTTGCTCGCGTGTTCGGCAACTTGGTCTTGAGAAGTCACCGGCAAAGAAGTCCTCCAAAACCCATTTTTTCGAACCTCCAAAAGCGGCACCACCGCTAAATTGCAACTTTCGAAGGGGACATCTGGTAGAACCCAGTGACCCCTGTCCATGAGATTTGTAAGGTGACCTGCCTGGAGGTGCCCGGAAAACCATTTTCCTCAAGAGACCTTCTGGTGTCTTCCAAGCAACTGCGGGGGGTACATGCAAAACGTGCTCCAGTTTGCCTAGCCATCGTTTCAGAGACTTCAGCATTTGTTTGTTGGCTCGTCTCGTACCCCAGAGGTGTTGGTGTTCTACCTTGGCAAAGGCACTTTTGACCGAGTGGTCTTTGTGTGCTCTTTGTTTCGTTGCGGATGGCAAGGGCACCTTCGAGATTGGCAAAAGAAGACATGGTTGTTGTTGGGAAGCATTTTTCCAATTTTTGCAAATTGTGGTTGAGTGGTTGAAATCCAAATCCACTTAACTGCTAAAATCTGAGAAGTTTTGCTCCCCTATCCCAACGTCAACCAAGAAGAAGGGTCCAACCAAAAGGCAAAACTGCTCCCCTAGGTTTGGCCTTCTGCGAAGCGCCGGGCTGAGTCGCGCGAGCGGATTCCCTTCCCTCGTTGATTTGTCATGTTTTTGCTTTGATCACCCTTGCATTTGATTAAGAACATGTGTGTCACAGGCATCTATTACTCTTGGACATAATGTTTTTTCCAGTGGGCTTAATCAAATGGACAATATCGATTTTGTTTTGCCGTTTTGGCGAGTTCCCTGGGGGTGAATAGCTGGCTAGATGTTTTGAGGGTGTGTACTGCATTGGACCTTGATTCACAGGCTGGCTGAACGCTTGGGTGTTGTCCTGTATTTCCTTACATTTACTTCTAAAGTTGGTTCGTTCCTCGTTTTCCCTTTTTGGGGTTGAACGTTGGGTTTGGGGCCAGGGGAGGTTTTTGTTGGGGTGTGGTTCTTCGTCCCTTTCTCCCGTAGCTGTCAGGGCACCGCCGGTGCCGGTGGTTTGGTCCAGCGAGGGCCAAGGAGTGGTTTGGTTTTTTTGGGGCCAAAGCATGATGAACTGATGCATTGTTTTGCGATGCATCAGAGCCCTGAGAGGCTCGGAAGGGGCCATTCCCAGCTAAGACCCTCAGCTCGGACTCTCCATTGTGAAGCTTTTTGGGCCCCAACAGGTTTCTGAGGCATTTGGTTCAATCCCCTCAGGCGGGCTGCTTTCCTCAGGCGGCTTTTCATGGGCTTTTGTTCAAGGGTTGGCTGCTTGGCCAGAAATCAACGCTGTGGGTTTCCTGAGGCATTTTTCTTCAAACCCCTGGGGCGGGCTGCTTTCAACTTGTGGTTTCCCTATATATCCATCTGAACCAGTCCAGCCAAAGCGTTCCACCTGCCACCCCGTGACACAGCACCCTGTTAATAGAATTCAAGGGAAACCCCATTCAAAGAATGCTGAACTGGAGCAACCAGCGTGTCTGGGATTTGTTGGGATCAATGATTCATCAGCCCGATCGTGGTACCCAACTGATAACTTTGATGACCAAACAGAGGTCACCAAAAGGGTCTCTATTTGTGATCTAAACCTTGATTGGGACCATTTGTCATGAGCTCTGGCAATCAGACAAGCTCGGGATGAAGGTCCTTTTCTTGGAGAGTCCTTGTTGCCAACTTGTGATAAATAGGTGTGCCTTTTTTTCCGACCCCTTAACATGGCTTCGGTTTTCCTTTTGGCTTCCCTAAGCAAAACATGACACACCCGAACAGTAAAGGCGTGCTCGAGCAGATCCAACTCGTGGTGCCCTTTGCCTTGGGCTCGGATTTCACAGACGTTGTCACGTTTTTTAATGCCGGATTCTTACATGCTAGGTCCCCCAGCTAGGTGCAACCTTTCTCACCCATTTTTTGGGGGAGGGTTCCCCGACTAAAATCGACTACAGAAAAAGAATAGGGTACCCTTATTCTAACCCCTCTGGAGGACCTCAAAGACGACATGGTTGCGGTTTCTTCTCGCGCCGAGTGCGACTCCGGGTACTCGGACCCCGAGTGCCGCACCGAGCGCAAGTCCCAGCGCCCGGGACCCGGGGCGCAGTGGTCCAAAGCGAATCGAGCTTAGATCATGGGGTCTGGGGGGGAGGGAGGGGGGGGAAGGGAGCCCCAATAAGCCCCAAATAAAGCCTTAGGGGCTTAATAAGGGCTTAAATTTGGGCTCCCTTCCCCTCCCCTCCCTCCCCCCAGCCCCCATGATTTGACCGTCGTTTTTGTTTTGTTTTGTTCCCTTTTTTTCCGCTGGCAACTGTTGAGGCTCACAGAGGCTTTTGGTACTTTTTTTTGTGAAGCTCCATGATTGTTGGAAAGAGTACCCCTCTTTGGTTTGCCCAAAAGCACGTTGACGTTTTTGTTTCTTCTTTTTTACAGTGGGTGTGTCTTTTCAAGCTTTGTGGTTGGCTTGCATTGGCTAGGTCCCCCAGTAGTGCCCTTTTACCCCTTTTTGGGGGATGGTTCCCTACTAAAATAGAGTACGGAACCATGAGTACCCTTATTCTATCCTCTCTACTGGAGGACCTAGTTGGAAACCAAACAGACATCGAAGCCTATTTTGGGGGTCCGATTCCTATTTTGAGGCAGACCCGGATGGCCTCAAAAGGCGATCGCCTTCCTTCCATGTTGGAACCGGCCCATGTTGGACGTTCCCGCCCGTTTCGGTGCCGGGTCTTCCGAATTTGGACAAGCCTCCTGTCCTCAGTGGATTTGTTTTCCCTTCCAAACTAGCAGGCTAGGTTGCCCAGAAATACATTTCAGCTTCCATCTAATTTGTGGTTTGGATCGGTGGTTTGATGTTTGGTGCTCAGGTGTTTTTTTGCAGTTGACAAGAATCAGGGTGTCAAATGCAAACACTACCAGATTACCTGAAGACTGAAACATTGCAGCCATGTTTCCCTTTATTCCACTGGTAAGAAGTGTGAGGCACACCACCAAGCATTCGGGATGGGTGAAACTTGTGAAACCCGGCAATGGCTTCCTGGAATTTGGGGATCGATTCAATATTGCATCTTCCGGTTGACATTCCACTTTCTAACTTCCTTGTGGTGGGCTCCAACACCATGCATGCACTGAAGATGATATCGCCACGATTTCTCGCGTCACGTTGGGGCTGGTACCAATCCTGAAACAACTGGGGAATGTGGGAGTTAGGCGTCCCTTCGAAGAATCAACATGAATTAACAAACTACAAGCTGCCGTTTCAGAGTTGTTTTTTTTCTTGCCCAATTGAACTGGGATTCACTGATTGGAACCAGACTGAGACAAGAGCAAGAAGTTATTGGATAAAAGCCTTGCTGATCCTTGAAACATCTCAAAAGCGGCCAGAACTACAGGCTTCGCTGTGCCTATTTGGGCGCGGATTTGGACATTTGCAATCAGCGGCAAGTCCGCTCGCTAGTTGGCCGTATTGGCTTCGTATTGGCCCTACAATGAGGCGCCAATTAGTTTTCCCATCAAGCCTCCGTGAGATGTGACGCAGCATTCAGGCAGCTTTTTGTGATGTCGGCCTTGCTCAACTCGGGCGGATTGGTGGCATAGTTGTTCATGGGCGCTAAAGTTGAACTGATAACCGCAATAGTGTTTCAAGATCCGTGCACAGAGGGCACAGAGAAAAAGAACACCATATTTGTGGATTCCTCCTCACTTGCCAGCCCAAACTTACCAGCCCAGTTCCGAAATGCAAAAACTCAGTGCCCTTTCTAAGCAAATTTCCAACTTGCTTTCTGCGACGAGGGCCTCATGGCTTTGGAGTTCAAAGGGAGTAATCTGACTGCATGTGGTGTGTGTGCATGACAGTGACAGAGCACGAGGAGAGAGTTTTTTCGTGTTTCGTGTGTGTGTGTGTGTGTCCGGCTGTCGCTGGTTCTTTGTTCCAACAACTGCCGGGATCGTATCGGCTTCGTAAAAGCATGTAAACAAGCAAGCAAACAAACAACAGAAACATCGAAACACTGCATCGTAGGCGTGATTTGGTCACACTTTGTTTCACGAATGGACTGAAGAATCAGATGGGGCCAAGTGTTGTCGGAGAATCGATGCTGGCTGAGGCACGGCGTTCCTGCTGTCTCTCTTCACAGGACACGGGGTGTCAGTCAATAACTCACCAGGCGTCGTGAGTTTGCTCTTGAGGCTGGGGCTTAGGGCGGTGGTGTCTGTTTGTGTGTGTGTGTGTTCATTCCTGCCTGCATGTGTTTGTGCGTGTGTGTGGGCAGGCGTGCGGGTCGTGGGCGTGCGAGCACATGTGCCTGGTCACGTGTTGGCGCGTGTTTGCTGTTGTCCATTGTGGTGTGCTGCCTTTGTTTTGGTGTTTTTTGTGTTACATCTTGTGTTGAATTGCGCTGTTTCTGTGGTTTCTGTGCTTGTGGGGGTGGTGTGTGCTTTGTGAGGGGTTTCTTTTTGTTTGTGTGGTTTGTGTGTGCGCGAGTGTGTGGCTGTGTTTTTTTGTTTGTGTATAGTGTGTGTATATGTATAATATATATATATATATGTATATGTATGCACATGTGTGTGTGTGTGTATGTGAATGCGTGCGTGTGTGTTTACGCGTGTGTGTGTGTGTGTGGGTGAGTGTGTGTGTGTGTGCTTCTTTGGTTGGCTGACTGGCTGCTTGGTTGTTTGATTGTTTGGTGGTGTGCTTATATCAATATTCGCTTTGGTTTGTGTGTTTGTTTGTTTGTTTGCTTTGTTTGTTTGTTTTGTTTGTTTGTTTGTTTGTTTGTTGGTTGGTTGGTTGGTTGGTTGGTATGTATGTTGCTTGTTCTGCTTGCTAATTTGCGCGTTTGCTTCCTGCCTTCTTTGCTTCCTTGATTTATGTCCTTGTGTGTTGTGTTTCTTTGTTTCTTTCTTTCTTTCTTTCTTTCTTTCTTTCTTTCTTTATGTATTTCTTCATTTCCTTCCTTCCTTTCTTCCTTTCTTGCTTGCTTGCTTGCTTGTTTGCTTGCTTGCTTCCCTTCTTTTTGTCCTTTCTTGCTTTCTTTCTTTGTTGGGTTTCTTTCTGTCTTGTTTTGTGCGCGTTTGTGTGTGTGCACGAGCACAACGTCAAGATGGCAGCGAGGTTCCTTATGCTACATCCGCCCACCGTTCTTGTCCCATTCGCCGCGTGAAAGCTTTGCCGCCAAGTTTGGGCGGACGCTCCGAGTCTTGCAAGGGTTCTATAGGCATATTATGGCCATCCAAATCGTACCCCGAACATCCCAACCCCCACTCAAATAGACTAAAACGGGTGGTGCACCTACTTCAAAATGGTACCATTGGTTTTGACCCACAGCCATATTTGTCACATGGCAGGCGTTTTTCGCCACGAGCTTCGTTTGCAAGGGAAGGGGGGGTGGCAGCGGGAGGACACCGTGCAGGTTGATTTTTTCGCACAGGATTCCTGGGCTTGGACCGCTTCTACCTGGGTGAGGTCGGAACGGGGGGTGCGCACTGAGAAGTTTCGCCGCTTCGATCTTTGGAACTCATGGCGGTTTTGGGGGGTGCGGCAGTGCGGCAAAGGCTCACGGAAGGGCGGGCTTTCCACTCGCCTGCTTTTTTGTGTTCCCGGGGCTGACAGGGAGCCATATCGATTGATCTAGAGGGACTCCTTGCGAAGGTAGTCAGCGCTTCGGCCCCGACAGACTGATCTTTGAAAGAAACTCAGCAGGAAACTATAAGCGGAGCCGAGTCCCAACAATCAGCCCATGGCTCGACAACTCCCGAATCCACCAAATGCGTGTCGACTCGGTCCGTTGCCGAGACATGGCATGTTTGCCCACTGGTTAAATCTAATCAACTGTTAATATGTACTTCCAGGGGTAGCTTCCCCATTCTTTTTAGGTGTTTCTTTCTAGAAAACCTCCTTTGAAACCCACGGAAAACGGTTGTTTTTGGAAAAGAACGATGGTTGAAGAGACTGGAAGAGGAATCAACTCCTAGAGTACTGTCATCTACCTAGAGTCTCCATGACCCTTAACAAATTGGGGTCATTACCCAAAATTAAGGGGTCATGTACCCATTTTTAAAGGCTCATGGAGACTCCAGGTACTTCAAAGAGGTAACATTGGGCACGCAGTGACAAGGAAGAGGGGGGAGATCAGAAGTGCTGCCGCCCATGTCGCGCCCCAAAAACGGCGATTTAAAGCCTGGCTTCTTGGGAGACCCTTCAGAGGAGCCTTTTTTTCTTCCTCGCTTCTCTGGGGGACAAATATGTTTTCTTGGAGTGGCGCGCCCCTTTTTGTTGCCTCAACCGTTTTGCTTTCATCCGCCCCAGGTGAAAACATGGAGCCAACAAGCGAAAAGGGGATTCCTTTGCCATGGCTTCCCGCCTTCGAGGTGCCTTCATTTTTTTCTTTTTTCTTTGTCTCTCTCTCTCCTTCTCCCCTAAATCCCCCAGCTAGGCGCAACCTTTCTCACCCCTTTTTTGGTTGGGAGGGTTCCCCTACTAAAATAGACTACAGAAAGAAAGAAACAAATCGGGTACCCTTATTCTAAGCTCTCTACTGGAGGACCTAGTCCCTCTCCAGTTCAGTGGCAACCTTTTTTTCTGGCCTATTTGCTGGGTTGCGGACACATTGAATCAACCAAACAGGTGAGTCCAATCCGCGTTCCAGTCCCAAACCTCTGGTTACAGCTGGGTGCATTTTGGATCCATTCAGTGGTGTTACGCATTGCTGCCTATTTCGGGTCTTCCTGGTCCTGAAGAATATCATCAAGATGACTACTAACGAGTCCGTCGTCAACACAAATGAATTCTTCTGCGTGCCTGTTGGGAAATCCAGACAAGCGGCGATATTCCTGGGGAACCTCATCAAGAACGCGATTGAAGAAGGCAAGCGAATTCCCAGGAGAATGGAGACGAGCAGTGATCTGGGTACATGCATAAAATGGGTCGAGGACATCGGCGTCCGCCTTTAAAGGGTCCCTTCCCTATGTATTTGGGGATTCCAAAACCAAACCTGGAATCAACCAACCCATGGTTGTTTGTGTTGCCGATGAATCAACGACACCAAATGGGTCTGAGATGTTTGTTTTCCTTCTTGAGGGAACCCTTTTCAGTTTGCTTGTTTTCATGGAAACCAACAACGAGTACAGCCTGCTTTTTGGGATGCAAACCCCCGATTTTGACACATGTCAGGTTGGTTTAAGAGGAAACCACAAAGAAAGCCCAACCAGTTTTGGGGGTCCAAATCCATTCAACAGTTCACTTCCTGAGTTCCTGAACTTTTGGAATTTGAACCATTCTGGTGGGGAAAAAAGGCAAGTGTTGCTTACTTTTTTTGGCCTATGCACTCGGCAAACTTGTTTTGGCCTATGCACTCGGCAAACTTTGTTTGGCCTATGCGCTCGGGAAGTGAGAGGTGTTTTTGGCCTGGCCACTTGCATCGGCGTCAGCTCTCTGCGGGCACCCTGAAGCTGGCCACCTTGGGCGGCGTCGGCATTTGGCCGCAGCCTCGGCGGGTTTCCTCGCGAAGCGGTGCAGCGGGCGCTCGTCTCACGCGCGAAGCGCGGGGGTCAAAGGCATCTGACATTAAACGCCCTCCCACCGTTGGTTCTGAAAACAAGGAAGCACGCACGTGGATGAAATTGAAATCAAGAATCATCGTTTTGCCGGGATTCATTTCATCACACCGCAAGGTCCTGCTCGATGGATTCTTTTTTTTGGTCAGGATGGGGACCTCCATTATGATGCACGAGAGCACGGAGCGTAATGGAGCACTTTCAAAAATGGCTGTGAACATTTCATGGGGACCCTTTTGTGGACATCTTAAGGCGGGGATTCACGTCCAACGACCACTTTGAAAGAGGTGGTTCCCCATTAACGTTTACAGCCAAATGGTTAGTGAGCATAATCCTGATGCGGAGCTGTCTTTTTTTGGTGGCACGCCTTTTTGGGTTGCTTTAAAAAGGACAGGCCATCACTTTGGGGTGCAGGGGTCCCCAACGGACAAACTCATTAATTCCCATGTAAAAGGAGGCTGTCGTCAACCAGCGTACGGGGGGTAGAAGGTCATTGAAGCTTCCTTACGATTCCTTCGCAAGATTGGTGCTCAGTAGAGAATAACTCTTCTTTGGAATGAACCTGGGGATTCATTCCCTCAAAGGAAGCCACTGGGGATGGATTTTTTAAAGCAGTCGTTCCATTTCTCATTCCCTGAGCACCAGCAAGAACATGTGTATTCTCTTTTGTTTTCCTAAACCAAAACCAGAAATCTGGTTTACCTTACTTGGCGGTTTGCATTAGTGGTTTGGAGCTGGGGGGATCCGTTTGCCCCCAAGCGCCTTTGCTCGTTCCCTCATGGCCACAGGCTCTGAAGGAGGGCGGATCCTCCCCCCCCCCGCCCCCCGCCAATTTTCGCGCAGATCGGTGGTCGGTGTTGAATTGGCGTTCCCTGTAAAATGGCAGACCTCTAAAAATGGGCTTCTTTTCTTTTGATTCCCCCTCAACCTCGACTTGGGACCCTAACAAGAGCCACGTTGTTTTCGCTCCCAGAGCCGCCTGGAATTGCAGGGGAGATTGCTTCAGGGCAACGAAGGCGTCATCAGCACTAAAGGCACCCCGCTGGTTCAGCTTGGCAATTCTCCACTTTTGAGGGGACTCCTCTAGAGGGTTTCTCAAATTCCGACATTCGAACTAGGTCCCCCAGCTAGGTGCAACCTTTCTCACCCCTTTGTTGGGGGAGGGCTCCCCTACTAAAATAGACTACAGAAAAAAATGGGTACCCTTATTCTAACCTCTCTACTGGAGGACCTAGTGAAGAATACGATTCCGGTGCAACACATTGGCCGCGTCGGGTGCACCCCTTGACCTTTTCGTTTGATGAGTTGTTCCTCAATCCCAGCAATGGGTTCCCTGATTTACCGGGCTCGCTCGAAATCTGGGCCAGACAGTACCTTCCGTTGATTGCCTTCCGTTGTTACAGGTTCCTTGAAGCATACGGCCCGTGAACTTGTTATACATGCTGTACGGGCCTCAATAATTAGAATGGGATGGTTGTTCACTTTAAAACCAGATTGATGCGCGATTATAATGAAACAATGTGTGTAATCATGTTGTTGATTATTTCAACATGATACATATATATATGTGTGTGTGATGGTTCTTTGCAAGCCGATTTCAGCCGATTGTGAGGGTTGTGAGGACATTCAATAGTGGCAAGTGGCATGTTCAAAAGAGCTTAAGCAAGAGTCGATAGAGCTGAACAAAGTGACGGCTGTGCGTGTCTTGATCACGAGCACAAATAATCCTCCTACACCCGTTTTTTGAGGTAGATGGTATTGGTGTCACGTACCGTCTGCCACAATTGCGCAGGTGTGCTACACTGCTTCAAATAGACACTCACATGTGTATCTGGCGGTTTCCCCAATCAGGGCCCGCTAGTTTGGTTCACTCGGTTTCCCTTTAGCCACCAACCAAAACAAGGTCCACCATTTTGAGAAAACTCCATCTTCTTTGCCACATCAGACATGTCTGCCATGTCCTGATGTATCCGCGGGTTGTCCCAATAGCCTTTTGTTGAGAAGCGTTGGAAGTTTTCCTGGGATTGTTTGAAGGGAAACCATCGGAAGCCGATCAGCCAGGGTTGCATGGTCGGAGAAGAACATGGTTTGAGGTTCACTTTCTGAGATGTAGGAGTCCTTGGCCCAAGAAATAAAGTGTCCATGGGAATAACCTTGGCCAACTAAGGGGCCGGCTCCAAAGTGGTTTGTGGAGTTAAATCCCCAGCGAAATCCCCTATTAAAAGTCACACCCACACGCATATCTGATTTTCCACACCGGCCGAGGTGGATGTGGGACATTGTGCGCACCGGTGCCGCACCCATCTATACCAGGACCGGGCAATCGGGTCGCTGGCCAGTCAGAGTTCCGAAGGATCACGCCTTGAGGCTCGGCACACCCATCTTTGTATGTTCCCCCTTCTCTTTGCGGATCTTTTTTGCTATACGGATGTCTCAGTCTCCCAATTTTGGCCCTCTATCCTCTCATGTCATCATGTTGCCGCGTGATTTTCATGTTGGGTGGAGAAGGGCCCCTGTTTATTTGAGAAGCCTTTTGCACATCGACAGCAACATGTCGGCAGCGCGTCTCGGCCGAGCCACTGCTCTCCTAAAGACAACTTTCCCAATTTCCATTTGACTGGAAGTCTCGTGCGCGTTCAAGGACGACGCTAGCTTTTCCAAAAGCATCCCAATTGGCGAGTTCCATGTTGGTGGGAGAGTGCTCCTTTTGCTGGGTAAAGGGGAAAGGTGCCCGAGAGTTGAGAAGCCGGGCATTTGAGAATTCGCCTATGAGACACCGGTAGGCGACCTTGGATGATCCAACTTCGGATTCCTGCTGATTGAGGAAATCAAAAAAAGAATCAACACCATGTTGAGGGGGTATTGTATGGTTTGCTGAGGCGCGGTACGCTTTCTGGGGTTGGTTTAAAGGCAAACAACCGATGTTTCTTGGCAGGTGGGGGGTCGCATACTTTGAGACAAACCCACAGGGTTCCTTCCAACATAGGGGGTGGGGGCCGATCCCGTTGAGCCAACCCAAGAAAGGGTACTTGGGTGTTCGGCCAAGTTAGTACGTAAGTTGTTGGCAACCTCGGTTATCATACTGTGGATGGACGAAATCCTTCACGACCTTAAACAAAAACCTGGGGTGATGCTTCCCCTGCAAATACCAAGAAACAATGGTTTGCTATGGTTTCAAAGTGGTGCAGGATTTCGTCCACCCACAGTACCGGCTCGTACGTCCCCCCCTTGAGTGGAGTTAAAAACACCTGGACCCTCGGCAACAGGAGCCATGATTGTTTTTTTCCGGGAGTTGGTCATCTTACTGTGCCGGGTTTGGTCATCTTACTGGGCCAAGGCGAACCGAGCCAGCTGAAAAAGCCATGGGACCCGCTCCGGGTAGGTACCATGGCCGTTTGGCCGCCGACCTGCCGCACTTCGTCTTCGTGATCCTGGCGGCCCGGGTCCTGGCGCGGACTTGAGACCTTGAGACTCGAGGCCCTGGTTTTCTTTGGCGCATTTTGCCAAGGGATGTTAGGACTTTAACTTTTGCCAACTAATGAGTTTTCCATTAAACCACTAAAAGTTATTCACTTTTAGCAGGGGAGCAGAAAGCAACCGAGTTTACCTGGTGGTTAAATCATCCAGGGCCATCTATTTCCCCTAAAAGCCACAACTCCTCGCCAGAATGGGTGGTCTGTGAAGAGAAGGATGGAGAATCAACCCTTACTAGGTCCCCCAGCTAGGTGTAGTTTTTGTTTTTGGTTGGGAGGGGTTCCCCTACTAAAATAGACTACAGAAAAAAGGTGTACCCTTATTCTAACCTCTCTACTGGAGGACCTAGATGGGATCGGATTTCCATACGCAAGAACAGAGCCCAATCAAAATGAACATAGTTCCCATGCGTGTGTTTTTTTCAATGGTCCTTGGTATCTTTTCTTGGGTGGCTTCAAAAGGAAACCGACTCCTTCCCGAGTTCCTGGACAGACTTTTCGGGACAGCGGCCATGTTGGCGGCAAAAAAGTAAACTGTTCCACTCAGGAAGTGAGACATGGCCAGGGCTTGTCGCCAGATTCCAGCCCTAACTTCCATGTCCATTCTGTTCACTTTGGTGCAATTTGCTTGGATGTTAGGACTTTAACTTTGTGCCAACTAATGGGTTTTCCATTAAACCACTAAAAGTTAAACTTTTAGCAGTGGAGCAGAAAGCAACCGAGTTCAGGGATCCGAATCTTCAAACAATGAATCTCTTCAAACAAAGGGCCACAGCCCTCGCCAAACTGGGTGGTCTGTGGAGAGAAGGACGGTGAAGAGAATGGAGAATCAACACTTACTAGATCCCCCAGCTAGGTGCAACCTTTCTCTCCCCTTTTTTGGTTGAGAGGGGTTCCCCTACTAAAATAGACTACAGCAAAAAGCGTACCCTCTCCACTGGAGGATCTAGCTTAGGTACATGGGCAATGTCGTTTTGTCGAAAGGTACCTTGTCTTGGTATCAAAAGGCGGCCAGCAGGAAACTCCTCATTTGGCTCAAAGACGGTTCGAGCCTGCAAAAGAGATTCCCCCCCAAAAAAAAAAAGAAAAGAAAAGGAGGTGCCTCAGAAGAGGAATCGGAACCCCCCTACAAATGGGGTTTCCGTTTGGGTTTCAGCCTCACAAAGAACATCCTCAGAAAAAGCCCATGGTCCGTACGAGGGACCTCCCGAAATGATGGGTTTGCTGGATTCCCCGACCAGCCAAAAATGGGAATTTCCCGAAAAGGATGCCCAGCCTAGGTCCCCCAGTGCCCTTTCTCACCCCTTTTTTGGTTGGGAGGACTCCCCAACTAAAAAATAGATTGCAGAAAAACGGTACCCTTGTTCTAACCTCTCTACTGGAGGACCTAGCCCACTTGGTCCAAACCGAATCTTTCAACCTTCCGGAGTCCCTTGCGCGAGAAACAGGTTGGTGAAGGTCTCAGAAGGTGAACCATAGTTGTGGAAAATCGGAAGATTGGGGTTTAGGCAACTTTCCTTTACCAAGGGAACCCCCACCCAAACAAGGTGGATACCTTCTGCGTCGCAAGTGAATACTTCCATTAGCTTAACCATTTGTCAGTCGTTTAAAGGGAATCCATCAGTCACTACTGGACATGTATAATGTGTTGAGGAGGGAGGAGTCTTGTAAGTGGTCCCATTTTTGGGAATGGTGACATTGCCCGAAGCCATGAGGGTCAAAATGTGAGGAGGTCCTATGCACCCAGAGTTTTTTGGGCGGGATTGTATGGATGGCGTGGGATCTTTGCGCTGTTCAAACATTCCATGTATGCTCACCAATGGGTTTGGCAGAGGTGACGACTTTGTGGATGTTTCAAAGTTGGAAACCAACATGATTTTCTGCAAAAAGCCAGAGAAACACTCATCAGCAAGCGCAGGGGGGGAAACCAACATGATTTTCTGGGGGGAACCAGAGAACACTCATTGGGGCGCCAAGTTCGTCCTGGCTTTCTGGATGCACCAACCACTCTGCAAGCAGCTTCGGCCCGCAAGGCCTCTGAGGTCGACTCCTCCAAAAGGGTTGCGTGGCCCTTTGTTTGGCCGTGGCGTTATCTCCTTCGACGGGGCGGCCCTCGTGTGTGCTTTACGCCGGCTGTGGCAGGATAGACCAGGACTGCCAACCGTCTCTTCAGGAAGAGGTGTCCTGGTGTTGTCGAACTGGCGGACATCGCACTGGTCCGCAGCCTGAGAGCTGAGGAAGAGGAACGAGGTTTCGTCACACTTCCAAAAGCGTGGCAAAGAATCCTCTCGAAGGCTCTTTTTCCTGAAGATTGCCATTTCGTGCATTTGACAAGGGTGCAGAACGTGCTCAAGCCTGAGCTCGCTTCAGGAAGTACGCCAAACTCGTGAACGTGCTCGATTCTAGTTCCCTGTCTTTTGGGCTTCGGCCCTTGTCTCTTGTCCATGCCTGCATATGCGGGGTATGGCGCAAACGCAGATTGGATCGGCAAGCGTGCGTTTAACCCACAAAAGTTTGTTGTTTTTTAGAACGGGGCAGCTCAGTTTGGTTTGCAGTGTCATTTGGCGATTTGTGGGGGTCCAAGTCAGCTCGTGTTTCTGTTGAAACTAGCAAAGTGGCTTCGACGCTTCGGGGGCCAACCTCTAATTGGTTTGGATCGGTACTTCCGGGGGCTTCTGGGGGCAACCTGAGGTGGCTATGGTTCAACAGACTATCATGGTTGTTGTTGGGAAACATTTTACATGTTTGCTTGTTGTAGTTTAGTGGGAAATCCCCACTCAACTGCTAACATTTAAATTTTTGCTCCCAAGCTATGCCAGCAACCTCTTGGTTTGAATCGCTTGGGATTCAGGTCCAGCCCTTTGGCACGTGCTCTCCAGCAGGTGCTCTGGGTGGCCTTGCTGGGCTACTTCATCTTCGGCGTGGTTGGCATGGACCTTGGGACCCGCCCGTTCTGGTGCTTGCTGGTGTCCTTTTCTGGTACCGGTGATCCTGAATCGGTTTGGGGATGTGAATCCCTGGTTCTTGTGGAGGGTAATTTCTTCACCATTACTCCACTAGATCACCAAACCAAGCCACCAACTGTGGGAAAACTAATTTGTTGAGTTAATTTGACGACTTCCCCTTTTCCACTAGCCTTGCTGGGTTTCAGGGAATGAGTTGGGATGACCCGAAGCTGCCTTTTCAGGGATGTTGTGACACCTGAAAGCACGAGACTTCAGAGTGCTGCTTGGCAAGCGACAGCAGCTGGCATGTGGTAACTGGCAAGTTGGCAGAGAGGATATTAGACATGATGAGACGACTTACATGTGTGTGTGTGTTTTTACATATTACCTTTTCTAGATGTATTCAATTATTGCAAATGTAAAGCGGTCCGTAGTTGTTGACAGGAATCTGCCCTGCTATTTGGCGCGACATGTATATAGTCCCGCCATATGATTTTGGTGCAACACATCAGCCGAGTTGGGCTGAATTCAGGCGAAACCTTGTTCTTGGCCAGTGGCTTCCGGTGGGTTCGGTGAAGGGTCTCCTCTTTGGCGCGTGCCTCCCAAGTTTCTTCTGAGGGTACCCAATTCAATTCGCAGATGCAGGTGCCATGTGGCATCAGAGCAGCATCTTGAACAAGGCTCTGACAAAGGCGCTGAGAGAGCCGCAGCATGCCTTGCTTTTTGGAGACTGCGTGTCACGAGGTTTCAGGCAGCCCTTTCATGGTTGTTGTTGGGAAACATTTTACATTTGCTCATTGTGGTTTAGTGGGAAATCCGGCATGACAAGCTGGGCCTGAAAAGGCGATTTTCAGGACTTTATGGCCCTTTCGAACAGTCCGGCCGTTTTACAGCCCAAAATCGCACCCCCCCCCCCCCAAAATCTGACAACATGTGACCAATGTTTGACTCGTTTCTGTCATTTGGGTCGGACCAAGTGGCCAACCCTTAGACCTGAAACCCTGGTTTCTGATGATTCCCCTGTAAACACCAACAAGTACTGGTTTCCCCTGGTGTCAAAGTGGTGCGAAATGGATTTCGTTCACAGCATTTGACCAGGTGGAGAAGATCCAACACCACCTGGCCAAGCAACGCTTGGTGTCCCAGAACGAGGAGGCGCGCCTTTTTGACAGGAGCTGACGGCTGGGACATGGCGTCGGTGTTGGTATCCGTGTGTTTCTGTGTTGACACTGTTTGTTCCTTGGTTTCAGGGAGTCACCAATTGGAAAACCAAAAATGTGTGGGGTTCCCCGATTTTGACATACCCAATTGTAGATAGTAGATGATGTTCAGTTTGGGTTCCTAAGATTTCTTTCCATGTGTGTAGCACTACAGACAGTTTTGACTTGTGTCAGGTGAGACGGTAACAATAGGATAGCAACCCTAGTGTCCCATTTGAAACTAGGTAAACCACGCATTCTCATGTTCCCTTGTGGAAGCAAGTACCGTCCAGGGCTCACATGGAGTCAGGCCTATATTGGAGTTACATTCCACTGCTGGTTCAAGGGTTGCGTCACACATTATGCTTACATAGCACTTGTTTTTGCTCTCACCCTTTTTGCTCGCACCCTTTTTTGCGCCTCATGTGCTTGACATTTCTCGTTGCATCTGCCTGGCGATTGCTGTATTTGAGTCCTGTCTCTCAATCACCGTAAACTTGGCCCTGCGGATGTTCAGGGGCAGAGCTCGGGTTTGTCGAAGAGCTTGCCCAGACGGAAACGGAGACCTCCCTTGAAGCAAAGGCGGAAGTGCGCGAAACCGCCTTTGGGACGACTGCCTTTCCGTTGCGGAAAGGGCGCAAAAAAGGTTCACTTCCACGTTTGCGGGAGGGAAAAGAAATCTGGAACCACGGCAAAAGGCCGGCCATGGAACCCTTGACGTGGATTGGTGCCCATGTGGAAAAGCCAAATCGTACCCCCAGTGAACATCCCAATCCAACCACTAAAGTAGGAAGCCTAAAATGGGTGGTGAATTCACCAATCCCAACCAAAACGGGATCCGATCCGTTTAACGGTCAAATGACAAACCCACGGCGTCACGTCAGTTGCTCTCTCTTTTTGACCAACCTCCAAGCGATCCCAGCGATCGAGATTTCGACGCCAGGGAGTTGCGGGCATGCCCAGCAAGGCAAAGGGGCGAACCGAGGGAAAATGCGAACCAACGAGTTGTCGGAGCTCGATGAAACCATGGGGTTTTAATACTGTGGATGGTTGCGAAATCCTCATTTCGCACCACCTAAAAAACAACCTGGGGTGAGTCGCTTCCCCTGTAAATATCGTAGCAAACAACGGTTTGCTATGGTTTCAAAGTGCTGCAGGATATCACTCAGTTGTTCAGTGGCTCCAATTCTTTTTCCAACTTTTTTTTGGGTGGCCCCACTAAAATGGTCCAAGCCCCAAAAAAGGGTTCCCTGTTTTTCCAGGGTCACTGAACAACTGAGATCACGTTGAAGGGACACCCAAAGAACACACATCCATTTTAGGGGAAACAAGCAGCCCTTTTGCCCAACACTCCTGTTAAACATGTGACAAATAGCTACTGATGGACAAAATCCTGATCCAGTTGGGATGGATTTGTCGCCCTATGAAGACTGGGAGCAACTGGTGCAGAATTGAATCGTGTGCATCCACGGGTTGTGGTTGGGACATATTTTACTTCGCTGTTCTTGGCATGTTTTTTGTTTTTTGTTTTTGTTCTGTTCATTATTACTGGGGGTCTGCAAAAAACAAAGTTTTCTGCTACCATACCAAGAGTTGAGATGTTTACATTTTTGCTTATTGTGGTTTAAAGTTTAGTGGTTGAAATCCAAGCACTGAACTCCTAAGATTTGAGACGTGTTGCTCCCCTTCCAACGTCAACCAGGATCCACAGCATGCATCCACAATATCTTTGGCACACGTTGCTTGCCAACTAATGGGTTTTCCATGAAACTACTAAAGGTTAAAAACAACAAAATACACCAGCATAGACCCCAGATAGCGAAAAACCAGGCCGATGACTGCACACCAGCACCTCTAACAGCACCTCCCGAAGAGCGAAACAGCACCCCCAGAGCACCCGGCCGTCAACCTTGCAAAAATGCACCCAGCACCCCAAACTGCATGGCCCCCTAGCACCCTGCCGTCAATCTCGCAAAAAAAATCGCGCGTGCCGTCACCAGGCCCACCCAAACAGCACCTGTGCCAGCACCCCAAGCTGCATGTTCCCCAGAACCCCTACCGTCAATTTCGCAAGCACGCACCTGCGCCCGGCCCTGCCCCCGCCCCCACCCCCTCTACCCCAACTTCACCTGCACGAGCACCCCAAATTGCATGCCCCCTAGCACTCTGCCGTCAATGTTGCAAAAATGCGCCCGCACCGTCACCAGCACCCCAAAAGAGCACCTGCACCAGCACCCAAGCTGCATGCCCTAGCACCCTGCTGTCATATTTGCAAAATTCGCCCCAAACAGCACCTGCACCAGCACCACAGACTGCATGCCCCCTAGCACCTAGCCGTCAATCTCGCAAATCACTTTCCCCTCTTTATTAGAAATACACCAGCATAGACCCCAGATAGCACACCACGGCTACGAACCATGACGCAGCATTATCATGATGATGTAGACAGCACCATGATGATACCACAGCCACTGAGCATGGTGCGCTACAAACGCGCATACAACATCCTAATGAGTTCAGCAGCATAATGATGATGTTGAGAGCATCATGCTGATACAGTCCTGATGAGTTCGACAGCATCATGATGATGCGGACAGCATCATGATGATGCGGACAGCATCATGGTGATGCAAACAGCATCATGCTGATGGTAAAGGCAGCATCATGATGATACCACAGCCTCGAACCATCTTGCGACAGCATAATGAAATTCAGCATCAGCCTGATGTTGACAGCATCACGGCGCCACTACACCCACAAACCATAAAGCAGCAACGCAGTGACCCCAGTTGCATCATGACGTGGTTGGGAACATCATGACGATACACCAGCCACAAACCGTTACGCGCGAACAGCATCCACCAGCACCCCAAACTGCGTGCCCCTCCACCAGCACCCCAAACTGCATGCCCCCTAGCACCCGGCCGTCAAGCTCGCAAAACAGCATCCACCGGCACCCCAAACTGCATGCCCCCTAGCACCCGGCCGTCAAGCTCGCAGAACAGCATCCACCAGCACCCCAAACCGCATGCCCCCTAGAACTGCTCGCAAAACAGCACCCACCAGCACCCCAAACCCTCACCGTCAAGCTCGCAAAACAGCATCCACCATCACCCCAAACCGCATGCCCCCTAGAACCGGTCAAGCTCGCAAAGCAGCATCCACCAGCACCCAAACTGCATGCCCCTTAGCACCCGGCCGTCAAGTTCGCAAAGCAGCATCCACCAGCACACCAAACTGCATGCCCCTTAGCACTCGGCCGTCAAGCTCGCAAAACAGCATCCACCAGCACCCCAAACTGCATGCGCCCTAACACCCGGCCGTCAAGCTTGGAAAGCAGCATCCACCAGCACCCCAAACTGCATGCCACCTAGCACCCGGCCCTCAATCTCGCAAATCACTTTCCACTCTTTAATAGAAGTTAGAACCCCTATAGCTTTCAGCTATCTGGGGAATTAGAACCCCCATAGCTTTCAGCTATCTGGGAAAAAAGGGAAGCAGAAAGCCACCGAGACTCTATATGGCAAGTGCCAGTGAAATTGCTTGTGGATTTTTTGCGGCAGGTTGGTATATCTCCCCTTCCAAGGTCAACCAGGGTCCAAAGCATGTTGACCAACACGCAAATACAAAAACGGCCCCCGCGTCGGCCAGACCACCTACCACGTGGCTGCCCCGTACGGCGACGGCTCGCGGGACTTCTATGGGTCTATGGCGGAGACACCGGCAGAGGCGGCGGGTGTGTTGGTCTTGATCCGCTTTTCGGGGTGAAGCAATGGATCCCTTGAACTTCCATTTTTGCTTCAGCATGTTGAATGAGAATGGTTTTCATTTGTTTCAGCATGCTGCAGCATGTGCTTCGTTGGTGTTTCTGTATTTTCCCCTGGTTTGGATGGGAATCTATCACTGACATGTCTATGAGTCGTGTTTGCCAGTCGACGCCATTCGGGAACTCAGCTCAAGGGCCCCCAGTCATTCCCGGAGGGTTGGCACGGGGCTTGGTTGGGGGTTGGGGGGTTGGGGGTTGGGGGTTGGGGGTTGGGTTTGCCCATTTTGAGATACCATTTGTTTGGGATTGGCCAGACAGGCTTGGGGGGTTCAGGCGTTTTACATGTTATACGCAATGGGGGCAGATCCTTTGGGAGAACCAACTACCAACCATTGGTGGGTTTCCTGATCTCTCTTTGCTTGCGTGTTGGTTTTTTTGTGTTTAGTATTATTCATTTGCTGGGGGGCGGGACTGCACCAAAACTTTCCGAACCACCAATCCAGTATCAACGGGGGTCGAGACACTGGCTCTGACTAGACTAGTGTTTGTTTTGTATCGCGGCAATGTGACAGGGACCGAATTTCCCGATGTCTCGAGGGACCAGTTTGACGGGTTGTTTGCAAACATCCACCTGCATCCCGAAGCACCTAACTCAGAACGGTGCTAATTTGCTGGTTGACTTGAGAACAACCAGCCCATCCATTTTCTCATCCCTAAATGTCAGCGAGTCAAGCTGGATGACGTTTCATGCATAGAATGCCGCTGCTATGCACATCGCCGTGTGCAAGCCAAAGGAACCTGTTTGTTGACCCCCCATTCGGGGTCCCATGTTTGGAAACACTCACCCAACTTTTGGTAGCATCCATAGGAAATTTGGGTTTGTTTGTTTCTAGGGACTCCTCCAAAATCTTGGTTGCCTTTTGATTTCCCTCTAAACCCCCGAAAATGGGTACCCGCGAAAAAGCCAGGCCCATATCCACTCCTGATACGTCCACCTTGCGGATTGATATGGTAGGGTCCGCACTGAGTGTGTCCCTTGCTTCCCCTGTGGTTTTCCATGTTAACCAGCCCAGAATTACTGTCATTTGGTTAAGTGTTTTTTCTTCTGTTGGTTTTAAAGGGAATCTATCACTACTGGAAATATGTTTGCCTATAACTACTGGAACTATATATTGTTTTTGCAGGGCACTTAAGCAAATGGAGGATTAGCATCAAACCAAGGTCACCTAGGCCATCGCTTCTTGTTTAACGGGACCCCAAAGTTGATAAACCGTTTAGCGGGTCGTCCATAACTCAAAAACTCAAACCTGGTGGTAAGGAACCTGAATGACCATGTCTTGTTAAGCGGGCCATGACCATAGGCTATATGGCTGTGGCTCAAAACCAATGGTACCATTTTGGGGTAGGTGCACCACCCATTTTAGTCTATTTTGGTGGGGATTGGAATGTTCACTGGGGGACGGGATTTTGACCCAGGGCCATATTACGAGAATGAACATTTTAGCCTGGCAAGGATCTGTTTTACCATCATAATGATCCCTTTGGGAACCATAGACCCCTTTGCTTGGGGGTTAACAGAGATGGTCATCCAGCTGGCAAGTTGTTTGTTTACCACAATGATTCCTATGACAACTGTTTTCTCAGGCCGATTGGGAGTTTTGACGCAGGTGAAACTGGCAGCCTATAAGAACCCCATGTCGCCTTACTACCTCTACGCGCTGACCTGAGACCGAAGGGACCAGACGATTTGGGATACAAGTCCCAGGCTGTGGTTCCTTTTGTTTCGCTTAGAGGAAAACCGCAAGGAACACCATAATTTTGGTGGCCCCCTTTCAAAACGACACCCATATGGGTGTGCTACCCTTCTTGGGCTTGGTTTGGAGGGAAATCCAGAGAGAAACCACCTGCAGGCTTCCGAACCCTACTTTGAGACTCACCGGGTGTTTCTCAAAATAGGACTTGAACTCCAAAAGCAGTCGGTTTCTTTTGGTTCCCCTTTGCCAAAAAAGGGGGTCGAGACGAGCTCCAGCGTGAGAAACTCCTAAGACTAGGTCCCCAGCTAGGTGCCCTTTCTCACCCCTTTTTTGGGGGTGGGTTCCCCTAATATAGACTACCGCAAAATCATTACCCTTACTCTAACCTCTCTACTGGAGGACCCAGAAGATATATTTCGCATGTTCTCCTGGGAGAAGAAGGGAACCCTTGGGGTTGATCAGGAAGGGCTTCAGAACCCGTCAACCGGCGACTGAAGGGAAAAGGAAACCGCAAGCGTGAAACCGGAGCAACGCAAGTCATGGTTGCGTTCCCTTACCCAGAGGGTCCCTTGGTACCTTCTAAGGAGGCACCAAGGGACCCCTTTTCACACCCCAGAAGCCATCCTCAGGAGGTACTTGGACCCTCTGAGTTAGGGCAATGCCGCCCGCCATCTCAGAGACCATGGTCAGATTCAAGGTGTATGGACTTTGGATGTATCCGGACAGCAACAAACCCACTGGGAAGTGAGTCGCACCTGACTTTGTTTAGCGGGGTAGAGAAGTCCTAAAGTGTTGATTCGTAATTGCCACATGATCTGCCAATCTAGCTGGCCGCCCGCAGGCAGATAGCAGTTTCATCAGTCATCAGCAACCGATTTGTTCCACTTCTCTTTTTCCATCCCTAGTCGGCAATATGAATCGTCCCAGCCCCGGATGCGAAGGTGAACATGTGTGAACAAGTTTCTGGAATCAATGAAGCGAAGAAAGCCATTCGGCCGCCTCGCATGGGCGAAAGCTGCATTTGCATGCTTGCATGCTTTGCGGCTCATCTCTTGATCGACCATTCAAGCATTCAGGGTGAATGGGGAGGCTGCGACACCCAACAAAAATCATGACAGAGATTTGGCACCGAGCCTTTGCCAAAGATGAGTTTGTGAGCGACACGCTACATGAAGCGCAGGAAGGCTTCCGTGATTTGTTTCTAGTCGAAAGGTAGCAAGCGCCCCTGAACTTGGGTGGTTCGGTTTGTTGATAACTGAGTGTGGTGGCTGGGTGGTGGGATGCTTCCTTGCCTTGGCTTGCCTTGGCTTGCCTTGCCTTGCCTTGCCTTGCCTTGCTTGATTGGTTGTTTGACTGGCTTGGTCTTGATTGATATGATTTCGTTTGGTCAGGCGTTGGGCATCATCATGCGGGCCAGGCTTTCTGCTGACCTGTCACAGGAACACAGTATGCACTCGAGGTTTGGGGCTGCTTGAAAGTTGCTATGCTGATGTTCGACGGGTTTTGGACCCAAACAGTGCCATGTTCTGAAGTGACTTTCCTGGTGACGATGCAGGAGATATGTTTCCCTGTCCCAGATATTTCATCCTTAGTTGCGATCAAATCACCAGGGTTGTTCTTTTGGGGCGTTCCTGAATAACCCAGCAGGGGCATGGTTTCCTTGGCTTTCATGTTAAAATCAGGGGAAGCAAACTCGTTTTCTGAAACCCACATTGCGGGTTTCAGAATACGAATTTGTTTCCCCTGGTTTACCGGGACACTGTTACTACAAGACATGTTTTGTATTTCCCAGAAACTCCAGCAACTGGAAGAGAAGGGTGGAAGTCTTGGCGCGGTTTGCTTTGGTTTCCGTGGTAACAGCGGCCGAGAATTCCTGCCTGAGAAGTCCTGAACAAGCGGTTTCCTTTTCCCTTCAGTCGCCGGTTGACGGGTTCTGAAGCCCTTCCTGATCAACCCCAAGGGTTCCCTTCTTCTCCCAGAACATGGGTCCAAGTACCTGAGGATGGCTTCTGGGGTGTGAAAAGGGGCCCCTTGGGGTCTCCCGAAGCTGAGAGCCACTCGGTTGATCAGGATTTCCGGGTGACCAGTAGGCACCACATCAGAGTTGCGTTACCCATGGTTGTGGGACCGTTGCAATTTTGATCAACCCCCCGGTGTAGTTTCTCCATGTTTTTCAGGAACTTTAGTTGTAGGCTTGCTCCAGTTCTTCCCCCCAAGCCGTAAAAAATGATTGACCCGTCCCGACTTACCCTCCCAATTGGCATACCTGACCTTCGGGTCCTGGTTTGGACCATTTTCCGGGTCTGTGGGCCGAAGACTTGCGTTCCTTCCGGTTTTTCTCCGGAGGCCAAAGCATCAGAGCAGCCCAACGTGAAGAGCTCAGGACGGGTGAGTCATAGGATCAGATAAAGTCATGTCGGGTCAATCGCGCGAAAGCCAGGCTATACTTGTGGAATAGTTATTTCAGGCTTGGAAACTGTAATTTGCCCAGTGAGGATCATCCTTGACTTCCCCAGACGTTTGCAGGACCAGGGCCGAAACTGGGGCCATAAACAAAAAAGAAACAGCCCAGGTCTCGCAGCTTGCGAGCACTCAGCACAACTCGCAAGGATCAATGGTTCTGTGCATGAACCAAATCCGCTTTGCCCCAGCAGGCGGGTTGTAGGTGCATCCTTCTTCTTTTTGGGGAGTTCATCCGGTTCAGCTTTCCAGGCGCAGCATCATAGCTCACTTGCCCAAAGCGAATCGACCTTTTGACCTTTTGGTTTTCCCATGTTGGTCCATTTTTAGTAAAGGTCACAAAAGGTTAACCTTTTATTTCCAGGTCTTTTGGGCAAGTGAGATAATTCTTGTGCAAGAAAGATGTTTGGTTTCTGAATGATCCTTGATGCAAAGGTCTTTGTTTGCAGCTTGCTACACCAGCCGCCGACGCTCAGATAATGACTTGTTGCAGATACCCCGCATTTCGGAGACATCCCAATGCAGTTGCTTTTGGACCCTAGATAAGTGACATTCGCCAACAATCTAGGGGCCCCATTCTTTTCAACCATCATTATTTTCAAGAACCGACTGTTTCCCCTGGGTTTTTGATGGTTTCCTGAAAAGATGTCGGATCCCTGGGAAGAATGGAAATGGAAGGTCCCCCCAGAAACAAGCTGTGTCCTCTCAAGCCGTGTCCTCAACAAGAGAGTTGAAGCTGTGACAGTCCACAGCTCGAGCACCCGACACAGACACCTCTTGGTGGTTCCCAACCATCCGGTTCCTTTGCTTTCTATTCAGTTGTTCAGTGGCTCCTTTTTCCTTTTTTTTTGGGTGGCTGCCCCACTAAAAATTGTCTTCCCAAAAACGGGTTCCCTTTTTTTTCCAGGGTCACTGAACAACTGAGTTTAGACCTTGAGGTTTTAGTGGGGGTGTCCATTTATCCCACTAAAAGTTAGACGTTTAGGGGATCCGAGGACAGCCCAGACCTGTGATAGACCTGACCCCCGACAGTCAGCGGCTTGACGACCCTGAGGGTACCGCCGGTGAGTGGCCCGGGTTTCCAACACGCGCGCACGCGCACGAAAAGCAGGCTCACACGCGCGTGTACCTGCAAGCGCAAGCACACGCACACCCTAGCTACCCAAATACACGCACACACACACAACAGACAGACGGACAGACAGACAGAGAAACAGACAGACAGACAGACAGAGACAGAGACAGACAGACAGACAGACAGACAGGCAGGCAGGCAGGCAGACAGACAGACAGACAGAGAGACAGACAGACAGAGAGACAGGCAGGCAGGCAGGCAGGCAGGCAGGCAGGCAGGGAGCCAGAGATACTTACAGAGACACAGAGAGACAGAGAGACAGACAGACAGAGAGACACACAGGCAGACAGACAGACAGACAGACACAGACACAGACACACACACACACAACATCCACTTCCTCTCGCTCTCTTACACACACACACACACCCACACACACACACACCTACGCACCTACGCACTCACGGACTCTTGCTATCACGACCGCATGCAAGCAACTGCACACACGCACGGACGCACGCGCCCACCCGAGAGGCACGCCCCGAACGAGCTGCCACAGCCATTGCATGCATGGCCGGATGTTGAAGGCGCCCTGAATCATGTGTGTGTCTTTGTGCGTGAGTTGCCTTCCTTGCCTTCCTTGCCTTCCTTGCCTTCCTTGCCTTCCTTGCTTGTTTGTTTGTTTGTTTGCTTATTTGTTTGTTTGATTGATGTTTATTTGCTTCTTTTGCTGTTCTTTCCTGGTTCTTTGTTTGTTGCTTGCTTGCCTGCTTGCTTGCCTGCTTGCTTGCTCGCTTGCTGGCTTCTTGGCTTTGCTTGGCTTTGCTTTCCTTTGATTTTGCTTCCTGCTATACTCGTTGTATTAAATATAGGTGTCTTTCAAGTACCAGCCCTTCTTGGTTCCATGGCCCGCCGATGCAGGAGTCTTCTCACGATCTCCTTATGAGCTGTGAGGATTAGAGAGTCCGCTGAGCAGAGAAGAGCCTTAGGACTATGACCAACATAGTTTACTTGCGCCTGGTTTTCATTCAGGAGCGATTCCAGATGCTGCAAGATTGTTCAAGCTTCCAAGATCACCCCAAGCTGACCACTTTTTTGGGGCAAGCTGAGCAGTTGCGAATCCATCGATTTGATGGTTGGCTTGATGCACACAACTTCAGCAGCACGACAAGCTGGAAGCACTGGGGAGGTGCTAGAAGATGAAGATAAATCAACTCGATACCCATGCTGAAGGAGAAGCACTAGCATAAATTTGATAGTCTTCAGCTAGATCCACACAAAGTTTCACTACTCGTATGGGCGTGAACGGAGAAAGAAACAGGCTGCAGGCAGGCTGCAACAAAATTAAGGTTCACTTCGGATGCTTTCCGGAGTGCCGAAAACCGACCATTTGGCCTTCTAGTTTTCCCGTTTTGGCATTCAAACTTGTATTTCTGGAGGAGTTTCACAATCAGTTTTGGGGATCCTTTGTCTAGGGTCCGATCCCGCTGATTTGAGGCTGGTGCTATTTGCAGCCTGCGGCTCACTCTCCCTGTTGCGTTTGCATGCCAAGAGCCAAATCGAGACAATCGCTCAAGGCCCTGAGCTGCTGTCAGCGTTCACGTTGGCATTGGGCGTCGTGCTAATATGTTCAATTTAGTATTCCGAATTTCCGGGCTTAAACATGGCAGGAGCTTCCCACTGTGTGCGCGGAAGAGACGCGCAAGGGCGGTAACCGAAAGCATTGATCGAAAAGTAGTGATAACTTGTGTGTAGATTTAGGTATGCATCAGGACCAAGATCGGTGCAAAGGGGGGGGGGTTCGGGGGGGGAAGGGCGGCGGAAGGGGAGTTTTCAGGAGAAGTAATTTTGCACAACCCCCATATGGTTGCCGTGACCGATCTGGACTGCAATTTTTCTGACCTGCATTGTTGGCATTCACATCCCGCAGTCTCTCTGGGTTTACAGTCATTAGCCAGGTTGAAGATCAGAGAGCAGGATGGTCTTCCGGTTTTGCATGGCACTCTTGCTTTCTCTTGGCATGGCATCCGAGAATGCCACGTCCATGACGACGACATCGACTTACGTCATGACCAGTGCCACGACGACCGAGACCGAGACGACCACCGAGATGAATACCACAACCACCGTGACGACTAGTACTACGAACAAGGATCAGATTGGGGTGTCCTTCGGTTGCCATGCAGTTCCCAGCATGGTAGCTCTCGTTGGGCTTGCGGTGATGTGAGTTAGCCTTGGAGACTTCCGTGTCACCCGCATGTGGGGCTGTCTCTAGGCTTTTTCCCCCAGCTCGAGGCTCGAGAATTGCTCCGACGAAGCTCGTGGGCTTGTAGCTCTAAGCGGCTCCATAGCCTGAGGGGGCTTGCAGGAACTCGTTTCCGCTTTTGCTTGCAGTGGAGCTGTGCAGCGAATTGGCCGTGCATGTGCATACGGTTGTCCTCTGAATACTGTGACAGCGAGCACAGAATCTGGAGGGACGATCGTGTTTCGCGCTCCCTAGATTTCCCCAAGCAGTAAGCATCAGCGTCACCAAGCATCGATTGTAAGTGATGTTCACGGAAATCTGGTTGGAATTCTGTCTCACCTCACCCATCAGACATCATCAGACAACCAACGAATTGCAATGTGCCAAAAGGATGTCATGCCTATTGCGTGGACGCCCGTTTGGCCCTTCCCCGTTGCGGGCGCTCTATCCAGAAGGGCTCGGCAGCTAGATGTGAAACATAAGGAACGTCCTCCCATAGGGTTGTTGGACATATCTGCGCATAGCATCCTCGGATTTGGATGTCCAGGTCCCGAGTCAATCCAAATTCAGAACCTCCGTCGCTTATTATGTTTGGTCGACGTGCCTTCCGCAGCCTTTTCTGGCATCAAGCTTTTGCACTTTCAATCCAGATCTCGTCGTCATGTCCCTCCGCTCTATCCTCGTTGCCCTTTTTCTTGGGGCAGCACTGGCTTCGGAGAACACCACCACGACATCCACCACGATGCATGCCAAAAAGAGATATACCTTTTCGACCTTTCGCCATTGTGGGTTTTCATCTTGTTCTCTCTCAAACGGCAAGAAGCCAACCTGCTTCACCTTTGTGAGGTTTGGGGCCTTTCAATCAGCAAGTTCGATTTTTGTGTGGGCGTGCCCAGGATGGACGGGAATATGACTACGACTATGACCACGACCACCGGAGACAGCGGTGGCCAAATCAGCTTCGGCTATATGGCGGCCCCCACTTCCCTGGTTGCCGTCACGTAGCCAGTTATGTACCCACGTTTACCGTGGTTGTTTTCTTTTTGTTTTTTGCTTTTGTTAACCAAAGGTGGCATACATATATAATTATATATATATATTATGCATATATGGCTGTGGGTCAAAACCAATGGTACCATTTTGGGGTAGGTGCACCACCCGTTCTAGTCTATTTTAGTGGGGATTGGGATCACTGCAAATACGGGACTTTGACCCATGGCCGTATATATATTGTATATAAAAAAAATCCCCAACATGCTGGAACCCTCCGGAACCTCCCTGAAAGGTGCCCCCCATTTCACCAGAGCCTAGCTGGGCAGAGACCAAATCCATAGTGGTTAGCTGGGGGAAAATATTGTTTGGGGAGGGCTGAGTTGTGTAAACTAAATAAGCTGAAGAGCCAAAGCTTATCCAGAATCAGTGGGAGAGGGTTCCAAATTGTTTTGATCGATTGCTTGATCGGTGCCCTCGGAACTATCGAAGTGATATGGGCAGTTTGAAGAGGAAGGTAGGCTTCCAAAGCCCTCCTGTCCACGTACAATAGATTCTTTGGTGCATTTTGCTAGGACTTTAACTTTTTGCTCCAACTAATGGGTTTGGTTTTCCATTAAATCACTAAAAGTTAAACTTTTAGCAGGCGAGCAGAAAGCAACCGAGGATTGCTCCTCTTTGTTTTCCGTTGCCACTAAGGTCACGATTGGACTCATGAACGCTTGATGTCTTGGCTTTCGTGAACTCTGCCCAGAAGCCGTGAAATCATGCGATGACATGATCCACGAATTGGACCACCCCCGGCACATCTGTGCGGTCCTTCCAATTGGCGGTCCAAGGCTTGTGGCAGACAGTGCCCACTGGACTTGAAATGGAATCTTGCTCAGCTTTATGGCCCCAAATGAAAAAATCCGTTGAGGAGAAACGCAGAAATATCTCAAGTTTGGCGGGCAACGCACGACGATGTAATGTATGGATGGAGTCCAGAGACGAGAGATACCAAGGAGTATCCAAGGTAGTCGAGCAAAACAAGGCGCCACGAGTGTCGCGCGCCTTTTCGCACAGAACTTTGGCGGAAGGAGGCAGGTAGAAACGACCTGAGCACAAATGGGTCCGAATTGACTTGTGCCCGCAGAAGGGCACTTTTTCCTGATGGGTTTAAAGTCGTGTCGTACGTTCAGTTGCTTGAGAATAGGTTTTATTTTCCCCTTTTCCTTTTTAAGGGAATCTATCACTGCTGCAAATATTTGTATCTTTTGTTCAGTGGGCTTAACATGGAGGTGTGTTGATTCCCACTTTTTTTTGGAGCAAGTAAGCCATCCTACCGGAGGTTTTTTTGCATTTTCCAAATGGCTGTGGCTCAAAAAACCGGAATTCCAAAATGAGTTGCCCTGGTAAGTGGAAACATGGACCAAAACCTGCGGTTTGCCCCTCCGATCGTTTAATTTTGAGCCACACCCAAATCAAAGCCCCGTGTCCATCGCTGCGAATTACTGGGTTTTCAACTTGCTCAAGTGGCATCCCCGGCGCCTGCAAACGGCTCACCTGCTGTCGCAGCCATTTTGCACTCACAAGAGAATCAATGCCCAGAGAACCACGCGCCGGCAGAATTCCCCCATCAGATACTGTAGATGAAAAAGAGAGATAGGTAGATGGACACATAGATAGATAAATAGATAGATAGATAAATAGATAGATAGATTAAAAGAGAGATAGATAGAGAGAGTGAGATAGAGATAGATAGGTAGATTGGGCTTTGTCCAGTTGCAAGCCCACCGGGTGCAACCGAAAGTTTCGAGAGAAGACAAAGCAGCGAAGCACACAGACACAACCTCAAACACGAATTCAACCAAAAAGCCAGCAAGCAAACATAAGGAGCAACACTCGGAAGCTTTATTCGCAGCAGCCCCCGACTCGGAGTTGGTTTAAGCCGGTCAGTCGGCTCAAATGAAGTGCGGAAATGTCGCCATGAGGCTGGGAAGGAATCCCTATGCGAATTGGAGCAAATCAGGGTCCCATCCCATGAATGCGGGTTTGTCTCAGGAGGGAGAACATCCGAACATCCCCCCCCAAAAAACCGCGCACACACGTCGGTGTGCCTCTTGTTTCCTTTAAAAAGAACCCCCAAAAGGGCACTCAAAGAAATTAAGACACGCCCATAGATGGACAGGTGTCCCCATCCTTGAAGGGGCTGTTCATTTGTTCGAATGGCTTCCTTTGGTTGGTATGGAAGACACGGTATCAGGTTGGCCTTCTGATGTTTTCAGCTGGGGTTGGGAATGACTTCGTGAAATGGCTTCTTATCAGCATCGCAGCGTGATCCATCCAGCAAGCAACCCACTGATTTTCCATGGCAGTTAGTGACTGAAATGAGGTTAGGTCAAATATCCAGGAGTCTCTGGTCAATCAGGGCAAAACACCGGGGGACACTCTACATTTCAATCCGAAAGTGAGGTTCGGTCAAAATGTCCAGGAGTCTCTGGTCAATCAGGGCAAAACACCGGGGGACACTCTAAATTTCAATCCCGAAGCCCAACGCCAATCGCTTTTCACACTTACGCTCTTGGCATGCCTTTGTGCCGGGCATGCCAAAGGTCAACCACCGATTTTGGGCGATCCTTTCCTCGACGATCTCTCAATAAGGTTGAATGTCGAAGCTGGTGAAACCGTTTCCATCCTCCGTCTCCTAGGCGTTTGCCTCAGACTTAGACCCCCAAGTCTGGATTTGCCTTTTCCTGCCCAAATACCGGCCCCTCAGGTTTTGCGACTCATCACGCCATAAAAAAGCACAGTTTGAATACCTGAAAGGTGATGCTTCAAACTTCAACCCACCCTTTAAGCGGACATACAGGGAACCGGGCAGGTCAGTTTTGCATTCGGAAAGCTTGATCGGCGAGACCACCGCAGTGAAGGGTGGCAGAAAGGTTTCCGCGACTATGAAATTGGATGACTTGCTGGGCAAATTATGCTGAGCTCACATGGTTCTGATCAGGAGCAATTGAGCCACAACCGAACACAGCTAGATGAAGTTTAGTAGGGACGTTCCCAATCAGAAATAGGTGCTACTGGATGTTTAACTGTTAGGACTTTAACTTTTTACCAACTAATGGGTTTCCATTACACCGCTAAAAGTTAAAACTTTTAGGGGAGCAGAAAGTAAGCGAGGTATCATGGTTGTTGTTGGGAAACATTCACATTTTTGCAAATTGTGGTTTAGTGGTTGAACTCCAACCACTTAACTGCCATTATCTGAGAATTGTTGCTCCCCTAACCCAACGCCAACCAAGGTCTGTTTTTCAGAGGCCAGCTCAGAGCCTTCCCTTCAGACAGGTTCGAGAGTAAGCCTTCGATTCGATCGAACGGTCCGAAGGCGAATTCTAGTGTTCTCGCAATGCACCCGCACAGCATAGATGCCATCGGCGCATCAACCAGGGACATGGATGATTTGCTTTCAAACCACAAATTTTGGTGAGGTGAGACACACAGGACATGGATGTCGCTTTTGAGTTTATGAGGGTACGGGTGCAGCAAATGCAAAGACCAACCATCATTTGGAGTCTTCAGTTTCCAGACAGGATCACAAAAGGGATCCGTAAGCAACCCAAATCATTTGGATCCGAAAGCCCTTCCAGACAGACACATCATTTGCTTGTATCTTACGGGATCCGCTTGACAGGTTCTAACGAACCTGCTTCCGATCGCGACCAAATCACCTCATCCTTGTCCGAATCCGATGTCGAAGGCTCAACGGGTCGCCCGAAGAAACCCTACAGATTAAACATGGAGCCCCAACAGCCAACAGAGGAAACTCTTGAGTTTCTTTTGTTTTTTGGGTTCCATGATTTAGAGGGTGAGAGCCGTTACTGGGTGTCAGAAAACACCCAGGGGATTCAGGGGATAGCCTTATTGTTTTCTTATCCCTGGGATTCAGGTGTTGATGGAGCCACCGGTTCAGCAAGCCTAAGGCCAACCTGCTGGGATTGAGACTGAGGGCAATCTCTCCTCATCCAAATTTGGTTGCCCAGGTCCCCCAGTAGTGCCCTTTCTCACCCCTTTTTTGGGGAGGGTTCCCCTAAAATGGGCAGAAAAAAAGTTGGTACCCTTATTGTAAGCTCCCACTGGAGGACCTAGTTGCCCTTCTTGGTAGCCTTGAGCCAGTCCGGTTCGCAGGTTTTGAACATGGGGCCGGCAGCCCCAGTTTGCTGTACGCGCCATGCGCCGGCTTGAGTCTCTTTTTTAGGGGTCCCACCAAAATGGTGGTTTTCCTTGTGGTTATCCTTAAAACCATATACAAGAAATTTCCTCACAAACCGACACACCCACCTGACCTGGTTTCAGGGAAATGTTGGACAATTCAAGTCGGTAGAAGCCTACACCTTCAGAACCAACTTGGTAGAGCCAGAAGTCGATAGGGGTTAAGTGCTGCTCATTTGGGTATGCGGTTTTTTTTGTTGGTCTGGCAGGAGACTTAAAGGACACCAACCCCCAACATGCACTGTCTTGGATTCACCCCCCAAATGCTCGGTTGTCCCAGGCCTTCTGATTGCATCACGGCATCATCCAGCATCCTAGAACCAACTTGGCTATGAATTGAATTGGGGGACACTGGCCAAAATGGTGAACAGTCCCCATGTAGTTTCAAAGCTTGGCTGGGTGTGGCTCCAAAATATGGGTCCAAAATGTAGCCTAGCAATTGGATACGGCAGACTAAGATTTGTTTTATTTTAGTGTTTTGTTTTAAGCCACACCCAGCTCTAAAACCATTTTGGCTATGCATTTAGTTGGGGGACACTGGCCAAAAATGGCTGGTGAACAGTCTCAAAGCTTAGATGGAGTTCATGGCAAAGCTAGGTCCCCCAGTAGTGCCCTTTCTCACCCCTTTTCTGGGGGAGGGTTCCCCTACTGCAATAGACTACAGAAAAAAAGGTACCCGTATTCTAACCTCTCTACTGGAAGCCCTTGAAATGGTTTCAGCCCAGAGGCAATTGCTTAAGAAGGCCTTGCATTGGCCCTTTGATGAAGCACCAACAAGGGCACGTCGAATCCGGCTGAGGGCAAGATGCTGCTGGGCGCTTGGGTCGCGAGTCGGGTGGGAGGAGATTTGGGCCGTTCGCCCAAAGCGAATCGACCTTTGAGCCTTCTAGTGATTGGTTTCTCTGATTTCCTTCTAGCATGTTGGTTGTTTGATTTGGCAACCACATGCAACCATATTTTAGTAGAGGTCCCAAAAGGTGATCACCTGTTGTTTCCAGGTCCTTTGAGCACGTGAGACTGTGGATGGACAAAATCCATTTCACACCACTTGATTCTCGGGTTGTCAAGCAACCCAACTGGTGCGATTCGGATGTTGTCCACAGACTGTTGAGAAAGTTTGGGTTTTCGCGCCGCGCGTTTGCGATATTTTTTCAAGAGTTCAAGTGGTCATAGGGGTTGGAATCCCACTTGGGAACATAAAGGATTGGTCGAAAGCTCTAAAGTCCACGCCTCTCGGAGAACGTGTTTGCCTGCTGAAAAAGTTGGTGATGGCGGTTCCGAGTTCCATACAAAAGAGAGTAGGGCCTTTGCCATCATTCGGTCTTTTGTATCGCGAGGGGGGGGAGAGTGAAATGAGCCATGATGTAGGCGATGGCGACCCTTTACTTGGGAATCCATTTTTTCGGGTTCTTTGAATTTGCCGCTCCTTCCTGAATCCTAATGTGCCTTTGGGTATTATTCCCCTAAAAGGGGTAGGGGGGGGTATTGGATACCCAGGATACGCCAAGGATAAGCCAACTTGATAAGGGGTTCGTAGGTTTGCCTTGAAGGTCCGCATCCATTTGCATATTGTTTTTGTTTTTGTTTTTACTTTCTGGTTTTGAAGGGAATCTATCACTACTGGAAATATGATATTTTTTCCAGGGGGCTTGAGAAAATGGAAGTGCCTGGATCGTGCATCCTTCAGGCACCTTGTCACAAGGAAGGACCGAGCCGCTGGCAGCCGGCGTCCCAGCGCGGCTTTTGGTGTCCTCCCTGTCACAGGCAGCAAGGTGTCACGGTCCAAACATGGAGGCATTTTGACAACCCCCCCTTGGAAACCGAATCCAACCGATGTTTGTTCGACCTGGCCCCCAATAGTTGTTTCCCAAATCCAGTTGAAACATCAACTTTTGGACTACTTGCTGCCTTTGTTCTTGGGGTGATGTTGAAGGGAGAAGTAGGGAGCCCAAGGCCAAATGTTCGATGTTAACCTTCTGCTTTGGCTGTTTTTCAACCACAACGTGTTTTTCCCAACTACGTAGCAGAAGGGTTCCCGTGAAAGAAAGGGGTCTGGGATTATTCATGTGTTCGCAAGATGCGTCCCTAAGTCTGCAAGCGTTCGCAAGCGGTCGCCGGTGGCAAAAGTTGCCATGCCGTTGGGGCAGGCTCAGAATGTCCGATCTGTATGACTTGCAACATGTTGTTTTCGTTGCGCCCGTTTGCATGGCCGCGCCATTGCGTTTTGCGATTCAGAGGTGGTCGTTTTGAGGTGTCGTTTTGGTAGGCGCATGGAAGCGTTTGAGCAAGGGTCATTGTTGTCAGCGTTGTCACTTGTTTTGGCCAGGCGGAAGTCGAAATCATTGCTGCGCCGTCCAGAGCTAATTTCTGACACGCGCCGTGAGCGCGTCAAAGCTGGAGATCGTGACACGCACAGTACCTTTTTTGTCTGAAGCTAACTTTGCGTGACATGTGCAGCACTTTGGAGCGCTGTGAGCAATTTTCGCGGCGCCGTATCTTGTGATAGATAGGTAGGTAGGCCGTTTAAATGGTACACACAGACAGGTAGACAGAGATAGATAGATGAGATGCGCAGGTGAGAGTGTGAGAACGGTACCAGAGAGAGAGAGAGAGAGAGAGAGAGAGAGTTAGAGGATATGCAGGTAGCTAGACAGACAGACAGACAGACAGACAGACAGATAGTTAGATAGATAGATGGATGGGTAGAGAGTTAGAGAGAGAGATATAGCGATAGACAGATAGATGGAAAGGTAGACGGGTAGATGGAGAGAGGTGGGTGGATAGATTGATGGAACGATAGATTGATTCGATTTTCAGTCAGGTAGATAAATAGACAGCTCGGTGGACAGATGTCGTGCAGATGCATAGATGGACAGAAGGACAGACAGATAGAGAGATAAATACGCAGATGCACAGCAAATAATAGCAGCAACATGGAGGTTTAACATAGGGTTGATTCGGTTTGGGGTTGGGCAAGATGGGCCCTTGGTCTTGGCAATTCTCAACAGGGCATTTGTCCCCTAGCCCTTACACCCCCTGGTTTCCTTTAAGGTCTTTTTGGGTTCTTATCGTGGGGGCCCTTTGAGAAGTCATGCGTATGCACTGTTTGCGTATTGCGTTTAGTTCCTGGTTTATAGGGCCAAAGCCGTGATTGGTTTGGGGTTGATTGAAGAGCCAGAGTGGGATCGCAACAAGCAGATCACCTTTCGCATGCACAGAATCAATCGTGAAGCTGGGCACTTCGGATATTGAACCGGGTTTCCAGTTCAGCCGCTTGACCTTTCTTTGACAAGCAGAAGGCGAGGTTTGCTCGAAGGATAAGTCATGGTTTGAAGTACCTTTGCCAGCACTTGCAAACATAAGTGGGCAACTTGTTTTTACTTGGTGAAGGTGTTTTGGAAGATTCTGATTTCCAGTATTTCGATTCACCGGGGTCACTGATGGCTGATTTGACCCAGGCTTTCCGAAGACCCCAAGTTCGCCTTTGAAAGGACTTTTCTATTTGCGGCACTGTCCCGTCCTCCGATCGTTTAATTTTGACCCATATCCATATCCCACCTGCTTAAATCGACATATATCTGCGCAACCCGCTGTCTATTGTTCGTAGCACCTCCTGCCTAACCCCTCCTGCTCCAAAATGGGCAACGCCTCCCAGACGGGGGACCCCGGCAACCTTTCGCTGGGCACGCCGAGGTGGCCTCTAGGATCCGGAAGGCCTGGGCTCTCGCGACATTTGTCGGCCGCTGGTTGATCCAACGCCATGGGCTTTTCAAACGCCAAATCGTAGCCCCCAGTGAACGGGACCCAATCCAACCACGGAAATAGGTTCTAAAATGGGTTGCACAAAATGACGGTGGTGGTCATTTGACCGTTTTGGGATTTCATTTTGGTTGGTAGCTGAATTCGCCACCCGTTTTAGAACCTGTTTTAGTGCGGATTGGGATGTTCACTGGGGTTGCGGGCTTTTGACTCATGGCCATATGTTTCAAGTGGCTTTCGAGTAAGGCGATCGAAACGGGGGGGCTTCGTTTCCAAGGGGCATGACTACTGTTTGGAACCTGACGCCTTGCCGCCAGTTGAGGGGGATGTCAGCCACCCAAAAAGTTGCCAAGCAACAAGCAGAAGGTTTCAGGAAACCTGTCCACTTCCATTGTCGTTAAGAGGGTATCCGACAATGCCAGTTCCTGTGACCAAGGGGTTTACCACCCTCAAAAGACCAAAAAAGCAAAGGCAGAGGTGAAACACCTGGGATCGCTTGGGCGAAATGGTGCAAGGCCAAACCCCCCTTTCCGCGAAGGTCATCTTGGGGAAGACAAGCGGCAAGCGGAAAACCAGATTGAAGCTGTACTGTCTAGGGCTTTGATTCGGTTGGGCATGGATGTTTATCCTTGCAAGGGGGGTGTTTGTGCTCTCGTTTAGGATCACAGTCTCTATCGGAGGTCACCCGGTATTTTCCTGAAATGGGCCAGGGTCTCCTGGGTTACCCATTATAACTATACAAATGGATACCCACTTTACGACAACAGACGTGGACAGGCGTCCTCAAGCTTTCTGATTTTTGCGTTTTGTCTTTTAAGGGTGGCAAACTCCTTCAGGAAGTGGAATCGCTGGACACGGTCCCGGCTTATCCAAGCCGTGACATCGTCCGAGCTTTCCAAAAAGCGGCTTCAGGCCGCAAAAACACCCACCTTGAAGACCTACAAGGACTGGGTTCGGCTGATGGCTGACAAAAATCGGACAAGGTCCCCCAGCAATTGGCAGCTAATTAGGTGCTGCCCGACCTCTCACCGTTTCTTTTTTGGTTCGGAGGGTTCCCCTAAAATAGATTACAGACAAAAGGGTACTCTTGTTAGGTCCTCTCTACTGGAGGACCTAGTAGGAATGGGTCCCCTCGAATTGTTGGCTTTGGGCTTTGAGAATTTCTGTGGAAAAAGACTCCCACTCCCGCCACAGAACAGCACAATGGGAAGCACTCGAGGCTGGAAGCTTTCTCACTCGTGAGCCCTGGACGAATACCGACGTATTTGAGAGGAACCAGCAAAGCCACACAGAGAGGCCAGCACTCTAGGGGTTGATTCCTCTTCCATTCTTTTGAGCCATCGTTCTTTCCAAAAACCCGCCATTTCCCCAGGGTTTTTGGTGGTTTTCTAGAAAGAAGGATCCCTGGAAAGAATGGGGAAGCTACCCCTACAAGTACACTTCACGAAAGCCTGTGGTGCAGGTTGCTTATGAGCGTCAGAGCAACACGCGTGTCTGATCTGGTCTCTGTGTGCAAGAACAAACAAACAAAGCCACGTCAGCGCTGCACTGAGCATTCCCAATGCTCTGTAGCAGGATCTGAAAGCATATACCCGTTTTTCCATGCAAGTTCCATTCTCCTGAAAACTGACATGGACACCTATAAGCATCGTGAACTCAGAGAGACTCGTCTTGAGCCTCTTTCATTGTTAGGATTCATGTTGATTTGCAGTGCGCTAAGCGCCGATCCCGTGCACCTCTTCCGTTTTTCTCGAACCCCAACCTGGATCGCGTTTGAATCAAGACGGACAAAGGGGGGATGGGATTGAATCAACAGGTCCAGAAAAGGCCAACGGGTGAGTCTGACTTTTCGCAGGGTCCCTTGAAGGATGCATTTGGGCTGGGTAACAAACCACCTTTACACAGCTGATTTAGAGGAGCCCTTGCAAGTAAGGTGTTCTGTTGCATCATGTCTTTTCATCAGGCTGGTTCGGATTGGTCGTTTGTGGAGTGGAATTGAACTCCTGGTTCTTGTAGAGGGTAAATCTGAGACCAACTCTTCGTCTCCGTCTTTGAGTCTGTGTTTGCGTGTGTGGGTGTGGTTAACTTTGGTTTCCCTTTGGGCTATGCTTGGGTTGAATGGCAACATTTGCAGGGACACCTCCAGGGACGTACAACCACGAACCATCCAAATAGCCCAAATCGCACCGCTAGCACAGCATGTTTCGGGATTACTGAATTTGAATTCGGTGGCTCTCAGCCATCCCTTAGCCTTTTCGCCTTTTAGTGTTTAGTGGTAGTTGCCATTTAACCCACTAAAGGATAGTCACTTTTAGCGGGGATCCGAAAACGGGCAGCCCAGTAGAGTGTATGCCCTTGGTGGGATGTGTTGTCACGGAAGGATGGCCGCGTGAACCAGACTGATGCTTTGCCCTGCCAAGGGCCGGAACTGGCGACAGGAACTTGCAGCTGCAGCAAATGCATACCCCAAGCTGCAGATGTGCCAAGATGCGAATGCATCGGAAGTTGAATGTGATGAAACAAATCTTTTTCCAGCGAAAAGACATCGTGACAGAAACCACCCAAAATGGGAAACTACCCCTAAGCTCCATTCCACTAATCCAAACTACCAAGTAAGGAAGACCATATTTTTGGTTTTGGGTTTGGAAAACAACAGAGAATGCACATGTTCTTGCTGGTTCTCAGCAGGGAATGATGGAGGGTGCCCTATACACCATCCCCAGTGGTTTCCCCCAAGGGCATCACTACATTCCCAAAACCCGGTCTTGGTCATTCCCTACCTATGGCACCAGCAAGTTGGGTTGAAGGGAAGCAAAAACAACAGACCAATCCAAGCCAACTAAGGGTACCCTGATATTTTTTTGGTTCTTCCATTTGCTTAAGACTATTTGTTTATTTTCCCCTGTTGGTTTTAAGGGAATCGATTTCACTACTGGAAGTATGTTTTTATTTTTTCCAGGGGTCTTAACCAAAGGGTTGGTGCAGGAAAACCAAAGAAACAACACATTTGTGGGTGGGTTTCAAGGGACAAGGGAAGACGGATCCAAACCAGGAGTTCCAGGATGCCTACTCGCTGAAGGGCCCGGTGAGACCCGGCGCCACTGCGCCCCTTGGGCGCCAAAAAGGGTCGAAATCTGGGTGTGTCTTTTCTTTTCGGACCGGGGACCAAACCCAAAAATGGCTTCGGTGTTTCTGTTAGTTTCACTTTAAAGCCAACAGAGGGACCCCTCAAAAAAATATTCCCATATGAAACAGAGTCGATCATTTGACTTGCATTGAGTTTCTTTGATCGGGGTCTTCCGTAAAGAGGTTGCCGTATTTTAGAGTCCAAGTATGGAGCACAGTCGGACCCGTGTGGACTGCTTGAAATCTGTGTACCCCTTTTGTGGGCCAAGAAGTGGGGGGCCGTTCGGCACCATAGCCGGATCGACTTGGCTCAGGTCCTGATACAGCCCTCGATATGGGTCTTACCCTTATGGGGTGGGTTTACAGGGTTGGGGCTCGACTGTTTTGACACATACCCATATGGGGTACAAGGTGCGGGGTGGGATAGACTTCTTGCTTGTTGGAGGCAGTACTTTAGGACACACCCACATCCGCCACAAAATAAAGTTTTGGCCTGCTAAGAATGGTCACCAGCACTTTGATTTGTAGGCTACCAGTATGTCAATAAGGCCAATGGTTGCTTACTCTGCTTGTTTCGGTCATCGATCCACAAAAGAGGAGGTTGGGGAACCATTTGGCAAGGGGAGGGGGGGAACGATTCCCCCTACAGCTAGCACCCCATTTGCCCCCCAGACACAGGTGAGGCTTGGCAAGGATTCCTAAAATTGAGGGCCCCCCCTGAGGATGCGGTTTAAAGTGAACAAAAAACAAAAGGCACCGTTGGGCGCTGTTAGGGGTGGTACTTGGGGAGGGGATCCTTTTTGGTTTTTGTCAGCCCCCCCCCCCCCAAAAAAAAAAAAAATGAAAATAAAGAAATCTGGTTTTCCTTTTGGCTTTCCCTAAAAAACAAAAACAAACAGAACGGGATGCTCTGAGGGTGCTGTGTTTTACAGTGTTTTAGCGTTGCCCTGTTTTTTACAGTGTTTTAGCTTTCTAGCTTTTGCAGCTGATCTCCTTCAATATGGATTATGGTTGATTCAAGTGCAATGCTTTGATTATGTAATTGTTGTAGTAGTCGACAGTGTGATTGAATCCATTTACATGCAAATAACTTTCCTCATTCGCGTTAGCAAGGGAATCTGAGAGCCTGGAATGGTAGATGTTGTTAGTGCCCGGGGGGGAGGGGGGGAGGGGGGGGTCGAAAAATACAATAATATATATATATATATATATAATGACATGTTTTTCTCGCCCCCCCGCCCCCTCCCCCCCCCTCCCGAGACTTGAATAGAATTCCGTCCCCCCAATGCGAAGTTCATGTCCCTTTGTTTAAATCTGCATCTGCTGCATTTGCCAGAAAACAATGGCTCCATGTCTGCTGACTGCCGGCTCTACTGTAAGTCCATCTTTGTGCAAGTGTGTCTAGATTCGTACCCAATCATCCTCCATGGCTGCGTCTCGTCCGGAGAGCCTCAATGCGCTGCCTTCGGCGCTCCACAGCCCAGACACCCTAATGGTTCGGTACAACAAGAGGGTGATGGTCCGCAATGGGTTGATTCGTGACTACGAACAGGTGATGCTCAAGTTCGGTGCCCCAGAGTCACTTCTCCCGACACCAGGCCCCGCTCTCAGCAAGAACTCATGGGGAGCTCCATGCTGGCACTATTCTTCGGCTTCTTCGCGAGTGTGACGATACGGGACATCGAGCAGGCTGCCAGAACCACTTCCTCAGTCGTTGTAGCCTCGCGCCCGATCCGGCCAGCAATCACACAGACTCGGTATGGATTGAAGAGTCCATTTGTGTTTTCATCATCCTTGAATCACGTCTGCACACATGGCAGAGCACAATCTTCGTGGCCAGATGGCTGAGCAGGTCATCATTCGATGCCCTTTCAGGAAGTGCTTCCCCTGTGACAGCCCACTCTACGAGCGTGACCAGGTGGAGGCAGGCATTCCTCTACACCATAGAGGGGGTGCAAGTCGTATAACACGCCAGAATGCGATGCACCAAGAAGACTTTCCGGCTGCATCACTACTACAATTATGCCTCTGTCGATGAAGATGCGGAGTATGTCTTCATCACCTCTGCAACAAGCTTCAGCAAGCTGTTCCTGACCTACCACGAAGCTTTGCAGCCCCGAGGCTTTGTCAATATGCGCGTCATCAAATGGGCACAGGCCGAAGCATTGTGGGAACAGGATGACGACAGGCAGGGCCGATGGCGCAAAAGTTACGCCGTGGCTCGCTTGCTCTGGAACGTCATGTTCGAGGGCTTCAATATGTGGAATGACTTGCCCCACAAGAAGCTCATCAAGAAACTACAGACCATCGACATGGAGGAGCCTCTGGGTAAGAACTTCATCATCGAGCGCAAGCAATGCTGGACATCGTGTGTGCTCTCCCAAAGAGAGCGCTCCAACATCACGGTGGTTGCCATGGATGGACACGAGAAGATCGCCACCAAATGCGCAGACGCTTCGTGCAAAAAGGGGGGCAGGCCAAGCGCCAATGGGAAGAAGCGGCCATCTACAATGGCTGGTTCATGATCAGCCCCGAGACTGGTTTCATCCTTGCCACGTAAGAGCCGGAGAACAATAAGATCGCCCTGAATGCCTTGATCGAGAACTTGTACACCCAGGTAGGTCAACTGTGTGGTCTACGACAGGTGTTGTTCCATCACGAGCAGTGGCGAGAAGAAGCCGGAGTTGAAGGGAACCCGCTACTAGTCTGCACAAGTTCCATGGTCGCGGACATGTCGAGGGCTGCCGGTGCAATCCACACTTGATTGGTCGTCTCAAGAAGTGACTGAAGGGTGTGAACACGAGCATCTTGGAGCAGATCTTCGCGTGGTTCAGAGGATAGTACGCCCGTCACCACAACATGATGGTTCTCAACTCTGACACAGAGCATCTGAATCCAAGGGCTTCCGCACCCCAAAAGCGTCCTGCTGTTTGTGGGTATGCTTGCTCGAAGGCAATGAATCGACCCTCAGCTTCCTCAATTACCAAGAAAAGGCCTGCCTCGAAACTCTCCGCGCGCGCAATGAAGAAACAGTTCACCGGATCCTTGTCTACGGCATCCGCAGTAGCATGGCGAGGTTGTGTCGTACTTCTGAATGAAGGTGTTGTGTAGATAGCTGCTTTAGGGTCATTCATTGTGAATGTAGGAAAGCGGCGGCTGGGTAACATTTGCTTATGCTTCACACTGATTTTCCAACATTGTCCACCACTATGTTTGTTATGCGATCTTGAAACCAGACCCAGCACCCTTGTCATGTTAGCTAATAAGAGCATGAGCCAAAGTCACATGGATGATTAAAGTCATTTATTGGTAATGCATGATTCAGTTCGTTTGTCTCTTTGGAACCAATAGTAACATCAAATGTTTTCATTGCTATGTTCCTCTGTATGTTGCTTTTGGTGTTGTCTTGACAATACTCAAATGTGCATACAAGTAGGTCGTCAGCAAGTCAGAACATGAGGTTGGAAAAAGGAGTCGTGGGTAGGACCTTTAGCCGAAAAAAACAGCAAAACAAACCGCTACATATAAAAAAACTACAAACAGCGCCCGCCGGGCGTCCCGCACTCAAAAAAAGGGCCCAACGGAGGCCCACTTTTTGTTAGAAACCATGTTCCGCCGGTTTGTTTACAACATGACAACGATTGCTAGCCTGCGACTGGCTTGGGAGGGCGTGGGGCACGACCCCCAGTCCCACAAAACCTGGGGGGGGGGGATCCAATTTGCTCATGTCCTCTGAGCGAACAAACTGCAGATGGACAACATCCTGCAAACACCTCTTTGAATGATGATTTCCTTGGAAGTGCCAACAAAAACTAGCTCTTTTGTTTTTTTTCTAAAATGGAAAAATTGCCTTTACTGGAGGACCTAGAAACTGTGTCCCATGGTTCCAAAGTGGTGCAGGATTTCGTCCATCCACAGAATGACCATGACCCTAAGTGCGGAGACATGTTCTGGACTCCGATTTCGGCTGAGGCTGGCAGTGAGTTTGAAGGAGCTGGGCAAAGGTTTCGCCAGAGCCCCAGTGCCTATCACTGGTTGCCCTTCTTCCATTTGCTGAAATGAATATTTTTACTTTTCCCCTGTTGGTTTTAAAGGGAGTTTCACTACTGGAAATATTTGTATTTTTTCCAGGGGTCTTAACCAAATGGAAGCTTTGGTTTCCTTTCAATCCTCACCCAGTTGGGCCACGTGTAAACAGAACGGCACCCCGGCTCCATGATGGCGTTGCAGGAAGTGGGCACCAGACCTTCGCAGATGGAAGAGTCCAGAGCTTCTTAGACCAGATGGCACTCCTGTTCTGAATTCAGAGGCGTGCTCGGTTGGTGCCCTTTTTGGTTGTTTTGCTTGCAAAGTCGAAGGCCCTGGTTTACCTGGTGGTTCAATCATCTACCAGGGAAACCCATCGATTGTCACAAAAGAAGGACACCTATGGGCGTGCCTGGTTGGCCTTGTGTGTGTGTGTGTGTGCATGTTGAAAGTCTATATATATATATATATATGCAGCAACAGCACACTTCTTGCGTATATATGCTCACACCCCCTGTCCTTAAAAATAAGAGGGTTTTGTACATTTTGAAGTGGAAAGGTAGGCCCTGGGGGGGGGGGGGGTGAGCATATATATATATATATATATCAAACGTAGGCCGCGGCCTTTCCAGGCGCCTCCGGGCTGTCAAGTAGGCTCCGGCCCAAAGCCAGGTTTACGGTTCAGGCCCTCAGTCTTGCAAGCGAGACCAGATCCAACCACACGGCAAGTTGCGGTAAGATATGCCAAGAACATGTTGGCCAAAACGAGTCACCGGTTTTTGCAGGCAGACGTTGCCCTTTGTTTGGAAAAAGAAGCGCGCGGGGGTGGGAGACCAGGTGCCGAGCCAAGCAAAAACATCGCCATTTGATCATTCCCAACGACTGTTTCACCCGGGAATTCCGCTCGCGGGAACCCTGCCGACGCTCCGGCCAAGTGGATAAAAACTGGAGAACACATTGCCAAGAGCGTCCGGCGTATTGTGAAGGCCTAACACACCATCAAGCATGTCAGGCAAAGAAACAAGCAAGGCCACTGCCTGTGATTTTCCCCGGAGTTTTTGTGATGCAAACTTCCCTATCAATGAGGGCAGTAAGGGAAGACATGGGAGTTTGTTTGAAAATAAGGGGGATGCATTTTAACTGGGTAATCCTTTGGTTTGCTTTCAAAACTATCGAACGCCGGCGCCTGGTCAAAAACACTGTCAGAGGACACAAGCCCAACAACTAGAAAAGGGCCGACAGAACTTTCTGCCGGAGCAATCTTCCAGGTAGGGTGTCCCATGTGGATATGCGTCCGCGTCGACCCCCCGCCCGGGCCACCAAAGAGAAGTATTTTCTCTTGTTTCCCTGAAGTCCCTTAGTAGTGCCCTTTCTCACCCTTTTTTGGTTGGGAGGGTTCCCCTACTAAAATAGACAGAGCAAGTTGGTACCCTTATTCTAAGCTCTTAACTGGAGGACCTAGTCCCTTGATCACCAGCCTGAAAAGGGTACCCTCCAAACAAGTGAAACATTCGGGGCATCCGCACCGTGAGGGTGGGAGGGACCGGTTTGGAGAGGACATGGGCATCCATTTGCTTAAGAATATTGTTTAATTTCCTTTGCTGGTTTTAAAGGGAATTGATAACTTTGTTTGTTTAAAAAGAGAAAAAGTTTTCCAGGGGGCTTAAACAAATGGAAGTTGGGGGCAAACCAACATTTTCAGCAAAAGCTAAGGGGCACAACACGATGTTCCCCGGGACATCATGTTGTCCGGGGCTCACGTACGGGCGTCCAAAACTTTGGGGGCTGGTGGTAGAATGTGAACAGGATCCAACCAGTTTGCGGGGTTCAATTGGACACATCACCCTCATTGCAAGACTTAGATAAGCCATTTGTCCACCGTCGGTGCTGCTTAATTTCCTCTTTCAGCTCGACTTTGCGGGTCGAAGCCTTGTGTTGCCTGCTGCCTTGGGAGGTTGGCCCACGTCTTCTCCTTCTTTTTTTGCCGTTGCCTTTGATTGACATCCGGCCCCCTTGTAGTGAAGGATTCCTCTTTGAGGGGGTCGCCCGTTTTCTCACAAAAGGTGGCAAAAAGACCCCCCTGCTATTGTTTGTGCAGCTCACTACTTTTGGGCGCGTCAGAAACAGGTCCGTTGTCGCGCGCCCTGTGAGGTGTGTCGCAAGTTGAAGAAGGCCAACTTGCCCTGCCGCAGACCCAGATCTCGCAACTGCACCCATTGGCCTTGTGTTGAGCCTAGGGATCGCAAACAGCACCTGTCACGCCACAAAGGTGGGCCTGGGTGTCTGATTCTGCGCTCCCCGATGGCCGAAGTTTTTCAACTTTGGAGTTCTTCCATTGGGGGGGGTGGGCGTTCTCCACGTTCAGGTCTTCCAGGTGAACTCCGATTGCCCAAAAGGTGGCCAACCTGAGAACATCTCCCATTCTGGGTGACCACATGGCAGGTGAGTTTGTCTATGGCTTGCATGGGAAACACTCGGTGAACACTCAGCTCAACTTTCGGTCCGTTAGGCTCAAAACGGAGAAGGGGGTTCCTAAAGGACACCAATTTGAAGGCTCACTGCCCACTCCACTTTTGCATGCTGATTGTTTTTGGGCTAAAGTGGGTTTAAAGGAAAACTCACAAGATGTTGGCTTGAAGGCAATTGGCTCTATTCCCTTTTTTGCACGACGTGTGGGAAGGCAAACCACAAGGACTTCCGAAATCCACCGAGGCATTTTCAGGGCGACGCCCAAAATTGGAGGTCCATCCCCTTTTGGTGTGCGAGCTTTCCCTTCGGCGACGCCCCTGTATTAACCTGCGAACCCAAAAACGGGGTCCAATTTCCAAGAGCAGACTCCTCTATGTTTTTGGTTGGTTCCATGTCAACCTGAAGAAAACTCGCGGATTCAGGCCAAACAAATCCACCACTTCAGGCAAAGCAGCGGCAGATGTGGCCAACTACTGCCAGGCACGGCCCGACTTCCAGTGCTGATCTTTCATGTTCTCGGTTGTTCAAAGGCGATGTTCAACCTTTTGACCTTCTGGTTGTCCCTTTTTGGCCTAATTTGGAGTCAAGGTCCCAAAAGGTTGATCATGAATTTCGGGGTTCTTTCCATTTTTGGTCTAATTGTGAGTCAGGGTCGGGTGTCAAAAGGGTTCATTTAGTTCTCGGTTCTAGGTCCTTTGAGCAAGTGCGTGACCCAACCCGCTGAAAGCCTTGGGCTCGACGGGCTCAATTGTGGCCTGGGTGGCGTGGGGCTTTCGAGGAGGGTTCCGGAAGCTTGCAGGAGTTCGGGGCCTGTTCGTGATACATATATATATATATACATATGTTCCTAATGGAAGAGCGTAGCGGTACCATTTGATAATCAATAACATGAGCCAAAATGGCCTGCCATTTTGGCTCAAGCTTGCCCCTACTCTTTGGTGAGAAAAGATTTCCAATCCCCTCCACTCGTTCTTCGAACATGTCCCACTTGGAAGCAAGCACCGATTCCTTCGACCTTGTGGAGTCGGCTTTGGTGACGGAGGAGGACGCATTGGCGGCGCACCCCCCAAGGTTTCCTGGACCCCTACCGCGTGGAAGGAGCTGACCCAGGACTTTGTCCTTCTTCCTCGACTACTGAGAGAGGACTCTTTCAATGTCTCCTGGGCTCCATCCAAAATCCCGTGATCGGATTTGGTGGAGATTTGCATTCCTACTGCCGCGTGCCCTGGAGCCGGGTGGGGGGGTGGGGCAGAAACTAGCTTGGCACACCGGTGCCATTTTGGTCATATGGAGAGCCCAGGTGGGGCCTCCATGCTAGGTAGGAATGCAAAGCATTGGCACCTACACACTGCTTTCGAAGGAAAAGGAAACCGTAGGGACATTTTTGCATTTAGTGATTTATATATACACATATATATATATATATACATACATATATATATATATATATGTATTAGTGCCCCTCCTGCCACTAACATAGCATTGCAGGAGGATACCTGCAAGACAAAAGTCCTCTTCAAGGGACCCTCTGTCAGGCGCCGTGTTAGTGGGAGGGAGGATGTACATACATATATATATATATATATGTATATATATATATTTGTGTGTACACCGTTTGGACGTTTTGTTTGGAAGGAGTTCCCTCAGTCAACCAACGAAAAGGGTGTCCGTTCGTTGTCCCCAAGGCCGGCGCTGGTCCAGTTTCCACAAAAAGGCGTTTTACACTTTGAGGCGGTCTGTTACTTGTCATTGTCAAAGGGCGGTTCGTACCAATTTCTATAGAGGTTACCAACCGTGCTCCTCAACACTTCCATTAATGCTTAAGAATGTGTTTTTTAACTGTCCCGTGTTGCTTTTAAAGGTAAGTTATCACTACCGGACAAAAATTGATTTGCTCCAGAGGGCGAAAAAGCAAATGCAAGAAGATTTTGACTGGCTGGGTGTGAACGGCGCGGCATCCCGATCGTCCTTTATGGGTGCACTGGGTGATTGGAGGTTGGGGGCGGCTCGTAGGGACATGCGGCGCCTTTTTGTTTCAAATCCAAACGCGTTTGAGTCAAAGACCTGTATTGCTCTGACTGCTGTTTGAGCTGGTGCTTCGTGGTAGGCCCATTTTTTTCCTCCGGCTTCCGCCCACATTTCGTTGGGCGATCCGAACCGTCGATTTCAAAGGATTTTTTGGGAAATCAGGGTGTGGGTAAAGCTGATTTCGGGGAGGGGACGGGTGGCAAGAGGTGACCACGGGAGTCCGGGCATTCCGATTGCTGACTTTATCGGGAAGTCAATCCTGGGTTTACGTTGACAGAAATAGAAACCAGAGGAGAAGGATCGACCCCCCCTGCGGCTGGTGAGAGCACTGCAATCAAATAAAGACACACGCCTTTCGGTAAAGGTTGTTACTAGTTGGCAAGGCGTTTGAGAGCAGTTTCACAGACGTTTCCCAGAGTGACGCTTTGAACTCTCTCTTGTCATGATATAGTCTGTTGCGTGGACACTGTGGAAACATACCCGCAAAACGGGCGCAAATACCCGCAAAACAAGCGCAAATACCCGCGAAACGAGTTGCAAATACCGCAAATCCAAATCATGTAACAATTAGTATTTGGCAAGAAGCCCGCGTTCATGAAACGAGCGTTTTGTGGGGGAACGAGCTCTTTTTGGATCATTGGGCGAACATAGTTGCCCCGAGCATTTTCTTTCGTGACACACATTTATGTAACAATGGAAGGTCCAGGTACATATGAGGGTGTGTTTGTTCCGAGGGCACCCTTTTTGGTGTTTGAAGGGGAAACCAACTGGAAAAACACCAGCAATTTGGGGGTCCCCTAAAAGGCAGCCACACCCATATAGTTTCACAATTGATGTCGCGGTCTGGACGAATAGGTTTGCGAAACAGACCCAGACTTTCTAGGGGGTGCGCGCCCCATTAAACTGGGAGAGACAATTACAAAGTTATGATGTGAGTCAGTGTCAAAGTTGTTGTGGTAGTCCACAATTGCACAATTGCTGTGGGAGGACTTGAGGGGGGGGGCCACCCAAAACCCCCACAAACACCAGCTGTTCCCATTTCTTCCAGAGGACGAACCAGCAAACGGATGAATTTACGACCAAATGTCCTACAGAACACGGCCTCGAAAATGCGGACAGAGGTTGCTTCGGCACTCCCGCCTCTTTCGCTCGAAATCGGCTTTGAGAGGGAAGAGGACGTCAGCCCAAATGAAAGTTGCCACGCTCACAGCTGCAAGAAATGGCATGGAGCGCCGCCCAACTGTGCTTCGCCAGAACCTCAGCGGCCTGGAACACCCGCACATTTGCAGGTTCATCGAGGCTCGGAGGTTTCGAAGCGGCTGTCTCGCCGCTTCGAAGCCAAAATTCGCGGTTTCGGATGCGCGCGGGAGGGGCAGAAGGAGTGGAGGTGAGGTCAGTTGTTCAGTGGCTCCGATTCTTTTTCCCTTTTTTTTTGGTGGCCCCACTAAAATGGTCCAAGCCCAAACAAGGGTTCCCTTTTTTTCCAGGGTCACTGGACAACTGAGGTTGGGTCAGTTGATGGTTTCATGTGTGGTTCCAGATGGCTCCGTTTACAGCTCCATTGATCAGCGGAGCTGGAGGCGGGATGGCCGTATGGCCGTAGCTCTGCATCAATTGACAGGGCTGAGGCAAGCTACTGATTGGCTGCAGGCTCTGTCACTTTTGGACCAGGTGAAAAAAAACAGGCCATGGGATTCGAATCAGGGACAGTGTTTTATGAGGGTACCCTTTACATTTCACCTTGATTGAAAGGGAAATCCAAAGCAAAACCACTCACTATATGTTTATATGAGTTTTCAGAGCACCCAAAGCTGACAGAATCGTGGCAAAAGAACACTCAGGAACAAGTCTGGGCTACTCACAGGGCCGTGTACGCCTCGCTTTTCCTCAAGGTTAAGACAATGTTTGCGAGCAATGCTCAGTTCAACAGCAGGCAGGGTTGGCAAGATGCCCATAGTTTCCCGTCAAATGGGTGAGACCTGTAGAATAAGTGTAAGCCTGTGGTAAGCATTGTTTCTCATTTTTTTCCGCCTAGACCACGGCGACTTGCTTCGAAGCGCAAGCCCCTTCAGGAACTTCAGATCTGCCCTCTAGGGGCATTTTCCTTTTTCGGGCGCCGGACCATCGGCTGCAGTTCGGTGAGGCCTTTGAGGACACGACCTACATTTACATGATCTACGAGAGGGCCGTGTGCCCAGCAAACGGCCAGCAACGTACGAGCCCAAAACGAGCCCACGGTCGCATGCGGATTTTGGCTTTGGACGAAGGGATTGTAGCCCTTGAAGGACACACAAGCAAAGCACTTGGTTCAAGTCCTTGTACAAGTGCCCTGCGATGACTTTGTTCGTTTTTAATGGCGGAATCAGCGAACTGACATTCGCCTCATTGGCTTAAGCTTTTTAGTATGCACTGCAACACCACACTCGTCCAGGGCAGCCACAGATTCTCGAAAAACGCCTTAGCTTAGCTGCCGACATGCTGCGGATGAACAAAATCCTGCACCACATTGAAACCATGGGAATCCAGTATTTTTTGTATTTGCAGGGATTTCCCCATGTTTCCTCTAGGGAACTAAGTGTGGTTTGTTTATGTCGGGCGTACTCTTTTCTAGAGACTCATGCAAGAGCACAGACCCCCTTTGAAAAGGTCGACTTTCACACAGGGGCTATGCTCTTTCACGCTTGTTGTGGGAAGGTTAACACGTGACTGAGGAAGTTAGTTTTTCATGTACTACTGGGGGAGTAGACAAGCCAAAGGGGCCAAAGTTGGGTACATCCCTTTAAGGAAGCCTTGGGTCAGTATGATGCTACTCAAAATTCAATTCTTAGGTTCAAGGTGTAATCTTGACCCATCTGCTTTTGGAGCTAGGTAGAAAGTACAAGGACCCACCCCCGGGGTTCCCCTATTTAAATCCCATGTGGTTTCAAAAAGGGTAATCTCAAAAACCCCACATGCCCTCCAAAAAATGGCGCGTGTTCCTTCGAGTTCCACACAGTCAAAAAGGGGTACCGCACCTCAGAGAACATGTACCATTTTGGGGTAGGTGCACCACCCGTTTTAGAACCTATTTTAGTGGGGATCGGGATGTTCACTGGGGGTACGATTTGGATTTTGACCCATGGCCATATTACGATAATGAACATTGTAGCCTGGTAAGGATCCGTTTTTCCATCATAATGATCCCTAATGGGAACCATAGACCCCTTTGCTTGGGGGTTAACAGGGATGATCATCCAGCTTGAATTGTCCTCCGGCCTGTCCTGCGGAAAATCTAGGGGCTGATTCCTCTTCCTTTTCAGCCATCGTTCTTTTCCAAAACCGGTTGTTGTTTTTCCTGGGTTTCAAGGAGGCTTTCTAGAAAGATCCGGATCCCTGGGTTCAGACTGGGGAAGGTACCTCTGGATGTACAGATTAACAGTTGATCAAATATCCAGTGGGCAAACGCCACGTGCACGGTCTCGGCGAGTCGATACGCTGGGTTCAGAATGCGGAAGGTATCCCTAGAGAAAACCGTCCGCGCGAGGCGGGCACCACCACGCTCTTCGAGCTGATCCGGGAGCGCGCCTCGCTCACAGAGGAGGATGCGGCGGACTACCTGCGGCAGGCGCGAAGAAAGCGGAGAGAAGCGGCGAAAGCCGCGGTGTGGTGTGCGCCCCGTTCTGGGCACAACGGAGCAAACACTACATACCCCCACTGAAGAAAACATGGAAAAATAAGAAAAGCTGAAAACACAAGCGGAACTTGTGGTTTCCTAGGTCCCCCAAGCTAGGTGCAACCTTTCTTACCCTTTTTTGGTTGGGAGGAACCCCCCCTACAAAACTAGACAAAAAAGAAACAGGTTACCCTTATTCTAACCTCTCTACTGGAGGACCTAGTTTAGGATGCCCACTTTGGGTACAAGGGTGAGCACTCCTCAAAACCCATCAGCTGGTTCTACCAAGTTGGTTTACCAACATCGTATGGGTGGTCATTTTTTTTGCGGGCATATTTTTTAGGCTGCATTTGGGGGTGTTCTTTGAGGATACCCTGTTTGGGGCTGGTGTAAAAAGAAGCCAAAAGGAAAACCAGGGCCATTTTGCGGGTCCCCCCTAGGTTGACACACACACACACACAGAATATCATCCTAAACTACAGGACCTCTCGAGGATTTGTCTGTTTTAACCATTTGAACAATTTAGAGGGTGTTGGAAACTCAAAGAAGGGCACGACACTGTTTAGGCCGATCCCTTTAATCAATGTATAGAGAGACCTTTGTTGACACAATTCCCGGTTTCCCCCAATTTCTGGCGTAAGAAAGCCCTCCTACTCAACATGCCAGCGGTCCACATCCGGGCCCTTTGGCCGGTTCCTAGTAGCGGGACCTCAAAGGGCTTAGAGAACCGTCAGGTGGCACTGTGGGTGGACGAAATCCATTTCGCACCACGAACTGAACCCATAGCAAACCATTGTTTGTTGGTATTTACGGGGGAAGCATCAATGACACCAGGGTTTCTGTGGTGCGAGAAGCGGATTTCGTCCACCTGTCTTCAAACTCAACTAATAGTTCTGAGGCATGGGCATAGCAGCCTAGCGCCAGATCCATGCCCAGCCACACGAACGGAACATCCAGCAGCAAGAAGACAGCACTTGCAATGGACGAAACTAGTCCATGCTGCTTGGGCTTGAACACGAATCCCCAACATGCAAAGAACCATGCAATATGGGTATGTGTCAAAATATGGATTCGGACCCCCCCAAAACGGCTTCGGTTGTTCTTTTGGTTTCCCACCAACAAAAGTGCACCGAGCCTCAAACAAACACTAAATACCCCCACCGCCTGAAGAAACGTGGGACAATTAAAATTCAAACTAGGTCCCCCAGCAGTGCCCTTTTACCCTTTTTTGGGGGAGGGTTCCCCTACTAAAATAAACTACAGAAAAAAGGGGCACCCTTTTTCTAACCTCTCTACTGGAAGACCTAGAAAAGCTCAAACGGAACTCCCCCCCCCCCGGAAAAAAAAGAAGAAAGTAAAAAGCTTTGCACACCATATATCACACACCTGAAGAAAACATGAAAAAACAACTTAAACACAAGCGGAACTTGTGGTTACCTAGGTCCCCCAGATAGGTGCAACCATTCTCACCCTTTTTTGGTTGGAAGGACCCCCCCTACAAAAATAGACCAAAATGAAAAAGTTGGTACCCTTCTTGTATCCGCTCTACTGGAGGACCTAGTTTCGGATGCCCAACTTGGCTCGATGTCCGCAGGCCGCCATGGCGCTGTCGGTGGCACACTCGCAGGTGCGTCCGAGACGGACGTCGACCGTTGCTACCTGCGTGTAAACGAAGCAGGGGGTGGATCAAAAGGTCCTTTACATGGTTGTTGTTGGGAAACATTATACAGTTTTGCTTGTTGTGGTTTAGTGGTTGAAATCCAACCCCTGCCACTTAACTGCTAATATATGAATTTTTGCTCCACTTCCAACGTCAACTGAGTTTACATGGGATGACCAATAAGGCGCCGCATCCCCATCTGCACGCGATCCGAGCGAGCGTCAGGGCATCGTCCACGGCAGACTCTCGCCCAAGACGCTCATTGTTGATGCGCCGACCCTAGAGCACGACGATGGGTTTCTTTTTTTTGAAGTCTTCCGTTTGCTTACGAATATGTTGTGTTTTCCCCTGTTGGTTTTAAAGGGAATCTATCACTCCTGGAAAAATTGTTATTTTTTCCACGGGTCTTAACCAAATGGATGTTGTTGATCAGGTAACCTTGGTTTGGATTAGTGGCTTGGGGATTTGAGCCCTGGCTTTTGTAGAGGGTAACCCTCCACCAATCGAAACCACCAATTAGAGGGAAGCTGATTTGATGATGCAAAAGGAAACCTAACAGGAAAACCGGCGCCATGAGGGCACCCGATTGCGAAACACATATTGTGTTTCGCAGTCCCTTTGCTTGTGTCGAATTGATCACGTTTCACTCAGCGAGCCACCTTGGTCATTGGTCACGGCTGGATCATCTCAGGAGTTTCAGGCTTCGTGGTTTGGCTTATATGTCCCATGTACCCCCTAGAAGAACCAGGGGTTCAAATCCCCAAGCCCCCAATCAAATGCACCAACTAAGGGGTAGATCTGGAACCTGGTTCTTGGTAAGCCCAAGCCCTGGATTTGAGTCCGCAAATGTAGTCCTTTCAGGAGGAGGATCCTGGTGAGGAGGCTGGAGCTTCGAGTCGTGCGGACAAATCGCCAAATTTTCGTCCACCAAAAGGCTCGGCAAGGCCAGTTGCTCTCCCATCCACTAACCTTTGGTGCATTTTGCCAAGGGATGTTAGGACTTTAACTTTTTGCCAGCTAAAGGGTTTCCACTAAACCACCAAAAGTTAAACTTTTAGCAGGGGACCAGAAAGCAACCGAGCCAGATTGTCCCTTTTCGTGGAAAACGGTTTTCCAGGACCTTTTGTGCAGGTTCCATGTGATGGGAGGGTAGATGTTGGTTGGTTGCAACCAGACTTCCAAAAGCACCCTGAAGCGAGCAGCTGGCAACCTCCTTCCTCGAAGAATGCGAATGGCCACCCAACTGGTCAATGCCAAAACGGGTGTTTGTGTGTATGTGTGTGATGTGTATGCTTGTATAATAACGACATATGTGTGTATATATATATATGTACACATATTTTTTTTTTCTGTACATATATTCAAGATATATCTATATTGACATTCGACACAGCTTTGGCAAATGTTTTGCTCTCACTGCCTCAGGATTACGATGCGCAAATCAAGATTTGTGACATGGGCCAGGCGGGAATCTTCAAGACCTCCGGATTAACATGGGGCGGGGGGTGTCTTCCATGAGGGTTTCCCTTGTTGGTCCATTTTGGGGGGGGGGGGTCCTTTAACAAAAACGACAAACCCACAAGGCGTGGGGATACCGGGACCCAGTTCTCGGTTCGGAATCAGGTGGCAGGCTGGGAACTTGTCACCAGCCAGCCGGAAATCTTTAAACCTGGCTCGAGATCGAAGGCGACGATTGGTCATGAGGGTATGTTCAAAACAGCAGTTCCCTTGAAACTGGGGCGTTTGTGTTAGTTTCCACTTCAGCATCAACGTAGTGGTTGATCGTCACCCATGATTCAAACACCACCCAGGGTGCAATTTCGGAACATGAAGGATCTTTGATCACAACGCTAGCCAGTAAGCAGCATGTTTCTTAGTAACCATTAATTGTCCTTAAAAGTCAAAACCGCACGGGATGGACGATGACTTGTCCAGACCCAGAGCCCCTGTTGAGCACCTGGTACTGAAATTCAAGCAACATGTCTCGGACCTCATGAGTGAACCCAGAGCGAACCGGACCCCTTTAAGACGTCTTGGAGTCTTATTCCAAAGGGGCATTTGAGATGCCCCAAAATTCTTGAGGTAATTTGCTTCTCCAGAACTTGGCAGGTCCCTTCACTTCCGGCCTTCGGCGGAAAAGTGCCATAGCTAAATACCGCTCTTGTGACGATGGAACTGCCCTTCCCGGAGCCCCGCCAGCTAGCAAACAACAGAGCCCGGTCTCTAAAATGGCTTATGACAGAGTTCCCGTGCAGTTTCTTGAGGGTAGCCCTTTTGTGGTGGTTGTAGAGGGAAACCAACAGGAAAGCCACATGAACAATTTTTGGGGGCTCACCTCAAAAACGATACGCCCATGTAGAGGATGTCCACCAAGGCGTCAGAGATTCATTCTCATGGCTGAGCGTGTAGGAGGACAACCCACTTTTTCCCATAACCAGACCATCCAATCTTCCCATATGAGTGTGGCTCCAGTGGGCTCGGTGCCGTTTTTTGGGCTCAGTTTAAAGGAAGACCAAAGGCAAGCCAGCATATGTTTGGAGCTCCCCAGGTGTTCCTCAGGATTGAGGACCCTCACCCAGGTGCTTGGCTTCCTTTCGGTTTCCCTTTAACACCCGCTCAACAAAGGGCCTAGAGTCTCCATGACCCTTAAAAAATGGGTCCATGACCCCTTAATTTTGAGAATGAGGTCTTTTTTTTTAAGGGGTCCTTAGGGAGACTCCAGGTAGCGCAAAGTGCTCATTCCGCGTCGCGAACCCCCGGAGAGACGAAGCTTCGCTGAGGGCTTCATCCTGCGGCCGGCGCTTTTCTCCTGCGAGGAGACGCCTGAGGCGCGGGCGCCGGCTTTTTCGGATGTCGCCGAGCTCCGGAGGCTTCGCTGAGGCTGAATATGGGTGTGGGTCAAAATTAAGCCACCAGGAGACCGCGGGTTTTAGTCTTGGGTTCTTGGAGTGCCCCCAGATCTGGCCAAGAGTTGATCAGAGTCAAGCTTTGGTTGGACACCCCAGGAATATTGATCAACCCCCACAATGTGGGGGTTTGTTTTGTTGAGAAGCGAATGAGCAATATTGAGCAGCACCGAAAATCCGAATGCCCACGCCTGGTGACCCCTTCATTGAAGTTCACGCAGTCGGTGTTTATGTTGAGAAAGGAAGCAGGTAGCCGATGCTCCCATAGGTTAGGGGCACTCTAAAGGAGGTTAGGCCAGTCATTCCCGGGGCTGCTTGCAACTCTTGCGTTTGGGGGTCCTTTCAGGCAGGGCTTCCAATGGAACCACCAAGTCGTCCTTATTCATACTAGGAACCACCCATTGTGCTATGTCGTGTTGCTCCAAAGGCAAAACCAACCGGAAAAGATGTGCTAGGCGAGCCATGCAGGTTAGTAGCCAATTTGCAAGAAAGAACAAGTCGCACTCGAACTGCACCCATCTGCCAGTCGCACCCTTCACCTCACGATTTGGCACAGAACATGGCAGAATGAAACCTGCCACCCGGTGTCCCCCAATCGGTTGGGCTCAGGCTGGGTTCAAACATGTTTAGACTGGGTTCAGGCCCGTTTCCCGGCTTTTACACTTTTTGAATGAGCTGATTTCCGTCACTTGCTTGATGAATCTGTTCGCAGCTGAGAGGTGCCCGTTACTTTGGTAAGTATACACTGCATAGTTGAACAGAAATCAGGTTTCTGGGGGCTCCGAGACTCTGGGAAATTTATTTTCTGGCCCAGCAAGAGTCTCGTTTCTTGTTTAATAAGATTTCTTAACACACTGAACGACCGTAAATGTCAAAACGGAATACCATATTTTCTAAGCTGTGGGCCTTGTCTATAACAACAATGGTGTCTCCTGCTAAAACGAGCTCGAGCAGTTAATGATGAAGGTCGCTTTCTTGGGGAGTCCTTATGATAGTTGAAAAAGTGTCGGTCACTATGGTAGTTGGGGAATCCTTATGGAAATCCTTATGTTAGTTCGGGCAGTTCATGATGAAGGTCGCCCTTAGATAATTCGTCTTGCAGAACGTGGAGATGGAGCACTATGCTTGCTCTCCGGAGTACGTGCAAAAGGAGACAAATCGGCCCTGGCGAACGGTGTGTCTCTCAAAATCGGGAGTTGGAGCCCAAAATGGGTGTTCAGTTTGGTTTCCCCTTCAGCCCCTATTTGAAGCGTCGGAAAATGCAGCAACCCCTCCAAGCCAAGAACTCACGGAACATTCTGCAGAGACCCAGGCCCAGTTCTTTCATTGATGAGTGGAATTGCCGTAAAAGCAGCCAACAAAACAGGAGTGTTTTTCTTGTGGGTTGTCCCAGCCACGGAAAGAATGGGCGGCGGGATTTGCGACCGCGAATATGAAACCCCAGCTGCAACCACCGGCTCCGTCGCTGGGTGGTTCCCCCAAACCTGTGGATTTCCATGGCAAGAGCGCCCTTTTTCTGGCTGGTGTTTAAGGGAACCCCCCCTTTCCCTCCAAAAAAGGAGGCAACACTGCGGAGGTCTGGGAGGAGAATGCCATAGAGATAGGACTACGTGACTTGCTCAGCCGGTTGACCTTGGCTGGTGACCTGTGACTTACCCCGCGAGCGCCAGGGTCCCAAGCATTGCTTTTTGGTTTTTTCAGGGGAGTTAGGACATCCAAGGGCACTTCGTTTTGGCGGGTGTTTGATGTTTGGTTCAATAGCCTCAAGAGAATGTTGCACTGGGGACCCGCATTTTCGGAAGATCCGGGTAGAGGGTAGCTTTGGGAAGGGGCATCAACCAGTTTGGTTGTCTTTCAAGAAATCCAAAAGGAAGCCATTTGGGTTCTCCGCTTGCGGGGACATCCGCGCACCACTGGAAGGAGCTGGTGGTCACTGGGACGGCAGACCTGCCGCGCCACGCAGAGAAGAACGACATCTGGGCGCCGGAATCCCAGCAAATCCGAGAGCTCCATGGCGCTGTGGGTCAAAACCAATGGAATCCCATTTTGGGGTAGGTGCACCACCTATTTTAGCCTATAGTGGGGATTGGGATGTTGACTGGAGGTACGGGATTTTGACCGACAGCCACGTGGATGTGTCTTTTTTCGAGTTGGCAGCCCTTTGTTGGTTGGGTTTTGCAGGGAAACCATCAGGAACACCACGCATGTGCCCATGGGGCAGGGGATCTTTTTGGGCCCTCCGCTCGTTCGGAGGTGCGCTGATCAGGGGGGTGTCTTTTCTTGGTCGCATTTTGCCAAGGAATGTTAGGCCTTGAGAACTTTTTGATCCAACTCATGGAGTTTTCCGTATGAAACCACTAGAAGTTGTTCACTCTTAGCAGGGGAGCAGAAAGCCACCGAGTTGTGGGGGCTTCCTTCTTCCGGGTCTTTGGAAGTGGCTGTTTTTGTGGGGATTGGTCCGAGAATCCGTGGGAGACGTGGTTTGCGATCCCAGCGAACTCCCGAGCGCTCAGGCAGGTGTTTGCGGGACGATTCCTGGCTCATGAGCCTCGTGAACTCGGTGTTAAGATTTCAAGGCGTTGAGACCGATGAGGACACGCCTGACGTATGGTTATTTGTGGGCAGAATCCCTTGAAATCTGTCCTTGGTTTTACACTCATCTCCAGAGACTGCTTAGACCAGGAAAACCGAGCTACAGGCATCGGCACATGGATGTTACATATCAACAATTCCCTCACGACCGGGTAATGTTCAGATTAATTACTCTGGTAAACCCCTCAAAATCGGATGCCGCCAGAAAATGAGGCAATTCCTCACCAACATATTGCATAACACAACGGGGCATGCGGTTTCTTTCTGCCTTCTTGGATTCCACATGACCGCAAAAAAGCCTCTGGAAAGCATTCGGAAGCGGTCACACACTCGCCCGCAGGTTGGGGATGATCTTCTTCCACATGCTGCCTGGGGCCTCGTTTCTGCTGTCGACAGCACTTCGATTCCACCTCCAACGGGTTCTGGGAATGAGGATTGGGGTCCCGTTCAACGGGTTTTCATGGGTTCCGATCGCTTGCACATTGTGTGTAGCATCCGAAAGGAACCCATTTAGAGCCCAGAGAGGGATGATCCCCAGATTCCCAGCGTGATACAAAATTAGGGGCAGAGGTAGAAAACGCGGAGCCCTGATGGCAGCTGTTCTCCCATCCAAATTTGAGAGCTGAGGACATGGGGCAGATGGGTCCAATTGAGCCTTCCCCACCAAGGAGTACCGTCAATGTCTTCTGCACAGGGTTGTGGTTGATCAGAAAGCAACCGAGCCAAGTTTAGAGGGTAAAACGAGCATGGACCTCGACAACTCCGAGAATATCCCTGAGCACCTTGTGAGGATGTACCAAATGACCCCCTTTTCTGGCCTAATCAAGGTACGTCCGAAGATTCGATACTGGAGCCTTTGAGTATGGTGGAAGGGTTTCTTTGTCCCACAACAGATGGGTTTCATGTGAATTTTAATTTTTCCAGCCCCACCTGTTTTTTGGCCCAGCCAAAATGGGTCCCCTTTTTCGGGGAGCCCCTAAAGGTTGTTTCAGTTTATACGCCTGTCACATGCGCCGGCCGGTCAAAAGACTGGTTTGGGTTGGTTGAGATGGTCATCAACCCCGGAATGTTAGGCAACTCAGACCTGATTTGTAAGCTTTCTTGTGGCTACCCCTACCAAAAAGCAACATTCTGATGTTTAGCTTGCTTCTAGTCGTGGTTGGAGAAGGTTTAGCTCTTGGTGTTAACTCTTAGCTGTTCGGATCTAGATTCTGTCAGCCTTGGACGGTCGATCTGAATTTGGCGTGGCCTTTGTGTGTTGGGGAGCTTGGCCTGCTAGACTTGGCTCCCAGCCATCCCCGTAGCCTGTAGCTTTTTGGTGCTTGGGGGTTTCCACTTAACCATGTGAACAAACCGCACCCAAGCCCAGGGCAAACTCCTGGCGAGTACCAGGCGTCCCCTTGTTCCCCTTTTGTGCGATGCCTAGGGCATCCACTGGGGGCGTCGAAATTTTGAGGGTTCCCCTGAAATGGTGCCTGAAGGAAACCTGGAAGCCATTTCGGGGGGCATCCTGAAACAAGACACATACCTAGGTCTTCCATGTGGGTCACTTTTTCGGCGTGATATGAGTGTGTTCGCTCGAAACGGAAAAACAAAGAAACAAACAAGTGCCCAGGGAAGACCTAGGTATGCAAACACAGGCGATGCCATGCGGCCTCAGGTCTGGAAGTTTGCCCTTCCAGGCGAGTGCCGGCGAGAAGTTGCCTTTAAAACGTTCTGCCTGCTGGCTTGGATATTCAACCTGTGCTTCTTTTCTTTCCTTTTTTTAAAGAAGGGGGGGTGGGCTTCTTTTTGTTTGTCTTTTTTCTTTGGGGTGGGTTTGTTCTGTTTTGGGAGGGGAGGGGGGGAATGAGCCCGCACCCACCCACCCACTCCCTCCCACCGACCCACCCACCCCCACCCACTCACCCACCCACCCCCACCCACTCACCCACCCAACCACACCCACTCACCCACCCAACCACACCCACCAATCCTGTCCATCCAACAAGGGTGTTGAAGTCTAAGGTGAAATATGACAGCGCTTGACGTACGTGTAGATATCTGACAAAATATTGGCATTCTTAGAGGCGGCACAGTGCTTCCATTTATTTGTGTGCGAATCACCAAGGGGCCCGCCCTTTGAAAACAAACATCAAAGCAAGTGCCGATGGTGGCTTGCCTGGGAAGCATGATGCGTTTCTCGTAGTTCTTCCATGTGGGAGCTTGTGAACCACCTGTTGCGTGGACACCAACCATGTGGATGGACAAAATCCACTTTGCACCAGTTGATATAGTCCCAGTACTCATGGACATCATCCGTCCCAATTGGTGTGGTTTGTCAATTTGTGGTTTTCGTCCATCCACAGCATGGCAGTTTTCTTTTTGGGGGGGTAGTTACTCCTGCTTGGTTTCTTTGCAGGGAAACCAAAAGGACACCCGTCATGTTTGAGGTTCTCAAAATAGACAGGCCCTGTGTGGCAAGGGGTAATTCTCACTTCCTGAGTTCATGAACTTTAAGCTTTTTGGGAAGACTTAGTGGTAAATCTAAAGTTTGGGCTTTTTTTGGGCCATGTTTCTTCAGCAAGTGAGAGTTCTTTCTTTTTTTGGGTGGGTTTCAAAGGGACACCGAACCAAAAGAGACGGACCCAAAGGGACGGCCGGAGAGGCGGCGCCGAGAATTTTTTCGCTCCATGTCTGCGAGGTCACCTCGCGCGCCCGCCTGGCCGAATCGGTGGGCCAGAAGTTCACCTACGAGGAGACTTTTGCGCTTGGTGTGTGGAGAAACCCCGGGAGCTGGCCTGGTCACTGGCTGTAAAAAGGGTTTGTTGGATTTTTTGTTCATCCACTTAGCTTTTGTTAGCACTTCCCAGCAGGGTTGTGGTTGATCACTCGGAATCTGTCCACTACCACTTTTGGGATGCAAGTTGGAATCTCCCCCTTCATATGTGGGGGTGAGTTTGGGGGTTAGGCCCGTTTTGTTGTATCATCGCAGTGGTCATTTCCCACAGCCCTGTTGCCTTGTCACGGGCTTCAACATCGTGTTCTTGTTGTTTCCCAGCCATCCGGTTCCTTAGCTTTTGAGCTTTTTTCGTTGGTTCGCCGGGCGTTTCCATTCATCGCGACGGCCCAGCTTTGACACGTGAAGGGAGTGAAACAAACGCGAGTGGGGGAAAATCAAGACTGAGCGCAACTTTTTGGGGGTCCATACTGGAGCACTGCAAACCGGGGAGAAAGAAGACGATTCTCCTAGCCATGAATCGAAGCTCAGCAGTTGTTGCAACCAATCTCTCCGCGGTCGCACATTTACAGGGCCCAAACCGATGGATGCGCCTGAAAGGGATGTCGGACTAAGCATACTCGAGGAACAACTCTCAAAGGAAGCATCATTGCGCCCGTTCATGTTGTTCTGCCCAGGTTGTGTTTCGACATGTATCGGCCACAGGCATCAGAGTCTCACTGAAGCTGATATGATGAGCGCGTGCGTGTCAAGAACATTTCTCTAAACACGGGGTGTGTCTTTTTTTGGGGGGACCCCCTTTTTTTGTTGGTGTTTTTTCGGCGACCCACAGCAAACCGTCGCTCCCTCGACTTGCTGGGTGTGTTGTTTTTGTTGGTCTTTCAGCGGTTTGCTCCGAGCCCCGAGGGTAGAAAGGCAAACTTCGTGTTTGTTTGTTTTTCTCCGGGGGGGGGGGGAACTCAAACGCTTTTTGGTTGGTTGCTGCATTTCTTTTGGGGTGGGGGGCAATCACTTGTTGGTTGGTCGTTGACTCCATTATATATATATATACATATATTGTTGGGGGGGGCAAACACTTCTTGGTTGGTTGTTGCATATGTTTGTATTTGGGGGGGGGGGAACCACTTGTTGGTTGGTTGCATATGTTTCTATTGGGGGCAAGCACTTGCTGGTTGGTCGTTGCATATGTTTTGTTTTGGAGGCGTGGGCAACCACTTGTTGGTTGGTCGTTGCATATGCTAATTTTATTATTATTATCATTGTTTTTTTTTCATCATGATTATTATTATTATTATTGTTGCTATTATTGTTATTGTTATTGTTATTATTATTATTATTTGGGGGGGAGGACATGCAAACGCCTTATTTAGAGGCAAACCATGAACCCATTTGTCTACTTTTGCTGATCGACGTAGAAGAGAAGCCTGCTGTGCCCCACCGATTGGGCGAGTCTTTTTGCAGGAGGCATGGGGCAAACTTTCTGCAAGCGCCCGAGAGATTGCTGGGACCCCAGCTCGGATGGATCCCGAATCGTCAGTTCTTCGTTCGTTCCAGACGCCATATTCAGAGGGCCAAAGTGTACCCCACCAAGTCACGGACTTTAGTCACTTTTGAGCTTGGACCATTTTTGTGGCATACACAAAGTGGTCTTGTTGGGCCATCCACTCAGGAAGTGAGCCAACAAGGATTTCCCACCAGAAGGCCCTTGGAGGAAAATGGTCTTCAAGGGATCCGGGCCAGGTTCCGTGAAAGTGTGTAGGGCAGATGTTGGGTCATACCCCTCAAGACATGCTCCATGGTTACATGCGGGTTACATGCGGGTTACATGGGGCATGATCAAAGCAATGTGGCCATCCAGGGCTAAGGTTGTGTTCACTGGTGGGCGTTGCGTTCCAAGAGTCTGTGTACGTTTCAAGCGGCCAGGCGTGTTTCGATCGCTCAGGCATTTGCAGAATTATTGAAGCACAGGATTTATTGTGAATTGATGACATTGTATCGCCAAAGAATGTGCATTTCAGGGGTTCCGGATCCCTGCTTGCAAGTCAAGCAATGCGTGTGCCAGCGCTAGAGAGTGATTTGCGTTTCTGTCGTACAATCTCCGCTTTGAGCCAGAGTTGACCAATATTCGGTCAACATCATTCTGCCGACAGTCACGTGCTGTCTTTTTCGCATGCGATATTATGCCTTCAGTAAGTCTTCGAGGCAAGCGCTTTAGCAATGTTTTGGCAGTTGGGCATTTTGAAACTCATGGCTGTTTCGGAACATGGAGCGGAGATTTCGTGGCAGGTGCAGTATTTGGATGGCCGCGTGTCCAGCTTTGTAGGAGGCGCGGCGTGCTAAAGAACGGAGTGCCGATGCCCTGGCAAGCACGCTCCTTCGCAAAGTTATGATATTCGCAGCACTTTCGAGCACCACGATCAGATGTCTCGGGGTGCATGTTTAAGGACAGGGCACCACTCTGGAATACGGAGTGTGTAGCTTTTGCAGATGGCTTGCTGAATGTCTTTGGGATGTCGCGTGCGTGTCGTTGGCATTGCCTTCGCGGAAGGCTGATGGCATTGGGGATGCTGGCGAATGTCCGAATATCTCTCATGCTTATGAGGATGTCTTCTGGGGATAGGGCCTGATTACTTTATGATTTACTTGGTTTGTCCTGTTGGGACACCAAGTGGAAGCAACTCATTTTGGTGCTCCCCTTTGAGAGGGGCGCATTTGCAACCAAAAAGGAGGGTCAGCAGGCTTGTCAAGCCTAGGCCTTGTGTGCGTCCCGGGCAAGCCGTGGGGTCTGAGTCGGTGACCAACCCCCAGGTGGAGTCAGAATCAAAACCTGGTGCAAAAATGAGGTGCGCCCAGAACCAAAGAAATCGAAAAGGCGGCGATGGGAACCACCTTCAAAGTGCTTGGTGGATTTATAAATCCCCACCGAATTCTTTGATGTCCACCATTTCGATATGGCCCCCTATTAAAATTAATAGAGTCTCCATGAGCCTTAAAAAATGGGTCCATGACCCCTGAATTTTGGGTGACCAACCATTTTGTAAGGGTCAGACTCCAGGTAGTTGGCTCAGGTGGAGCAGATGCTCCGAGTGAACCCGGCCATCCGGATCTCCGCCTCCACTCTGCTGAAGCACCCCTGGATCAAGGTGACTCGGGACTCGGGACGGACGGATCGGCCGGATCATTGGATCGGCCCCGGATCGGGCCCCAGACGGATCGACCCCTCGAAAAAAGCATGAGGATGTGCTGAAGAATGTGGGTGTGCCCTTTTCCTAGCTCCCCCAGCTAGGTGCAACCTTTCTCACCCCCTTTTTGGGGGAGGGTTCCCCTACTAAAATAGACCACAGAACAAAGGGTACCCTTATTCTAACCTCTCTACTGGAGGACCTAGTTTTGTTGGAGGGCACACTTTTTCTCGGGTTTTACACGAGAATCAAAGGGAAAACCGGCATTAGGAGGGGGGTTGCTCAATCCCATGATGGTGTTCTCACTCCCAAGAGTTGACTTTAATGTTGGCCCCGGATGAATAACCCCCTGTTTGTCAATAATTAGGGGTGTGGGTGAAATGTGGGGATTCATCACTTGAGGGAAACACCCCCATATTTATAAACTGGGGTTGATTAATCTGGGGTCAACAGGAAACTTTTGGGGCTTGGGCCATCCTACTTGGCCAATCCAGAGTGAGGCTATGCTTGACTTCTTTTACACACCCTCCAGACTCCTGGCTTTAAACCTGGTGGGTACCCTCTTTGGGGGTTGGTTTAAAGGAAGCCAAAGGGACACCACCCGTTTTGGGTCCCCATGTGAAGACACACATTTGCTTAAGAATGTTGTTTATGTTCCCCGGGTTGAAGTTGGAATCAATCACCGCTCGACATATTGTAATTTGTCCAGGGGAACTTAGGCAAACGGATGGTTTCCCATCACTGGGCAAGGGCCAATTGGAGAATTTGGGGGTCCCTTGGGCTCTCCGACTCTCTGGTTTATATTCCTCACCCCCTCAGGGGTTGATGGGCAAATCTAGATGAGCTACTTTCCCTGCAAGTTGACATTCCACCCCCAAAAAAGGCAGGAGATTCCTCTATCAATGACGGTTGACGTATGGGGGGGGCGGACATTTCGAGGTTGGCCCAGCCATGTTCGCCCAGGCCACGCATTTTAACTTGAATGAAACTCCGAACGGTAAACGGTGGCGGCTGTTTTTCAGGGTTCATTGAATTTCCAGCTGGATCATTCATCAGGGTTCATTGATTTTTTAGCGGACCAAACTCAATGGGACCAAACTCGGACCCAGAAAGTCGACCCCTGGTATTCGGCATACGAGCCGCAGACTTTTTTTTCCGTAGCGAGCTCGCGAGCTCGCGCGAGCTGGGTCAGGTGGCCCGCACCACCTTTCCGCGCCGGCGGATGGCCGCAGCCTCTGCCCGGGGGTCTTCCAGTTGATTAAGAATATGCTTTCTTTTCCCCTGTTGGTGTTAAAGAGAATCTGTCACTACTGGACATATTTTTGTTTTTATGTTTTTTTGCCAGGGGGCAAAAAAGCAAATGAAAGCCAGGTTCTTCCAATTGCTTACTCTCCCTCCCCCTAACATGGCACTCGTCGGGTTGGGGGGCCCCCTGTCAGGTGCCATGCTAGTGGAAGGGAGGGTATATTTTTATTTTTGGAACAGAGTATGTGTCGTTTATGTGTTTAAACAAAATATGTGTGTAATACATAAAACCATATTTGTTTAATGCATAACATCATATCGTGCATATGGTTTTCCAAGCCGCAAATTCACTGGAGCTATGGCTTATGGATATGTCTTCTTCTTGGTAAGCCATGGCACCTGACAGGTCCGTAGCGGACATCTATCTTCCAGGGACCCGTTTTAGTGCCATATTTGGAGGGAGGATATGTGTTTCATCAATAAAACAACTGGTTTTCCAAGCCATGTATCACTACTGGAGCTATACTTTGAGTTTTTTTTTTGTTTTTTTTGTTTCAGGGGACTTAAGCACATGGAAGGGGGTTTAACGTTTCCGACCATGGGGCGGTTGCTTTGTTTTAATGATTGGCCCCTTTGGTGGACCTACCTCCATTGCTGGAAATCCAGACGAACATGCTGCATTTTGGGGTCCCCCATGCAAAGATGCACCCAGGTGGACATGAATCTGATTGAGGGCCCGTTTCTACATCATTTAGGTAGGGACTTGTGCTCCACCATTTCAGAGGGGTTCCTGTATATAAATCATGGCCAAGTGCTGTGTGTGTGTGTGTTCCTTCGTTTTTTTCCTGTTGTGTTGTTGCTTTATTGGCTTGTTTTTTCAGACGATCAACGCCAGGAAGGTTCTGTTTTTGTTTGGAATCCCATTCTTTGTCACAAATTTAATTTCGCTTCATGGCCACCTCAAAGCATTGGTGGCACAGTGAACTCCACCCGTTTTCTCTGGAAGCTTCGGGAACCCCCGAACCGAACAGCAGCGGTCTATTCTTTTTCTACCACGAAGATCAAGGCTCCTTTCACAAACGCGCCCCCTCTTTCTTTGTTTTGTGGATCGTCAAATTTCACCCAGATGTCCAACACAAATCCTCCTTTTGACCTTTTGGCATCAGCCCATTCTGGGCTACTTCGAGCTAATAAAGATGTCAATGACAAGCAATTTACCTTTTCCAGGTTGGGGCAAGTTCAACGGAGCTCATGAGCTTGAAACAAAGACATGTGCTATTCTTAGTATGTGACCTTTTGTCTCGATGTTAACCTTTTGTTTCGATGTTTTTCTGTTTTCTTGGGGGGGTGCACAGAAACAAGTTGTTTGCTAACACAGCCAGGGCATGACTTGAATCTCGACGTCCACAACTAGGAATGCCGTATGGCATCCTGGGGCTTCAGCCCCCAGATGAATCAGCCCCAGCTTATTAAGATGGGCGGGGGGTTGCCCTCCAAAAGTGATGAATCCCCCTAACCCAGGGACACCATTACGGTGGTTCCACCCTTTGCTTCGGATCCATGCGGATTCTTCAAAAGGTAGCTTGCATTGAGAGGGATTTTTGGAGAGGAGGTATGATAATTATTCCTTGGTCTAGATCAAAAGTTGTCATGTGCCAAGGTAGCTGTATGCCCGGCCGGGCCTCGCCACAGGTAGTCCCAACAGCAAAATCGGCGATACAAAGATGCATTGTGCATACCTTACCCGTTTCCACGGGAGAGGGTCCCTAACCTTGAACATGAAGGCGAAGAGGATAGTGAAGCCTCAAACTAGATCTCGCCCATGTCGTCTGATACTTGGGCATACAACTATTTGTTTGTCGGTAAAGTGCCATGCGTCACCCAGATGGTCGTTTTCCGAAATTTGGCTCGTGTGGTGGGTGTTGCACGGAAAGCTGCAACAACCAACATGTTTCTATTTGGCCCCCCTTTCGTGAGCAACACCTGGATGATCATCCCCATGTTCCAAGCAACAGTGGCTCGTTGTACGCCCAGTAAGAGGCCCATGTTAGCTTTGCCTGTGTTGCCAGCTTGGGCGGGCTTTGGGGGGGCTTCTCAGAATGGTGAACCCCTGTGCGCGAGATGTTGCAGGGAAGCCAAAAGGAATGCCCGGCATTTTGCATTTCCCCCCTTGCAGGCTTCGGCATAGCTGCTTTTAATGATGCCAAGCCCTAGGGGAATGGAGCCTGAAACTGGCTTAAGCAACTTCGATTTACCTGCAAGGGCCCCAGGTGATGTTTACTTGTACTGTTCACTTGAGATTAATCCGGAGGACCATACTGAGGCTTTCCCCTTGGCATCCCTGCACAGGAACGACATAGCCGCGCGCAGGTGCAGCTGCTGAACAACTTGCGGCTGAACGTGCAGGAGGGTGTGTTTTGAGGTTCACAGAGGGTTCAAGGAAGGATTGTTGACCCACTAAGGCATGCCATAAGGGAATGATGTGTGAAATTCATGCCCCGCATGTTTTGAAACAAACTAAGTAGGCTATAAGGGAATGATGTGAAATTCAAGCCCCGCATATGTGTCGCAGACTGGTTAACGGGATGCCTGAAGCATAACTGCAACCAACGACAAACAAAACAGGGCGCGTGGACCTGTGATTTGAAAGCAGATGTGTGTCTGTGTGTAGCGTGTCTCCGTGTGCGTTTGTGTGTGTGTGTATGTGTGTCTGTGTGTGTGTGTGTGTGCGTGTGTGTCTGTTATGTGTCTGTTATGTGTCTGTGGTTGTGTTTGTGTTTGTGTTTGTGTTTGCGTTGCGGGCGCGTGCACGCGAGCTGTCTGTCTGCCTGTCTGCCTGTCTGTCTGTCTGCCTGTCTGTCTGCCTGTCTGTCTGTCTGCCTGTCTGCCTGTCTGCCTGTTTGTCTTTTTGTCTGTTTGTCTGTTTGTCTGTTTGTCTGTTTGTTTGCTTGTTTGTTTGTTTGTTTGTTTGTTTAGTTGTGAATGATTCTGTTTGTCTGTTTGGTTGGTTGGGACCTTTTATGAGTGCTTCAAACGGACCAAAGCAGCACCGCCATTTTGGGTCGCCTATTTTGATCCACACATTGGTGTGTCATGGAAAGCCTCGCCGATGAGCCATTGGATCGGATCTAGATGATCTATGCGACAGCCTCTCAGGCGGCGTGTGACTGCTCAACGGCGAGTTCACCTTGCAGATTTCGTTGGAGTGGATCCCTCAAAATGGGTGTGGCTCAAGATTAAACAGCAGGGGTTACGCAGGTGTTGGCCCATGTTTCCACTTACCAGGGTTCCATTTTGGTACCGGCTTTTTGAGCCACCGCCAAATAACCGAAAACGAGCAGCCATTGGTTTTCTTGTAGGAACCCAAGGTGTTTTGTCAAGTTGGCCCGCAAACGGAACCCTGTTAAATGGGGATTGTTTCCTGGAAACGGTTTTAGGAACCGGTTTCTTCGTTTTCGACACAAAACCGGGGGTGTATCTTTTTTGCTGGTGCCCTTGTGCAGGTTGTTTGACTGGATTTGTTCGAGGGAAAACCTATCCAATGTGTTTGGTTCCCCTAGCCAAACCGAGGAGAGCGAGCTCAAGCGCTTCGTGCTGCGGGTCATTGCTGAGCAATTGCCCAGGCGCGCTCACCCGATGACCCAACTCAGCGATTTGAAGCGCCGGAACTGGCGGGTTTGAGGGGTTTGGGTGCTAAATTGCCACCCTGTTCTCAGAACTCCTTAAAACATGGCTTTTTCCACCAAAATAAAGGGACACCACCATTTACAAGGCAATGTTCAGGTGTATAATGTAAGGATCCCTGGTTCTCTTTGTTTAACAGGAAACCAACAGGAGATGTGTAGTTAAGTCTAATCTATCCAGACCCTGTTTAGCAGCCGGGGTTGGAGCGGGGGTTGTGCAAACGACCTCTAAAGGGTGACATCAAAACCAAACTACACCCGAATATCCACCCAAATTGTTGGTGGAATGATTTCCCCATATCCATCTTCCCCCACGCCTTTGGACTTTATATAATTTAGAAGGCAACTGTGAAGTGGTGAGCAAACAGTTTACACTTGTTGGGCCAATCTCAGGAAGTGAGTGACCCGGTACGTCTGAGAAAGCGTTGCCTGGACAACCGAGGCAATTGTGAGGTGGTAAATTGGGCCAATCCACTCAATCCACTCAGGAAGTGAGCGACCCGGTATGTCTGAGAAAGCGTTGCTTGGACAAATTCAGGTGCAACCTTGCCCGGCAATTTGCCACCAATTTTATTGAGCAACCTGGCGCAACTCCCTTGCCACCATTTTGTCTCATAAAGCTTCCTGTCATGTCGATCCCCAAAAGATACGGGTGAATTCTACCTGGAGTCTCCATGACCCGAAATAAAAATGGGTACATGACCCCTGAATTTTGGGTAATGACCCACCATTTTTTAAGGGTCCTTAGGGAGACTCTAGGTACCTTTCCCAAGGCTTCGGAAGCTTCGGGGTCAAACAGCGAGAACGGTTCGCTTCGCGCGACTTCGCGCGAAGGGACAGCAAGACAGAGCAAGCTGTCGAGAAGGCTCGGAAGTGAGACTTCTCAGGGTGGTCCCAAAATGGTTGCTCAGTTGTTCAAAACCGACCTTTTGACCTTTTGGTTTTCCCGTTTTGGTCCATTTTTAGTGGAGGTCCCAAAAGGTTAACCTTTTATGTCCAGGTCCTTTAGGCAAGTGAGGTTGCTGTCCTTCTGGATTTTCTGTTAAACCAACACAAAAGCGGCCTCCCTGCAAAGCTCATCACTTATACTTGGGCGTGCTTGGGGAGTCATCCCATGGTTCTTGTTCATTTGTTGGGGAAGCCAACCTTGGGTCTTTTCACCTTCTTAGTCTCCTGGGTGTTGCTGGTTGGGGCCATACTCACAACCTGCTTACTGTAAGTGAAATGATCCTTCAAGAAGGATTAGTGGGGTGGCCAACTCCCTTGAAAAGTGAAGTAAAAGCGCACCCCCCATATTCATCAGCCAGGGACTCGCTTGTCCTTGGGCCAATATTTAGAACATGTTCTCTCAAGAGCCAACTGAGTCTTGAGCATTTAGGAAGATTGAAAAGGGACAGCAACAGGAAAGATCAATGTTGGCACAGTGGATTCTCAACATGGTGCGAGAAAACCAGCAACACACCGTTGCAAATGTCAGAGTGTTCCTCGTTTGCAGCTTGTAACTTTTAAGGAATCAGACATGTATTTTGAAGCCTGAGGAGTCTGTTGGGGGTACATCCCTGAATAAGCCTATGATCCGCCCGGAACGGACCGCCGCACAAACCCGCAGCGTTTCCTGAGTTTAAGGAACCCCCCCTCCCCCTCCGCGCAAAAACTGGGACCTGATGTTTTTTGATGAAACACCAGCCTTCAGGCCTGTTTCGGGGTGACTAATCAGAGCCTCCCCGATAGGCCCAGGTTTCCACATCTTAACTTGAATGAAAAAAGTCGCATAGCAAACCATGTTGATAGCCGAGCTTTTCAGTTTTTGTTTTGCTTTTTTGCAAAACTATGTCCCCCCCATAGTGCCCTTTGACCTTTTTTGGTGGGGGGGGGTTCCCCTACTAAAATAGACTACAGAACAAAGTTGGGTACCCTTATTCTAGCCTTTCTACTGCAGGAGCTACAAAAAGTGGCAGCCCTTTTTGCTGACCCCTTATTTCCAGGCTCTAGGGGCAGGTGAGACTAGAAGTCGAGCAGTGGTTCGGAAAGGCAGCGTCGGCTCGGGTAACCCAGGTGAGACTTACAATAGCAGGGGTCTCCAACACAATTTCATTATCTTTTATATGTTTGAAAGGTACACTAAATATGAATATGAAACATAATCGGATTTGCCATATTTTCTGTGTACCCAAGTGGGTAGGACGCCAAGCGCTCGGTGCAGAAGCAACAGGCCTTCAGATGCCTCGACCGCAACGGCGACGGAGTTCTCACCGTGGAAGAGGCGCGGGAAGTGTCAGACAGACCGGCGCCCTTTGTTTACTAGGTCCCCCAGTAGTGCCCTTCTCACCCCTTTTTTGGGGGAGGGTTCCCCTAAAATAGACTACAGAAAAAAAGGGTACTCTTATTCGAACCTCTCTACTGGAGGACCTAGTTTATGTTGTTTGCGGTGAAGGTGTGGTGAGGTGTGTTGGGGGTGGGCAAAGGTAGGATGGGGTGTTTGCGGCAAAAGGTGTTTGGGGGGAGGGGTGTCCCAGTAGTCTCTACTAGGACCTAGTTTATGTTGTTTGCGGCGAAGGTGGGGTGGGGTGTTTGGGGGTGGGGGAAGGCGGGGGGGGGGGGGGGGTTGCGGCAAAGGTAGGATGGGGTGTTTGCGGCAAAGGGTGTTTGGGGGGGAGGGGTGTTTGCGGCAAGGGTGGGGAGGTTGTTTGAGACGTGGTTCTCTTAAGGAATAAGCATAGCTCAAAGGTGACTCAACCCTTGATAGCCGTCGGCGTCGTGGCAGGTGTGCGTGTGTTTTCTTCTTTCTAGCAAAGTCAACCAGCCAAAAAGCGAGCGTCCCCTTTCCACCCGACATCTACTGGAGGTCTGAAGCGTTATCCATACCAAAACAATATGACCTGTATACACAGGGTTATACAATATTATATATATATATACATATTCTGATATATATATATATATATATATAATAATTTTGCATCGCAAAGCTGTGGCGATAGAGCAGAGCTAAGGTCAACCCTTAATCGATCCAAGTGGCAACATGACATTAAATGCATCCCCAATTGTTGTTTGCTTTTTGGGGGAGATTCCCTTTTGGTTGGGTGTTATCATCAAACGGAAGCCAACTGGAAAACACCATGTTTTTCGGGCCCCTAAACGAAACCACCTATTTAAATGAATGTTCAATACCCGTTCCAAGCGGCTTATTCCGTCGCAGTGAATCTGACTCGTCCGACATCAGATCGGGGGGACGCGTCAGTTTGGAGCGCGTGAGCCTGGGTACCTCCCGAGTGCTCGGGGTCCCTCAAACTGACCATTTTGGAGGTCTCTGCCATATACTCACTTCCTGAGTTGGTGAACTTTAATTTTTTTGGGAAGATTATTTTAGTGGTAAATGTAAAGTTCGGACTTTTTTTTGGGGCCATCCACTAGCAAGTGAGAATATATACAGGGTACTGGTAATGTTGAGGACGTCACCACTTTGGAGTTTTTTCCAGTTGCTGTAAGCAATCCAGGAAATGGCCGATTTGTGTTGGAGACTTTTTCCCTGACATGCAGTGACACTTTTTCAGAGTTGGTCAGGATGTGCAGGTGTGCGTCTTCAAGACGTTCTGGGCAAGCTCGTTGACTCGTTTACGTCTACTGGGTGCTAAATCACCCATGTTGAATTTGTGCAAAGGAAGCTGCATACTTCCACTTGGTGAAGAATATGTTTTTGTTTTCCCCTGTTGGTTTTAAAGGGAATCTATCACTACTGAAAATATGTTATTTTTTCCAGGGGACGAAAAAGCAAATGGAGGCATAGGATCATTCCAGCCCTTTCCAGATCGAGTCCACTTTGTTGCCCTTCAGGTCGTCAAGGGCTTGAAGAAGCATTTGGAAGTGAAGGACACAAAGGACGGGAGCGATTGCGACACGCGGAGCTGACCTCGGCAACTTTGGTGCGAAAATGCCAAGGGATGTTAGGACTTGAGAACGTTTTGCCAACTAAAAGGGGTTTTCCGTATTAAACCACTAAAAGTGAATCTCATAGTGCTATTATGTTACTTTTGTTTTTTAAGTAATAAACAAAACCTTTGGTTTCAAAGGGAATCTATCACTTCTGGACATGTATGTATTATTTCCCCCGGAGCCTTCAGCGAACGGACGCGTTCTATCACCGGCTGTCTCGCTCACACGTCGGTGCGGAGCGCGGGGATTCGGAGAGTTCCTCTTCGTCGCCGCGAGGAGCTGGAGTCCCTCTTCGTGGCCGGCCCAGAAATCCCAACCCGCGCCCCCCAAAAGCGCGATGGAGAAGGGTGGGCGTGGTTTTATGGAGAAATGGTTTTGAAGGACGCCCCCCCCTCCCCCACAGAAAAAGAGGCAATGTTCGTGGGTGGTTTTTATGAATGTTGGTAGGCAATGTTTGTTAATTAAAAAAAGGCAATATGTGGGTGGGTGGTTCCACTGAGAGACACTGTTTCAAGCACGAGCACGGTCGGGGTCGGGGTCACTCGGGGGGCTTCGATCTCACCTGCAAATGTGTGGGGTAGGTGGTTCTACTACTTGGTGGAGTGATTGTAATGAGGCCCATGTAAATGATTGTAAACAACGTTGGTAGCCAGAAGTCAACAGGTTTTGGGCGCTCAATTCAAGTTGCCCAATTAACCTTTTGCTTCTTCTAAAACCCTGCCCTGAGTTTTCCACCCTGCTTCCTTGTTTGGAGGGTCTTTGTTTTGCAAATCATCAAGCAGTCCTGGTTTGGTGCCAGGCAATTTGTTTTTGTTCACTGATTTGGGGGCGAACATGGGCGAACTGGGGCTGTTGTTTTTTCGTCACATACCCTGCAAAGTGCACTTCCCGAGTTCACTTTAGTGACTTTTTGTAGTGCAAACAGGGTAGACTTTTTTTGGGCCATCCACTCGATCGAAAGTGGGGCAGAGCTTGGGTTCCGATTTGGGTTCCGATTGATGCGAATCTCGAAGCTTGGATCGCCGGGGGGTGAGCGTGCAAGACCTCTGGTCATTTCAGTAAGTTCCACCCTCCCCCAGACGGTTTAGAATTGAGGTGAATTCACCACCCATTTTAGAACCTATTTTAGTGGTTGGATTGAATCGGATGTTCACTGGGGGTACCCTCCCCCAGACGATTCCATGGAAGCTCCCAGGACTTTGGAAGACTTAGTTCCATTTACGGAGGCCTTCTGGGAGCTTCCATGTTAGGAAGGAGTGTACTGGTTTAATGGGATATGGGTGTGTCAAAATAAGGAAATCTCTACAATTGTGTTTTCCTGTTGGTGTCCTTCAAAGCCAACCTGAAAAGGGCTCCATATCAGCAAGGTAAACCAACTTGGTAGAACCAGGAGACGGGGCTCATGAGCTCAGTACTGTGCCTCAAGGAGTCATTTTACATCTCTAGAGATGTGATTTCATGATCCCCTAAGTTTTAACTCTTGTCTACATCAAATCCCGGCAAACTCGTCAAGGCCTGATGGGTATGTGTCCCCATGTCGTCGGGGAAACGCCACATTTTTTGTGCGTGTTTCCCCAAGCCGCGGTGAAAAGGGGGACTTGTTTCTTGTACCATTGTCCTGTCCTTTTTTTGTTGAGAGGTTGACCTTGATGAGACCTCTGGGTAAACAGATGGTAATTACACCCAAGCCTCCAGCCTTGAAGGGGTCAAAAAATGCGTCCATTTGCTGACATCACTGTTTTGTTCTTTTCCCCTGTTGGTTTTAAATGGAATCGATTTCACTGCTGGACATATGTTCTCATTGTTTCCAGTGGTCCCTCACCAAATGGAATGCAAACACCCGAGAACTGGATAACCTCGCAGATTCGTCCGAGGCACAGGTTGACCGAGATGGATCTGGCACCATCAACGTGCAGGCGGTTCCCTGGGCGCTCAAAGTGGCTTGAATTTTGTCTCGAAATTCTAGGAGCTGATTCCTCTTCCATTCTTTTCACCCATCGTTCTTTTCGAAAACCGGATCCGTTTGCCCCGGGTTTCCGGAGGTTTTCTAGAGGGGGAAGGTAGCACTAGAAAGATGGGTTCGGCGTCTTACAATAGGATTTGGACCCCGAATTGGGTAGTTTCGTTGTGGTGTCCCTTTAAAACCAGCCAAGAGAGGGTCAAACAAACGGACACCCCCATATCTGAGCTGCGGCGGAAACTCTGTCGAGTTCCATGTCAAAGCGCCCTTGTTGGCCTATGTTTGGCCAGAGTCCCGAAAGGGGATGAGATGTTGCTTTTTCCTAGGGCTGGTTCATTCTTGGGTCTGCTTCCCCTGGCCAGTTGGCGCGTGGGTTGGTTGGTTGGTTGGTTGGTTGGTTGGTTGGTTGGTTGGTTGGCTGGCTGGCTGGCTGGCTGGCTGGCTGGCTGGCTGGCTGGCTGGCTGGCTGGCTGGCTGGCTGGCTGGCTGGCTGGCTGGCTGGCTGGCTGGCTGGCTGGCTGGCTGGCTGGCTGGCTGGCTGGCTGGCTGGCTGGCTGGCTGGCTGGCTGGCTGGCTGGCTGGCTGGCTGGCTGGCTGGCTGGCTGGCTGGCTGGCTGGCTGGCTGGCTGGCTGGCTGGCTGGCTGGCTGGCTGGCTGGCTGGCTGGCTGGCTGGCTGGCTGGCTGGCTGGCTGGCTGGCTGGCTGGCTGGCTGGCTGGCTGGCTGGCTGGCTGGCTGGCTGGCTGGCTGGCTGGCTGGCTGGCTGGCTGGCTGGCTGGCTGGCTGGCTGGCTGGCTGGCTGGCTGGCTGGCTGGCTGGCTGGCTGGCTGGCTGGCTGGCTGGCTGGCTGGCTGGCTGGCTGGCTGGCTGGCTGGCTGGCTGGCTGGCTGGCTGGTCAGTTGGTTGGTTGGTTGGCCCGCATCTGGACATCACCAGCCTCACTTGGCCCGGTGCTTGCCTCTTTGCTCTGATTGGGAGGCAGCTGGGAGTTGCCGGGGGCTGGTTTCAGGCACTAACAGTCACTATCATGTTTCTAGGGCTTCCCCTGCTATGACTACAAAACGGTAAATACATCTATGATGTTTAACCGGATACTCCCTCAAAACTGACTGGTGGGCAAGAATCCCCATTGTAAATGATGTTCACCAAAGGGTCCCCCCAAGGTTCTTGCCGTCCCCGCTCTGTTTCTGCTGTTAATATTGTCCTCAAATGCAAGCGGCTAATCTATTGCGCACATTATTCCTGTATGATCATCACTTTGACTGGATGTTTAAGTCCCCCACAACCCCAGTCTAATTTCTTTAGGCCCTGTTTTAAAGTACTCTACCACATATTTTCCCGCACGGTGTTGGTTTTGTTTTTTTTACCTGCTCACTTCCCGAGTTTCTGGATTTCAGTCACTAATTATTTGGCCAAGGGGTCTTTTTGCCACCTTTCTCGTGAGAAAAGATGGGCGACCCGGTCGGCGACCCCCTCAAAGAGGAATCCTTCACTACAAGGGGGTTGATCATTTTTCCACAGGCGGCAAAAAGACCCCCCCCCGCATTTGGCTGTGGGCCAAAACCAATGGTACCATTTTGGTTGGTAGTTGCACCACCCATTTTAGTTTATTTTAGTGGTTGGATAGGGATGTTCACCGATTTGGATTTTGACCCATGGCCGTTTGGGTTTGGACCATGTTGGTGGCAAACAGGTTCAGACTTTCTTTGGGCCATCCACTCGCTCGGTGCTGTGTGTGGGTAAGAGCATCGAGTGCTACCTTCCATTTCCATTCTGAACCCAGGGATCCGGATCTTTCTAGAAAGTATCCGGAAACCCAGGAGAACGGATCCGGTTTTCGAAAAGAAGGATGGTTGGAAAGAATGGAAGAGGAATCAACCCCTAGAGTGCTGCATGTTTTGGGGACCTTCAAAAGAAAGCCAGCAAATGGATTTGGATTCCCTCATACTGGCAAATGGATTTGAATTTGCACCTTGACTAAGTTTGGGAAATGGCACCAAGGGAATCCCCCCATATCCCCGCTCCCTCCGTATCCCCACTTGTTTGTGTGTCCAAAAAGTGTGGCCATAGGTGTCCTTTTTTTCTTAAAAAAATCACTCCCCTGGTTTACCAGGGTTCAATCATCTACCAGGGAGACCCATCTATTTTCCAAAAAAGGACGCCTATGGGTGTGGCTGTGTGTAGACAAGAAGAGCACCTGCGGGCAGAGGAGTTCCTGGCCGCGGCCATGGATCAGAACCGCATCAGCGGCCTGCCGATCTTGTGGGAGGCGCGCTTTCGCGTTTTGAGCCGCTGCAAAACCCGGCGACGCCGCCACAGGATCTGGGGTGTTTGGGGAAAAAGGCCGCGACCCCCCCCAAAAAAGGCTGAAGAACAGCCCGGGGTTTTTGTTTGGGCGAAGAAGTTGGAAGTTGTTTTGGGGGTTGTGAAACTACACGGGTATGAGCAGTTGTTAAAACTCTTGCGTCTTTCAGCGAGGTGGCTGCTCAAGTCCTGATTGCAAGCATGACGGCCCATATTTGATCACCGGGTCTCTAAAAAGTCCGCCTTGTGATATGTTCTCCAAGTTGCTTTTGGAGTGGTGTTCCTGTAAGCCACCAACAGGCTAATCTTCAGGATGTCATGTGAATGGAGGCACCTGCAGGGTCGCTCAGAAGCGCCGCGGACACGGCAGAGATCTTGAAACGAAGCTGTGGGTGCTTTTGATGTTCTTTGACACCACTCCAAAGCAGATGAATCCAGTAATTTATTAAATCATTGGCGCTTTTCTAGGGAGGTTTCTAAGAGACTGACCCAATTGCTAGCAGTGACCCGAAAGGCGGAATTAGAGATGGACACTTGCTTTGTTTGCTCCCATCTTTAGTTCGAAACCCGACAAGCAAAGAGGGATTTAAAGGGCTGAACAACTGGGCAAAGGCTGGCATCTCTTTGTCTAAGTTTTTTAGTAGAGAGCTTAGAATGAGGGTACCCGTTTTTGCTTCTTCTTTTTTTCTGTAGCCTATTTTAGGGGAACCCTCCCAACCAAAAACGGGGTGAGAAAGGTTGCACCAATCGCTGGGGGGCCTAGTTGTGCTGGTCCAAAACAGTCCGGATCCGACCTTTTGGTTTCCCAAGTTTGAAGTCCATGAGGCCCCGAAAGGTTCAGGCTTCGATTTCCAGGTGCTTTGGGCTCCTGAGACTTAGGGGCGAGTTTAGGAGGCCGCAGGGTCCTTGGCAGTCCTTGGCAGCATCTAATTCCCTTTGAAGGCAGATCATGGCAGTGAATGCTCTTGGAGTCCAGAAGAAGTCCGTTTAGGAAGGGAACCGCCAGCCTTGCTTGACAGTCCAAACGAGCGAGGCCTTTAGCGCCTTCGACAAGGATCGAGGGGGCACCATCAGCAACGACGAGATCGGCAAGCCGGGGCCCAGATTGGGGCTGATTTGTGACTCGAACCCGCTGGGATACCCCCTAGGCTTCAGTCTATCTTGGTGTAGTCAAAGAATGGACCCTTGCAACAATTTTCGGTAGTTCTAAACATTGACTATTCTTTGCAGGCTTGTTAGCTCGGTTGATTACCTGGGCGGTCTGATGTTGACCATGTGTGTGTGTGTGCAACTGGGAAGGTTGGGCACTTGCTGTGATGAGCATGCTCGTTTCAACACATTGTTTGACCATATAGTGGCCTAGCAGGAGTTGCCTATGCTACGGCTTGACTCAACTGGGAGGTGTTTTTGTTGGCTTCGCCTTTTTAACAAACATTTAACAGTCATAGAACCCCTACGGGAGGGGTGGTAGGTACAGGGGGGTGGGTAGTTGAGAGCCCCAAGGTTCCTTAGAGTTCCTTAGGGAGCGTCTGTGTTTTGTCGGTTGTCTCTCATATCGAGCCAATGCCCGTGCCATAAAATCTTACGCAAGGCAAACCCGCTTTGCTCGATGCCCGTCAGCAAGAGATTGTTTTCTGGAACAGAAAACGAGATGGACAAAAGTCTTCCGTAGAGATATCACGAAAGCTAGCTTTAGCTAGCTGAAGTTTCTCCTTGCGTAAGCAAGGTAAGGGGCTCAAATGCCGAAAGATTGATTTTTTCAATTATTTGAGCCGAAAAGATTGAAAAACATCAATTATTTAGACCCCCCCCCCCCTCTCCCCCCCCTCCCGGGATTCCGCCTCCCTGGTCCATCCCCCCCCCCGGGCAGTGGCTCAGTGTTCAGCAGTCTCGGTTTGCCCGTTTTGGACTTGGTGCTACGAACTTTTACATGTTCCACCGATTCAGCTTGTTCATTTGAGACCTCAGTCTTCTCGGTAAACCACCTCGCAAGAATCTTTGCACACGCTGCATGCAGAACCCAGAGGTGCTTTAAGACAGCTTCTGACGCCTCTCGTTGCTTTCATTTTTCAAGGCCACCATGTGCGTTTGCGTGTCGCATCCTACGAATCTTGCCGGGCCCCTCGTTGTACACAAGCTACCTATGAATCCACTCTGTCACCGACCCATCTCATGCAACAACTGCTAGCTTTCGTTCACCCGCTCCTCAAGTCAAAATAGGGGAACCCTAATGATGCGGGTGTTCCTGTTTTGGTTTCCCTGAAACCAGCGAGCTGTTTACCCTCGTGTACGGAATGGACGATCCTTCTGGGCAACTCACGACGAGCTCTGCGGGTAAAACGAGCTCGCCCACGATGAAGGTTTGTTCCAGACCCCCTGTTTCGGTGCGTGTGTGTTTAGGGCACCCCCTTAGAATGGTTTTCCTTTAGGTTTCCCTGAAACCACACCAGAGAGAGCGCACCCTCAAAACAAAAAACAACACCCCATTCAATGCACCCTGCTCTGTGAGTACAACTTCTTTCATGGGGGCTGGGGGGGAGGGAGCAGAGGGGGGAGGGAGCCCAAATAAAGAACTTAATAAGGCCTTGTTGAGGGCTTAATAAGGGCTCCTTCCCCCCTCCTCCTCCCTCCCCAGCCCCCCATGACCCCTTCATTTTGGGTAATGACCCCATTGTTTAAGGGTCATGCCCATTCAATGCACCCTGCTTTGTGAGTACCAATTCTTGGCTCAGCTGTTCAGTGGCTCCCTTTTTCCATTTCGTTTTGGCTGCCCCACGAAAATGGTCCAAGCCCCAAGAAAGGGTTCCCTTTTTTCTTCCAGGGTCACTGAACAACTGAGTTGGAGCTTCGATCAGGATCGTGAAGGAAGTGGAGGGCCAACTGGTCTCCATGGAGGTAGCGGGAAGACTCAGATCCAGCCGACGCCCAGTGGGGTGCTGCCTGGTTTCCGCTGGTTGTTGTTCCCAGGTGGAGGCTTTGGGGTCGATTGGCCCAAGTTTCCGCTGGTTTGGGTTGTTCATGGTTGTTGTTGGGAAACATTTCATACATTTTTGCTTCTTGCGGTTGAGTGATTAAAATCCAACCACTTAACTGCTAAAGTTTCAATATTTGCTCCCCTTCCAGCGTCAACCAAGTGCTGCCTGGTTTCCGTTGGTTTTTGTTCCCCCTAGCGGCTTTGGGGTCGATTTGCCCAAATAAGCTCTGGGTGGTTTGGGGCAGGGACCCGTTGGGTCCGGGTCTGTTGGAGATACCTGCGCCTATTTTTTTTAGACCACAAAAAGGCGGTTCTGGGCGTCGTTCCTGACACGGCATGGACCTCCAAAAAATGGCGCTGCATCGCGGGGGGGGGGGCCTATTACCTTTGGTGCATGTTGCTTGGTTGATGGGACTTTAACTTTTGACCAACTACTAGGTTTTCCGTATTAAACCACTAAAAGTTAATCACTTTTAGCAGGGCTTCGCAGATTTCGCCTCCGAGTTACGTATTGAACCCTTTGGGTATCCTTGGCTCCAGGGAGGGATCGCCCCTCCAGCCGAGTCCCTTCAGCGGGTGGCTTTCCATGACCAAACGCTTGATGTATGGCTTGTTTGGGAGCCGCCCCCGGTTTTATCATGGCTAGGGGCAACTTGTTGGAAACAGCGTTGATTTGCTTTTATACCAAACGTGGGAAGAGGGAAGTGTCCTTATACCAAACTGTATCCTTTAGGTATACCAAGCTTCTTGGTGGCAAAGGACCGCACGTGACTGCAGGCAGAGAGCTGTGCCTTTGCCATTCAGAAGGAGCTGGAGCAAACAGGCCGCGAAAAGACAGGGCCACGGACAAAACATGGTCTTTCAACATGTTTTGAAGCCCTTGCAAAGTGAGACCATGAAATACAGTACGTTTCAAATGTGTTGAAGCCGTTCAGCAAACCATGTATATTCTATCAAATATGGAACCCCTTGAAAAGTGGCGCTGGTGGGCATAGAAATCACCCAAACCCGGGGTTCCCTCTGTCGGGGAAACCTAAAGGAACCATGGCATCTTTTGAGGTCCATCATTTGGAGACACATCTATACCTACATGGCTCCTACTGCACAAATTGCCAACGTATATCGTTGCATGTTCCAAGACCAGCGGGAAGCCAACAAAACATGGGGGTAGTGTTCAGGTGGATACTGCGAGAGCTCGGTAAGGGAAGGATACGGGACAGTTTCAGTTCAAATATATGTATGTAAAGGTATATTTGTTTCTGTGCAGATAACATTTGTTTTTCTTTGTTTAACTATGTTCTCTGTTTCGGCTGGACCTGTTTAATACATCATATGTTCATTATGACTTGGCTTTGCATCGATTCGAGCCTGCCGATCAGTTGAGTCGCCAAGATAGGTCCGCTGATTTCTGTTCTGCAATGTTGCGCTGTTCGCTCTAGTGGTTCGAATTTCTTGGGCACATTTGGATGAAGCATAAAGAAAAAGCAGTCATATTCAGGTGTACATTTCTTTTAACATTTCCAGGTATCCGGTCCCAATCCAGTGAACCCCAAGAGGCCCTGTGGATCTCTTCCCATGCAGTATGTAGAGGAAATCAATCAGGCCAAAATACGCAAATAAGCCTCCCCCCCGCTTACAATTTCCAGGTTTCCCCCAATCCAGTGAACCCCAAGAGGCCTTAACCATTGAGACCCAAGTCCGCAAATATGGGTGTGTGTCAATTTAAGCCGTCTCCATTTACCAGGGCAAGCCATTTTGGGTACATATTTTTGACCCACAGCCCACAGCCCACAGCCATATGCTTCGCCCATCCACGTCTTCTCCCCCACAAAGAGAGGCCTCCACCGCTGGTTCCGCAGGCAACTCCGGGGACCTGGACTTCGAGCAGTTCGTGTACCTCATGAAGACCCGGCCCAGCTCCACGGCGGAAGCCTCGGCTTCCGGCTGGAGCCGAAAGGGGCGTGTGGAACCAAGCGGCCAAGCGGTGTCCAATTTTTGTCAAAACTCAGTTGTTCAGTGCCACCGATTCTTTTTCCCCCTTTTTTTTGGTGGCTGCCCCACTAAAATGGTCTTCCCAAAAAAGGGTTCCCTTTTTGTCTCCAGGGTCACTGAACAACAATTAGGCGGTTTCCGCGGGGGCTGGCCCATTCCACTTGCCGATCGGGCAACCCAGTTTGGAATTCCTTTTTTTTTTTTCCCGAAAGCATGGCGAAGGGTTCTTCCGCTGGGTTCACTTGAATTGTTCTCATGAGAGTCATTACAAGGTGTCATTGCAAGGAATCATCATCATGAAAGTCAATGCAAGGAGTCATTGCAAGGAGTCATTGCAAGGAGTCATTGCAAGGAGTCATTGCAAGGAGTCATGGCAAGGATTGCAACTTGCACTTGACTCCTTGCACTTGCAACTTGCACTTGACTCCTTGCACTTGCAACTTGCACTCCATGCACTTGCAACTTGCACTTGACTCCATGCACTTGGCTCCTTGCACTTGGCTCCTTGCTTGCTCCTTGCAACTTGCACTTGACTCCATGCACTTGGCTCCTTGCGCAATGGCTCTCATGACTCCTTGCAATGACTCCTTGCAATGACTCCAATGACTGACAATGACTCCTTGCAATGACTCCTTGCAATGACTCCTTGCAATGACTCCTTGCAATGACTCCTCCTGAAACAAGCAAGGAGTCAAGTGCAAGTTGCAAGTGCAAGGAGTCAAGTGCAATTGACTTGCGAGGAGTTAAAATCTCTTCTTAGGGCGGCGGGGTAGTGCCGACGACACTACACGAAAATCGACCCTCTGCGGGGATCGGCGTGGTCGAGGTGCAAAAACCCATGGTTTTTTGCGATTTCTAAAGTTCCCGCGCGACCCTCTGCGGGGATCGGCGTGGTCGAGGTGCAAAAACCCATGGTTTTTTTGCGATTTCTAACCTGCTCGCGCGACCCTCTGCGGGGATCGGCGTGGTCGAGGTGCAAAAACCCATGGTTTTTTGCGATTTCTAACCTGCTCGCGCGACCCTCTGCGGGGATCGGCGTGGTCGAGGTGCAAAAACCCATGGTTTTTTGCGATTTCTGCGGTGCTCGCGCAACCCTCTGCGGGAATCGGCGTGGTCGAGGTGCAAAAACTCAAGGTTTTTTGCGACTTTTGTTGTTCGAACTGGTCCTCGGGAGTTGTCTCGTGGTTCGCGCGCCTGCTCCCGGAACCGGCGGGTCGCCTCCCTGGTCCGCGGGCGGGCGTCGCAAGATGCAACTTGCATTTTAAAGCAACTTGCGCAGAGCAACTTGCGCAGAGCAAGTTGCACAGAGCAACTTGCGCAGACCAACTTGCACCGACCAGTTTGCGCAGAGCGCCTTGCCTAGAGCAACTTACGCAGAGCAACTTGCACAGAGCAACTTGCACAGAGCAGCTTGCACAGAGCAACTTGCAGGGAGCGCAATTTGCACAGAGCAACTTGCAGGGACCAACTTGCCGGAGCAACTTGCGCGGAGCAACTTGCGCAGAGCAACTTGCACAGTGCAACTTGCGTAGAGCAACTTGCGCAGACCAACTTGCACCGACCAGTTTGCGCAGAGCACCTTGCCTGGTGCTGTCTCGCGCTTGCTTCACGAAGTGTAGGGAAAAAGAACGCATCCTGCAGCGTTGGGCCGACCTCGCTTGCGATGTTCTGCTTTCGGGCCAACCGTGGTCTAGTTTTTTTTTTTCGAGCCACAGCCAAGTGTCCAATTTTTGTGGGGTCCAAAACACGTGTTAGGGGGTCCCTAAGAACCTGTTTTGGCGTTTCACAGGTTTACATGTTGAGCAAAGCCTGGGGGACCCCTAACAAAAAAAGGACATCGCTGTTGTTCACAGCTTTACGCGTGGTTCTCGGGTTTAGTTGGGACCCAACTTATTTATAAGCCCAGGGGTCCTTGGTGTGGTTCTTCCCGGAACCAATTCCACTTAGCCTCTGATTTTCATTTTGATGGGTGTGCCATTGAGATGCTGCATTGTTTGGGGGAAGTGCCTCCTATTGATCCACCAGGTTGGAGAACCCGTCGACATGTTTCAGTTGTAGCAGGGTTTAACAGGGCTCCTTAAAAGATCTCCATTTTGCAACCATTTGAAACATGTTGCTTTTTCAACACCAAAACAAAAGGAAACAACCATTTACAAGGCAATGTTCAGGTGTATAATGTAAGGATCCCTGTTTAAGCAGCACCTTTCGAGAAAAACATGTTGATGTAGTTTCTCTTCGAGCATCCGTCCCTTGGCCTGGGCAAACGGGAGGTGGGTTTGTGGGTTTCAGGAAGCCCAGAAGCCTTAGGGAAGACCATCCCCCCTTAGACCACTGCATAGAGGGAGTGTTATTTGTTTGCATGCTTGCATGCTTGCTTGCTTGCTTGCTTGCTTGCTGGCTTGCTTGCTTGGCTTGGCTTGCTTGCTTGCTTGCTTGGCTTGCTTGCTGGCTGGCTTGGCTTGCTTGCTTGCTTGGCTTGGCTTGGCTTGGCTTGGCTTGGCTTGGCTTGCTTGCTTGCTTGCTTGCTGACTTGTTTGTTTCGGGCTTAGGGAGCGTCGCTTTCAACTCAGTTCCCCAAGGATTTTCCGTGGCCCCGGAGTACTCCCATTGAAATGCACGCCATCCACCCGGTTGACGCAGGATGCCGCCAACACGCAGCTCACGCGCGCCTGCTGGGCGGGCTTTGGCATGGACTGCTACCAGGCCGGATGAGAATTCTCACCGAGGACGGATGAGTCACTTGGGAGACCCTGTTAGAGGTACCTCGGTGATCTAAAACCGACGGAACCAACATGGTGTTCCCATGATGGTCCAGATTTCGACAAGGTCCCAAAAGGTTTGCCCTTTATTTCCGGGTCCTTTGGGAAAGTGCGGGCAAAGTTGTTTTTGTTTTCTCGGGGTGATCCACTCAGGAAGTGATGTGATCTTGCAAGAAATCAGCCAACCACCAAGGGAATGCCCCCATTCCTAGGACGCAAGTGAGAGATGCTTCGGAATCCAGTTGAGCTGAAAAACAGGACTTGGCCGGGATCCTGTAAGCACCCAGGGCATAAGTGGAGCTTCTGCTTCCGGAGACTCTCAAACTGTACCCTGCCATGAAACCCACCAGAGCGTGTCTGTAGGAAAGCGGTCGTCCAGTCTTAGAGGACCGCCCCCTGTCAGGTTCATTGGACGCTCGACGTTTCTCGTTGGCTTCCAGAAGGCTTCCCTAAGCAAGAAACGGACGGCCACCAGAACGCACATCCCATGGGCTCCCTTTGAATTCCCCATGGGCAAAACATCCGCAACAGCAAGCGTGGTACCCCACCCCCACCCATTTATTTGATTAAACACAACAAACAAACAAAATAAAGCACCCTGGTGGCTTGTTCTGTGTTTGAACGAACCCCTCAGGGCCCCGTTTCGGTTGCCTTGTTTTCCCGATGCCATGGGCCTTTCTCACCCGAACCGAACTCATCGAGGACTCGAAGACTCGAACTCGAGTCGCCAGGTTCGCCACCGCGAGCCTGAGAGGCCGATGTGTCGGGCGTATGAGACCCAAAATCCCGCTGAAGGGGATGACCCCAAAAAGGTCCCCCACTTTTCTTCCCCAGAATGAGTTGTTTTTGTTGTTTTTGTTAAAAAAAAAGCTCTTTGGGGGTCCCCTTTGTTTTCCACTAACCAGGCAAACAAAATTATATCATATATTGTTTGCTGGGGTCCTAGTTCCAGCCAAGTTTCAACGAGCAAACGAGGGAGAACGAGGGAGAACGAGGGAGAACGAGGGAGAACGAGGGAGAACGAGGGAGAACGAGGGAGAACGGAGGTGTTCAATTTCAGCCCCTCCTGGTGGTTGGACCACTTGCGGCCATTGGAGTTCGGCCTGCCCTCGTTTTGTTTTTTTTTGTTTTTTTACCCCTGGAGTTCATGGACTGCTCATGTTTTGGGAAGGCTAGTTTAGAGGCATGCACACAGTTTGACTTGTTGTTTGCGAATCATGGGGGCTGCCCAACTGCTATGGGTGGCATCAAAGACGGCAGACAGGTGCACCGATTGTGTGTCAACCCGAACCGGCATCTCCTTCAAGACAGTTTTATGTGTTAGTGTAGACTGAATATGAAGCAACATGTAAACACATTGTCAGGTGTGTGTGTGTGTGTCCTTTTTAGAGAACCCAGGAAATTATGGTGTTCCTTTTGGTTTTCCTGTAAAACCAAAACAAAGGGGTCCGTTTTGAAGCGGTACCCTCAAAAAAGACACCCCGCGTGTAAGATTTTGACCCGGATTCCGGACACAACGGTCAACCTGAGGTGTCAACCAGGCAGGCAGGGCAGAAATGCCTTTGTGCAAATCATACTGGACACTTTTGGATGGTTTTTGAAAGGACACCAGAAGGGGCCACCCGTGAGGGGTTCCCTAATATATATGAGGCAGACAGCCGTACACTCTTGGTACGCAGCCTCTTATGGCCAGTCAATGATGCATGTTCCGTGTGGCGATATCAAGGCTCATAGGGAAGCGCCAGTGAATGTGGGCATGAACCTCCATCTATATCCATCAAAGTAAAGGGTGCAGCCACTTGAAACTCATTCCGGTGTCTTGACCTGGTCTCACTGTGAGCTGTTCAGGTGGGACATCACCAAAGAGAAGTCGCGAGCGAACCGTCTTCGGGCTGCACTTATGGCATGGGTCTGAAGGTAACCCTTTTCTTTCGGGGTGTGCTGTTGAATGACAACCAAAAGGAAACCACCCAAGCTTGGCGGTGAGAGAGCGCGCATGGACAAAGTTGGCCCCTTTTAAGTACGAGAAGTCTTGGGAGATCCATGGGACGTCTTATGTGGACCATTGCGGAAAGACGGGCAAGCAAAGGCAAGCTTCCAGTCTGGGAAGGGCGCCTGCTATACCAACTAGGTCCCCCAGTAGTGCCCTTTTACCTTTTTGTTTGGGGAAGGTGCCCCTACAAAAAATAGACTACAGAAAAAATAGGGTACCCTTCTTCTAACCTCTCTACTGGAGGACCTAGCCAATCCATCGTTGCTTAAATTGCACGCCCGAGATGTCCATGTGCCATCCAGAAGCTGGATGACGTGATTCACGACATGCAAAGTACATGGGAGGCATGGCGCAGAGTTTTGACTCGTCATTGTGACCTTCCCTCAAGGGTGGTCATGACCCTGGCGAGAGTTCCAAACCTGTCTGGGCCCAAAAACAAATCTTTTGGTGGGGAAGGCCAAACAGCAAATCTTCGGGTGGGTGTGCCGTCAGAAGGACCTGGCTGGGCCAAAAACACATCTTCTGGTGGGGAAGGCCCAAAAAACCACGTTGAACTGTTTAGGTCAATTTTCTGAAGGCAGAAAGCAGGTGTGCCTCAGTCAGAAGGTGTGCCTCAGTCAGAAGGTGTGCCTCATCGGCACTCCGCCCTCCGCTCTGAGGCTCGGTGTACCGCCACCGGCGGCCCAAAAAAAAGGGCGACGAGGCGAAGTTCAAACGCGCGAGCCGGCGGCTGGCGGGGTATGAGCGGCCAAAATCCTTCGAACTCCACGTGTGTAATGAGGGCCTAACACTCCGAGGACTGATTCCTTCGGGACTTCGGGACCTTTGCATGTGAACACACAAAACAGCAAACCTTGATACAACACCAACGTGTCATAGGGACAACCTATGTATGCCGTCCCCTTTTTGCGCAAACAGTACAGCTGAAGGGTGTGCCTCCGGAACCTTCTTGTGACTGGCAACTAGTCTTAGAGAGTTTCTTGGTGCCTGCTCAGGGATGACTTGTGGGGCCAAAAATAATTCAACTCAGATCCTTACAAGGCACCCCAAAAAAGACCCTTAGAGGAACTGCCGCTTTTTGCTTGTTCCGATCTTCTGCCCAGGCACCCCAAAAAAAAGACCCTTGGAGGAATTGCCTTTGTTTTGTTTCTTCTGCCCAGTCAACTCAGCTGGTTAGACTATAACCATCCCTTTCAGAGTGTCCGGGGCTGTGCCTGCTGAAAGCTTTGTGTTCCATAGGCCCAAAGCTTTGGGGTGGCGTTCAGGGCGGCTTTCAGGGAGGGCTCCAGGAGGTGACCAGCTGATACCTCGGCTTGTGTTTTTTATAGCTTGCGCCTGAAGCCAACATCGCATGGTAGGGAATAAAGGCAATACGGGGGCCTTTTGGCGAGTAATAAGGCCCAAACGCTATAACAAATCCGAAGAAGAAGAAAAAACGGCACCCAAAAGCTATTAGGGTTCCTTTGCAGTGCCTATCCGGCCCTTGGGGGCTGACCTACCAGAAGTCATTGCCAGGAGGAGCCCGTGACTGCTGGATGAGCCTCTCGCGTTTGGAAGTTCGAGCCGGCCGCCGGCCAGGTGCCCAAGCTGGATCTTTGGATCTTTGGGGGTCCCTGAGAGTGATTCAATATGGCCATCTTTTTCCGCGAGCTCAACAAATCCGGGGGTACAACGAGCGGTTTTTGGCCATGATATTCTAAGGGTTGATTCCTTGTCCATTCTTTTCAACCATCGTTCTTTGTTCAAATGTCCCTGGGTTTCCGGAGGTTTTCTAGAAAGAAGGATCCCTGGAAAGAATGGAGAAGGCAGCCCTAGAAATGTGGCCATCTTTGTCCCCGAGCTCAAGAAATCCGGGGGTACAACGAGCGTTTCTTGGCCATGATCAAGGCCCTCTAGTCATGCAGTACAGCAAGCGGATGACATCTCATCGTTTCGTTGGAACATACGGAGCGGGGGAACCTTCTGACATCTCGGGCAGCTGACAACGTGGTGATTCTTGGGGACCTCTCCGTGCGAGATCCTCCCGGTAGTTTAGAGGAAGACCACCTAAAGAAACAATCCAAGCACTCAAAACGCAATCGCTCTGCAAACGTTGCTGGGATTCCACAAGCTGAATGAAGGGCCTATACAAAGACATACTCCCTGGCAAATTAAGGGCACCATTTTTTTCCTGCGTGGGGATCCGTTTTGCCAGCGGGTTTTGTAGGCACGCTGGAAGCCATTGCCATTCTTGCAACCGAAGCGAATCGACCGGATCTGACCTTTTGGTTTCCCCCTGGTCCATTTTGAATCACCCCACAAGGTGATCTGCATTTCTTTCTAGGCATCTAGGTCCTCTCGGCAACTGAGTTCGTGAAAGATCGAATGCCCCGAGCCGAGATCACCAGAGATGCGACCTGACGCTTTGTATCATACGGTGAATTCAGCGACCTCTGGAAGAGTTGCCTCATGGGTATTCTCCGAAATCGGGGGAACTTATTTGGGATTGGTTCAAGTAGCAATGGGTCCCGAACCAAGCAAACCAATTCGGTTTCGGTGGTGTCCAAGTCTAGGAAACTTTCCCCAAGTGTCAATCAACCGGTTTCACCCTTTGGTTTATGTTCAAGCTCTAGGGATCTGGGTGTATGGCAACATGTTTCCCCCCACTCCCCCAAAGGTTGCCTTCACCATTTGAGCCAAGCCCAACTTTCAACGGATTGAATTGGGTGCTCACCCGGATTGAGTCAACTCGCGCCGGTCTGCAAAACCCGGATCTCCCTTGTACCTTCTGAGGATAATGAGCCGACTGGGCTCATGGTACATCCTCACAAGGTACCAAGGGACGGGGGAAAGTCCAGGTCCCCCAGTAGTGCCCTTCTCTCCCCTTTTTTGGTTGGGAGGATTCCCCTACTAAATGGACTACAGGAAAAAGTTGGTACCCTTATTCTAAGCTCTCAACTGGAGGATCTAGAGGTGAAGAGAGCACATCAGCCCAAGGCTGTGATGCTTGAAGCAGAGTTCTGGCCAAAGGCCAAACAAAACGTGGCCCAATTTGCACGTGGCCTCGTGTCAAATCTGCGGACAAATGGCTGCGGGTCAAGACCAATGGGATCCCATTTTGGGGTGGGTGCACCACCCATTGTAGAACCTATTTTAGTTGGGATTGTGATGTTCACTGGGGGTACGATTTGGTTTTTGACCCATGGCCAATTCTGCTGGCAAAGGTCGCTGGCTGCAACCCAATGGAAGCTGCTCCTAAGAATCCGGAAGTCGTTTTGAGAGGGTTTTGCTATCAAGGTCATCCGGTTTCAACCAATTAAAAGGGGTTCGAGCCCACCAGAGTACAGGGGACCATACCCGCAGGCTCCCTCGGTACCTGATACACTTGAGGGCCTTGAGAGATTCCGGGATATGGTTTCTTTAGGGCCCTTTTTCTTTTGGGCTGAGGTTTTCGGATAAATTTGTCTCGTTACTTGCGGGGCTTTCTTTGTGGAGAAAGGCCCAGGCCTCGATTCGAATCAAGGCTGCGGACTTTTGGTGGGCATGTCCTTCGAACGGGAACCAGCGTTTCGAAATCAGCATGCCCGTGGGAAGACCCTTGGATGCTTTTGAATTAGACTAGGTCCCGCAGCTAGGTGCCCTTTTGCCCCCCTTTTTTTTGGGGGAGGGTTCCCCTAAAATAGACTACAGAAAAAAGAAGAAGAACAAAAAGCCGGTACCAACGTATTCTAACCTCTCTACTGGAGGACCCAGTAGAAGTGGCCATGGAGTTGGAGGGACAAGGGGAATAGGGCCATTTCAAGTCAATCTCTGGAAGGCGAAGCTTCTCAAGTTCTAAGGCCAAACCATGGTAGAAGCACCCACCGTTCCAGGGGACCAGGGGACCGCAGTAGTCCATTCCACTAGGACCCTTACTAGGGTTCAAGCCATTTGGGCAGGGCTCCTTAAAAGATCTCCATTTTTTGCAACCAGTTGAAACATGTGGCTTTTTCAACACCAAAATAGAGGGAAACCACCATTTACAAGTTGCAATGCTCAGGTGTATAATGTAAGGATCGCTGGTGGGGTACATATTTGTTGTCCCACAGCCAAGTGAGGAGGAAAACGCCCCCTGTTTCTGAAGCAGAAACGACGAGCAACAGAAATGGGTCACTCCGTGCGAAAGTCGCAGGGATGCCTCAGTTGTCCAAAACCCGCCTGAAGTAACCTTTTGGATTTCCCATGTTGGCCACCATTTTTAGTCAAGATATCGAAAAGGTCGACTTTTATTTTTGGGTCCTTTGGGCAAGTGAGATATGCTTCCCACACAGACATACGCTCCTTGACTCAGAATTCAGAGAGCCAAGTCCTCACAGTCCAACTCAGCAGAAAGGCGTCCAATCGGAGCAGCAGCAAACACAAGTAGAACGCGTCTTGTGCATTGACCACTTGTACGCTTTTTCCTCCGCTGTTGAAAAAGATCAATAAAACATGTCCATGCCATTTAGCCATGTCTTTTAGGCCTGTACGCAATCTGTTTGTTTCTGTTTCATCGCCAATATTAGTCAATGGTCTGACCACAGCGGACTATGGGCATAGTCCCTTGACCCTTTAGCTTCCGACTGGTTGCCATGGCACAATTGCCTGCGCATCCAGAAGGTCCAGGCAAGAGATGGTGTGTCTGTTTTCAGTGGGGTCCTTTGGTGGTTGCATCATGCATGTAAGGGGGTTTTATGCCCACCACCAAAATGTTCCAGGGGTGCCTTTTTTCTAAAGAACAAAAACAACAATACGAGGTCGTCATAGCGTGTGAGAGCGCTCCTGGAACTCGTGTCCAACTGTGCGAATTGGTTTCTACCTGTAGTTGTCCCACATGGCTGTTTGGCTCCGGAAAAACTTTTCGGGTTGCCTCGGAGACCACAGGGTATCATTCACAAAAGAGGTCCTGAAGTTTGAAAGACACTCTTGGCTGCCAGTTTGCTTCAGACGTCTTTTGAGGGCTTCACATGGTTCCCTGGGGTGCTCTTCAAACGTCGGCTGCGTTATTTCTGGGGACAACTGTCCTCCACGCGAGCAAACGCAATTATGTTGTGCATGGCATCAAAGATTCACCCATCTCTTGCTGCTTTGTTCATCTTTGGCTTATCTTTTCTGATACCGTTGGGGCATGACCTTTCTGAGTTGCTTGGTCGAATGTGTTCACGGAGTTCTGCCCGGCTTGGTCATCTAGCTATTGGCTGTCTAGCTGCAAAGAATTTGTATTTGTGGCGTCCGATTGCGCGAGTGATGCTATCTGACATGTATACGGCACGGTCGCTGACTTGTGACTTTCATTTCTTCCGGCGCGCACGCGAGCAGTTGGCTAACAGTGCTTGACTGTAGCCAAACGTCCATGCATGTAGTGGTCATCGTGATTGGTGTCGGGTCGGCTTGCATCTGTGTTGGTTGGTTGCTTGGCAGCTTGAACTTTTAGTAGGGGAGCAGAAAGCAACCGAGGCTTGCTGGCTGGCTGGCCAGCTGGCTCCCTGGCTTGCCGCTTTGTTGGCTGCTTGGTTGTTTGCTGGAAACTCTAGGTCCCCCAGTACTTATTCTAGCCTCTCTATTGGAGGACCTAGTAAAATCACTTCCCCCAATCCCCGCCACCCAACCAGAAATGTTGCCTGGATTCCGCTACGGTCCTCGACTTGGGGTTCGCCCTTTCCAGGCCCAGAAATCATTCAACAGCTGCTATGTTCAGGTAAGGGTTTTGGACAGCAGAAATCAGTGTACTTTGTCGGATTGCTGCTGGTTGTGATGTGGTTTCTACTACTTTTTTAAAGTGCCCACAAAATGGCTGGAGTTGGCGCCATTCGAGCGGCCGACCAAGCAATCGAAAAGTTAATACATATATATATATATAATATATATATATATGTATGTATCGATATATATATATATATACATACATATTTGTTGAGAAGGTTGGAATACCATAAACAACAGAGACTTGGCTGTAAAACGAGATGGTCCAGCCCCAAAGAAACCAGATCAATACGAGATCTGGAAACAATGCAACACGAGACTAATATGGTAGTTGTGAAGTGACGGCCGTGACAGACCAGTCTTTGAATTTCCTGCCAGTTGCCTGGCCCGACTAGCTGTGACAGAGCAGAACCTAAACTTTCTAGGTCTCCCAGCTAGGTGCCCTTTCTCACCCCTTTTTGGGGGGAGGGTTCCCCTACTAAGATAGACTACAGGAAAAAGTTGGTACCCTGATTCTATCCTCTCTACTGGAGGACCTAGCTTTTAGAAGGCTCCCGCCATGGGCCTGACAACAATGATCCAGATAGCTGTGGGTACCATTTTGGTTGGTACGTGAATTCACCTTCCATTTTAGAGCCTACTTTAGTGGGGATTGGGATGTTCACTGGGGGTACGTGGGTCAAAACCAATGGTACCTGTGATTCGGCCACGTAAACCTGCCTGCGACAGTTTGCCATTGTGTTTATGCTGCGTGGTTCGAGATTGCACAGCTAGCATAGTCTCACGACAGAGCTTGCAGAGCGTTCTTGGGCACCAACGGCTGCGGATCTGTATGCAGGTGAAGTGTCAAAAAACATGCTGTGCTGCATCGTGCACTTCGACATGCCCGACGCAAACGAATTCTATTTGCTAGGTCAGTTGCCACCAGTAAGGTGGCTGATCAACAGGCTATTGTGCGTTGCTGGTGGTTTGTCAGTTGTTTGCTTGCGTGTGTCCTATCGTTGCTTGCTTGCTTGTTGGATGATTGGGTGGGCTGGTTGGTTGGTCGGGCTGGTTTTGGCTGTTGGTTTCTTTGGATGCTCTTGTTGACCGCGTTGCTTCTGTTGCCTTCGGTGCTTTTATTACTAGCTTGCTGTTGTCGCCGTGAGTAGTTTCTGCGGGGGTTGTGTTTTGGGTCCGAAAGAACAACAAACTGCTGCAGGATCCGACAAAACGCGCGTTCCAGACTAGTGTGACCCTGGTTGATTTGGCAGCCTGTCTGGATTGCTGTCCACGGCCACGTGGTCGGCTTCACGCTGTTTCTCTCAACACGGTGCCCCTCATTCTGGCATGCTTTCCTCAGCACTTGAGGGCTCGATGCACGTTTTGAATACTTCTCTCTTAGTGCAACATGGCTCCATTCAGACACAGCCAGGGCGGACGAGCGGTGAACACTTGCCTCAATGAGGCCAAGAGGGTGCGAGATGTTGTGCCACGGGCAACACGCCAAGTGGCGTGGTGTTTTTCGGGTTCTCTTTTTTGCGGTTTTTGAAAAGGAACCCCAACGGAAGCCACCCATGGGTCCCCAGATTTGACCGAAATTTTAATAGGAGTGCAAGTGAGAACCCTGCAGTTAAACATCCAACCCACGTTTTTTCGCGTGGTGCTCCCTTGGTTTTATGCCCGCACAGGGCCACAATATCCACTTGGAAGCCGAGTGGAGCAATGTGGCTCAACGTCCTGGTAAATCTGCAAAACCCCCCCCCTTCATTCAAAGGAGAGCATCCTCTTGGATTCCAATCCCACCAAACAAAAAGTCGCCTAGTTCCGGCATTTGAGACTCGAGAAAATGCTTGGTTACCAACGTATATATTGATGAGATATGGCTGTGCATCAAAACCAATGGTACCATTTTGGGGTGGGTGCACCACTCTTTTAGTCTATTTTAGTGGGATTGGGATGTTCACTGGGAGAGTGGAGAGAATAGAGCAAGAAAAACCCAGGACGAAACACGGGCGGAGAGAGAAGAGGTGGGAGACGTGCACAGAAAGGAGTGAAGAGAAGAGGGAAGAGTTGAAGAAGCTAGAGAGCTGAGAAGAGAAGGGGGGAGGAGCGGGCAAATAAGCTGAGCGAGGAGCAAAAAGCAGGAATCAAAGATAAAAGCTGGAACACGCTCTGGCAGGGAACCCAAAAGAGCAGCAAAGCAAAGACAGCCAAACAGGACATCTGGAGAGATTTGGCCATGGGTGAAAATCCAAAATCGTACCCCCAGTAAACATCCCAATCCAACCAGTAAAATAGGTTCTAAAATGGGTAGTGAATTCACCTACCAACCCATGTTGGGATCCAAAACGGTTTTGACAACCACTGCCATTTGTCCTCAAACAATTCAAGTCCAACAAGCTGAGCCAGGAGGGAGGGGAGCGAGCAACAAATGAATGAACGGAAAAGAAAAGCCTGCTCAGTATATGGCCATGGGTCAAAAACCCGTACCCCCACCCGTTGCGGCGGCGGCTACCTTGCTTGTCGACCAACCGTGGCTCCTTCGTCCCCTGTTATCAAGTGGCACTGTCTCGGACGTTTGGCCTGGAACGGCTTTGTTTTCTTGGCACAGCTGGCAGTCAGCAGCCGCTTCAGTGAAGTCTAAGACGGTCTTCATCGCGTTCGGGCTGCCGCCAAGTAGAAGTTCGCTGCCACGTCGGTTTCGTCATATTCGTGGTAAGCTTAGCAGCTGTAGCCAGACACTGCCCCCGCAGCTGCCCAGATTTCAGCAAACAAGCCAGGATGCCATGTTTTCCTGGGTCAGCCTAAGAGTGTCAAAGTAAAGCCGTAAAGCCATTTGAGCAAAGAGGGTTGGCAGTCGCACCTGTGATGAGGGTTCTTTACTCAGGAATTCTGTCGGAGCAGTTTTGCATGGGGGTCTTGAAGTTGTGCAAAGGTTCCCAGAACCCAAAAGGAAGTTTCACTTCCCAAAAGGAGATTCCGCTCAAAATGAAGGTTGGTTGGTGTCCATCTAAATTCATAGAGGGTGATCCTGTGCTGGCCGCGCATTGACATTTCGGTTTCCTGAACTTCCTCTTACCTGGCAGGTGTTTTCCCAGTGGGCCTGCTTGAAGTCAATTAAGAGAGCGACAGAACACGGGGAAACCCCACCCGACGTTCCGCCAGGCGATGTCGGATCAGCTGAGGAAGCATGTGGGGTCCCAAAGGGATCACCCGCCTTGGAAGGACATCAAGTTCAGGCGAGGCATGCGTGCGAGTGAAAATGAAAAGTTTGGCTGGTGGTGGGAAGTGGCTAGGACATGGTGTCCGGTATCCCAAGTTTGTTTGTAAAGAGGGAGCCAAGGAGTTGCAAGGACATGGTAGACTGGTGCTGTTGATTTCCTGAATGATGCAAGCTGTGAACAACGGAAGCGCAGTGGGTCAAAATGTCCGATGGCTTCTAGTAGGCGTACTTCTCAGATCTAGCCCGACCTTTTGAAGCTGGATTTCAGGGTGAGACACATGGCTGTGGGTCAAAAATAGGCACCCAAAATGGAGCCTTGGTAAATGGGAACATGGACTAAAACCTGCGGTCCGATTCCTGGTGGTTTAATTTTGACCCACACCCACATGGCAGAATTACTTCATGTTGGGTCATCCCCTCAACCCAAACAGGTTGTGGCATCCGCTTTTGCCCTAAGGGCCTGACAAGTGAGACGTGCAAAGATTGAAAGGTTCCAAGGAAGATGACACTGACTGCCGGCCAACACGGGCAGTCAGGACAAAGCCCATTCCGACGCAAACGGGGCCGTGGGAAAGGAGGCGTTGGCAAGCAAATGTTGTGTGATACCTTGAGGAATCCCATGAAACAGTCGTGGGGATGGACACTTTGCTTTGTCATGGGGGCTGGGGGCGAAGGAGGGAGGAGAGAGGGGGGATGGAATCCAAATAAGCCCTTATTAAGCCCTTATTTAGGGCTTATTTGGGCTCCCTCCCCCCCTCCTCCCTTTTCCCCAGCCCCCATGACTTTGGCATTGCACAGTGCCTTCTTGGAATCCAGGCATCTTTTGACGCGCTCATCGATGCGGGGGTAAATCGAGCTCATCCATGAAGGTTCTTCACGATCGCCTTCCGGCGAATGTTTACCCTGCCCCGCCAATGAAGGTCGCCATTCAAAATGCGCGCCCACTTGAATGAACCAGATACCCTCCCCACGAGTACTTGGTTGTTGGTCAGAAAGGGGTGCATGTTCAAGCCATGTTTTCATGCAACCCCAAGGGTGGTTTGCATTTGGATTTGAACCCCCGACTCTCTTGGGCAAATGGGAAGCCATCCAACCTCAGCTCCAAGCCACCACTCCAAATCACCGTTGAGGGCAAGGTACGCTGATCTCTGGACGCATTTGGAAGGTACCAAGGCCAAGTCACTCTCTTCCCGAGTTCATAGGCTTCAGTCACTTCTTAGGTTTGGTTGCCATCTTAGTGGCATGCAGCAAGTTGTGGTCACTTCTGCCGGAAATTTCTCCAGGTGTGCCTTCCACAACACGATCTACGACGTGCTCAAGAGTCGCGGCTTCCGGGAAACCGAGGCGGATCCACATGGAGCCACAAAGCGCGCGTGAGAGGTTTTTTGGGTCGACGTAGCCAGGCGGGGTCAATGAAACTGAATTTGTTGCGGGATTCTTGGGGAATTGTTTCAGCTTAAACCACTATCACAAGAGTCTCTTGTTTTTGCGAAGTTCTCCAAACTGCTTGGGGAATTGCTTCCTTTTAAAGCGCTATAACAACAAGAGGTGGTTTGAGGATGTCGCTGTCACGGACCCAGCCGATGTGCTGACATGCGGGCTCCTGATGCCTTTATGCTGGCTTCCTTTCAAGCCCCCTGTTATGTGGCCCTTTCGAGTGCTTCAATCGGCCCCGTGTTCAACAATCTGACAGTTTGCTTTTTCTAAGGCTGTAGTGTGGTAGACGTGAACCCTTGGGGTTTAATGAAGACCAAGATGGCGTCTGGCCCCGTTCACGAGACCTTCTCTACATGGGAGATATAGATAACCTCGCGCCTGCAGGGTTATTGGGGTAACTGAGGTTGCTCTCCTTATGCTCTGGATGGATAAAACCCGCTTCGCAACAGTTAGGATGGACGACCCCCTATAGATACTGGGATATATCGCCTCATTCAAATTGTCCGTCCACATGAAGTAGTCTTCAACAAACACAAGCGCACCGACCCCTTTTGGAAGTACTGGAAGAGTTTGTGCTCTCCAAACCATTTGCACTTGTGAGGATATGCGCCAGTGTCCGGATTCTTTCTACCTCCCATGCTTGAAGCAGCCTTGAAGGCGCGTGTTTTGAGGGTACCTTGGGTAGAGGGAAACCAAAAGCACATCGTCCATGGTTGTTTTGTATACCAGTAATATAACATATCTGGGTGAATTATAACGACCTCACACGACCGAATTCACCGCCAAATGGTGGTTTTTATGTGGTTGGAATAGCAGCCCAAACACCGCAAGTTTCAGGTTGGTGAAATATTACTATACATACTGTGGATGGACGAAATCCTGCACCACCTAAGACTCCCTGGAATGATGATTCCCCTGTAAATACCAACGAACCAATGGTTTTTTCCCATGTTTCAAAGTGGTGCGAAATGGGTTTTCTCCATCCACAGTACTATTTCTGTACGTAACAGCATCCTTGGTTAGCCCACAGGGCACCACCCAGATGGGAGTTCCCGGAGACAAACAACCAGCCGGAAGTCCTGCTGATCCCATCCCCAGAATTAGTTCCCCCTGTTTTTTGTCCGCTTGTTTTGGGGTTCCCAGAATGTTTTCCACTCACCAGGGAAAAAGAGAAAAGGGGAACCCTACTACCTTTACACCAGCCAAAGGAAAAAAAACATACTACCAGCCAACCCCACTACCTTTTTTTGCTGGGGTCCCTTTTTCCAGCCAAGATCCGAGTCGTTGGTCTTTGAAACGGAAAAACGACTCTCCGCCAGAACGAGATGGACTTTGACTTGTTCTGGTGCGACAAGGAGCCGATGCCTGACGCATCGATTCGCGTTCGTACCCACAGACGATTCCATGGAAGCTCCCGAACGGACCCCGAAATGGAAGACTGGGTGACCCATTTACAGTAATAGGGAATATAGTAATATGGCTGAGATTCGGGAATAGTAATTATTCCCACAAAACATACGTGTCGCCCACAAGGTCTTTTTTATGCTGTATGATCGTGCTGGCAGGTTTAGGGTTCTTAGGGTTTGGGTTTAAGGTTTTTAGGGTTTAGGTTTAGGGTTTTTAGGGTTTAGGTTTCTTTTTTAGGGTTTGGGTTTTGGGTTGTTAGGGTTTAGGTTTAGGGGTTTTAGGATTTAGTTTAGGGTTGTCAGGGTTTCCAGCATTTTTAGGGTTTAGGTTTAGGGTTTTTTCAGGTTTAGGTTTGCTTGGAGCTGACTGTCCGGCGCATCCGAGGCTGGCTTGTCTGGTTTAGGTTTAGGGTTGTGTTGATGGTAGCACTATATAACCAGGAAATGTCGCCACGCTCCATTAAGGGGGTATGGAGCATGGAGGTGGGGTGGGGCCCGGGGGGCTCGGAAGTGCGTTTTTGCTGCGCCTGCCGAACTTTTTGGAGGTCTCGGGGACCCGCTTCCGAGCGGGCGCGGGCAACACATACGTTTTGGCCGTAATTATTGTAAACGCTTCGCGCTGCCCGCCTCGGCCAGTCCGCTTTTGGCTGGCTTTGAGGTATATACTTAGTCTGCCTTGAAGCGTTGTCATTAAAGTGAGTGAGTCGGCGCCGAAATGCGTGAGCTGGTTTCCAAGCTAGAGGGTGGGCGATGCCTGGCTGCTTCCAGGCTGGTTCCCCAAACCAGGTGGCCCACCACCGGGGAGAGGTAGAGCGGATCAGACTCTATGGGGGTTGCGGGACCTGGAGTGACGGGTAATGGAGGATACGGACAACGACAGCGTGCTCATGCTACGGCAGATGTGCCTGACATCGCTAGCCTACCACGGCCTCGGCAAGAGAACGATCCCTTTTTGGAGCATGCTTCAGGCGGACTGGAGGCAGCTGGAGCAGGGATTTTGGCCGCGCGACATGGGGTGGGGTCTGACCACATCCCGGCCCCTAAAGCTGACACGAATTAGTATTAGATTGCCCTCTGGGAGGTTTCGGCTGTTAGTCTGAGGCAGTGTACGCGTGTCGATAGGTTGATGTCCGCATGGCCGCTCGTTTCAGCGAATTACCCGGTTGCCCAGCGGCGCCCGTTTTCCTGTTTTATTTTTTTCTCGGAGGATTGTTTTGAGAATCAATCAACCCAAAAAAAGAAGCCCTTTTTTTCCCATGGCCACTGGGCATCTGACACTACATGGTCGCGTTTCGTGGATTTTTGTTTGGAGTTTCTTCCTTTTGGATGGCTTCACGGGTCGGGTTGCATGGGCAAAAGCCCCGAAAGGTCTAAGCACCTTGGCTAGGTCTCCCAGCTAGGTGCCCTTTTATCGTTTCTTTTTTTGGGGAGGGTTCCCTACTAAAATATGCCACAGAAAGAAGGGTATGCTTATTCTAACCTCCCTACTGGAGGACCTGATTTTGCGGGGGCTGAAGCTCTTTGGCGCCTCAGAAGGTTGGCCCTCAGTCAGGAGTGGATCCACGAGGTCTTCGACCACATTCACCTTCAAGCACACCAGCTGGGGTGCCAGTCTTCGGAGTGGATCAGTAATGTTGGACTCTCTTTAATGCAGCCCCCCCTCCCCTGCGGAGTGGATCATGAATTGGAAAAAGAGATTGTACAATAGAGGCTACTATTCATCAAGGAGGTCTAACATTAGTTTGTTGTCAGTTTCTAGACTTCCCTCCCGCAGATTGGCATGGAAGCCACCAAAAAGTCCATCTCGAGGTGGGTCAAAACCAATGGTACCATTTTGGGGTAGGTGCACCACCCATTTTAGTTTGTGTTAGTGCGGATTGGGATGTTCACTGGAAGTACGTGATTTTGACCCATGGCCATCTCTCGGAGAACCGTCGAAACCAGGGCCACCCAGTCAGGTTCCATGTTTGGTTCTGGCTCAGGTTTTGGTCAGTTTTGGTTGGCTTCCCTCCCACGTTCGCAACGTGGAATCCACCAACAAGTCCCGGAGGACATCGTCCAAATCAGGGCCACCAGTCAGGTTCCATGTTTTGGACCCCAAGATAGACTTAAACAAGAAGAATTCCCCATGTCCTACAGTCCTTTGTGTGAATTTGTTCCATGTTTCGGCCGTCAAGATGAGACCGTGAAGTTGAGTTTCCCTTTAAGGACGCCCTGGCTGAATCTACCCCGTGGTGAAAAAGTGATGTTGGGGTGTGGGGTGTGGGGGGGGGCCAACCTTCTTTTGGTTGAAAGGTCAAAAAGTGGGTGTGCTTTCTGTTGGGGAGGGGGGGGGGGGTGGGGGGCAACCTTCTTTCGGTTGATTTTGAAGGGAAACCCAAAGGAAAAGCCCACGAGCCCAAGGGCTCCCCTAGAAAGTCGGCCAAATAGAACCTGGATGTTGATGTTTTGCGCCCCCCACCCTTACAACTTGCCCTGCTCAGTTTGGCGCGAGGTGATCACGCTGCTTTCCAATTGTTTCCAATTGGCTTAACGTGTTGTTGTTGAAAAAGCCTTGAGTTAGCGAAGGTTCATGTTTGGGGCTTGAAAATCCATATTGTTTTATCGCGTACCTACCTGGGTCTGCTTGAAATTCGGGGACCCGAACAGATTTGGCGAATCAACACAGGCGGAGGGGCCCAAGGCTTGGCATGGAGAGGTACCAGCAAAAGGGTGTCGATCTTGGCCACGCTCGTGTGGCCATGTGAGCTACCACCAAAACGGTTCGTACACAAGAGAAGGGGAAAAAGCCAAGACGCAAGAAAAGCAAAAATAAAAGCGAGCGAGTCTTTAAAACGAAGGATTCGGAGATATTTCAGTTTGACACACCAGGGTTTCGGCGGCTCACGTGGACATTGTTTGAAACTCACCAAAAAGTCCGCGAGAGGCGAGTGAATCACTTCCGGAATCACTATGAGCTGACCAGGCCGGTTTCGGAGTTCGGAGTTCGGAGTTCGGAGTTCGGAGTTCGGAGTTTGGAGTTCGGCGACCTCCAGGTCTTTTTTTGTCAAAAAGGTGCCCCAGGCCTTCATTGGCTTAGGACTTGACTGCTGGGTAACGGATCTTTAGACCTGTCTCTCTATTTGATCTTGACTGCTTAAGACTTGACTGCTTTTTGGTTGAAATTTAGAGGTGGTTTCCACTAAAGCCCCCAAAAAGTGACGAAGTTTTTGCAGGTCATTGCAGCAACAAAGAAGAATATGTTTTATTCTCCCCTGTTGGTTTTGAAAGGGAATCTATCACTACAGGAAGTATGTTCATGTTTTACTTCTTCTGGGGGACTTAAGCAAATGGAGGCTGGTTTTTGATGTTCAAACTGGCCGCAAGAGATAGAAACCCGGCAGTTCTCGCGGTTTCAAGCATCACTAGGTGCCCCAGCGATTGGTGCAACCTTTCTCACCCCTTGGTTAGGAGATTCGGTTCCCCTACTAAAATAGACAGAAAAGAGAAAAAAGAAACGGTCATAAGCGCTCGAATCTGGATGTGATCATTTTTTGAGCCAAGTTTTCTCTTTGTTGCATTTTGCTTGGCTGTTAGGACTTTAACTTTTTGCCAACTCATGGGTTTTCCGTATTAAACCACTAAAAGTTATTCACTTTTAGCGGGGGTGCAGATTTCGCAACCGAGTTCTCTTCCTTTCAGGAGGCCATCCAGATTCAGATGTGTTTGGGTCTATTCCTCGCGAGTTCCTGGACTTTTGTGGGAAGACCCTAGTCTTCAGCAAGCCGTTTTCGTATTTCTTTTGGGGGCGACTTCACTCGATCGGAAGTTATTTGTTTGTGTCTGGTCCCAAGTCTCTGCGAATTCATGCTGCGTGGTCTATTCGCATTCTCTTCACCCATCGTTAACCTTCACTCATGTTCCCAGGGGTTGGCCAATTGGGTGCGACCGAGGCCATGGTTTTAGCTCAACCTAGGGGTTGTAAGACCCTACGATTTATGTCGGGAGTTCGCATTGTGCAAGGACCAAACTCAGGACTTGGTAAACGAGGCCCTGAGTCCAACCAGCATTCACCTCTGCCAAAGCCTTTCCAGTGCTCCATGTTCGGGACCACTTTTAAAAGCTTTCTGCAATTCTGTGCTTTAAATCCTACGTGCAAGGCGCAATTTTAGCCGTCCATAGAAATGGACATAGAAACAGCGGCGGGTGTTTCCAACTTACCGCAGGGGACCCAACCAGAACGCTATTGGCTTCCATCGGGGAAGAGAAACCTCCATGGACACCGGACACGACAGGAAGGATCTTCTGGTGAAGAACATCCGTCGGGCGCAGCGACAAGCCTTGAAGGACCGGCCCATGAAAATTGGTTTTGCTGTGTCCCTTTTGGGGTGTCCTTGAACGGATTCCGTTTGGGGATTCCCTTAAAGGAAACCATAGAGGGTGTTTCTTGGGGTCATTCATTCCATTTCTCATTCCCGGAGAACCAGCAAGTTTTAGGCTAGTTTGCTTAGACATAGATGGGTTCCACTGGTTTAGCTTGGTGTTATTTTTCAAGGAAACCCATCTATTGTTTGCCAAAAGGACACCTATGTTAGGGAGACTTCTTTGTTTGAGGCTATCCTTTGTCGGGGTTGTTTTAAAGGGAAGCCGAAAGGAGATCTATTTTGGCGTTCTCCTAGCCAAGCCACACCCACTTTTACTGGGTCTGTTTTGCAATCAAAAGGGTGGGATCAATCACCCTTGTGATTTCGTGGGTTTTGTTTTTACGTCAAGAGAACACACCAAGCCAACTGTTGCATTTACCGTTGGCATTGCAGTGTGGATGACACACCAATGGCATTCCAGTTGTTTTCACTCCAGACATCTCCGAAAAGGGGTACCCTCCCACAGCTATCATGGATGTGCAAGGCCCCTGTAACAACACGACTTCCCTTTGGGAAAGTTGGCCTTTTTGCACTTCCATGTTGGTGGGAGGGTACTGTACCCCTTTAAAAAACAACAAAGAAAAACAACCGACATGTCCTCTTTCGACCGGAGGACTTTCCGGAATTTAATGGGCCCGGGTGTGTCCGACCGGTGAGGGAAAATCACCGCACGAAATCGGACGTCTAGTTAACATTCATGCCCACAGTTTCCGATCATGTTGATCAGTAATAAGGTACCCACCCTGAAGTCCGCCAAAGGGTTCCAACCCATCAAATGACCTCCGCTCACATATAGATTTCGCGCCATGTTGTACCTGGCCGGTTAAGAAGAAAGTCGTCAGAGACTTTGCGCCGTTGCTTGAACCAAAAAAAGCCAGTTGCACCATGGTGGTCCCCTTGCCCCCCTTCGGAGAAGGGTCATTGCTCCACAAAGTGAAAAGGCCATGAAGACGCGCGAACATCCAAGAGCTCCTGTCCAAAACAGGAATCCGCATTGTCGGGAACTCGCCGTCAAAACCGACCTTTTAATCGTTTGATCAACTTTTAGTTTTTTGGGGTCCCGAAAGAGATCACTGGGCTGTCCGTTTTCAGATGCCCTGCCAAAAGTGACTAACTCTTGGTGGGCGAAATGGAAACCAAACCACTGAACCGAGTAAGTAACAACTTCAAAAGCTCAGGAACCGGATGGCCCCGAGCCACCAAGAAATCCGCACGGTGTTGGCAGGTCTGACGGCCACGGCCCTTCCCATGGTTGTTGTTGGGACACATTTTGCCCATTTTTGCTTGTCTAAAAATCGAGATTTTTTGCTCCCCTAACCCAACGTCAACCAAGTTGCCTGTACTCCTACAGTTCACTTTTGCACAAGAAGACGTAGTGGGAGCTTTGCTGGACTGGACCATTCAACTTGGCACTTCTAGCCAGCGCTTGGGCCAAGCCATTCTCTCCTTTTGCAGGCCCCTCATTTGGAGATCCCATGAATGACGGTGACATGGGCGTGGCTCGGTTTTTTTTGGGGGGTCCCTTGCTCTCGTTTTGTCGCGGCTCGTTGTTTTTTTTGGGCGTGGCTCTCCCTCTCTCTCTTTTTTTGCGGGGACAAATAGCAGGAGCACCGATGCTCGCCGTGTCGTGTGGGTCCGATTCCTGCGCGCCACCCAGGAAAGCCACCCGTGTGGGGTTCCAACTAAAGTGGTTGCTTCAATTTACCGGTGCTCAAAGAGGTGGGAGTCTGGGACCCCAGGATGGACAACTGGAAGAGGCAGCTGCTCGGGAGCCGCAGTTCGGCTCTGCCATAATTTTGTAGCGTTTGCTTGGGGAATCCCATAGTTCAGGTTTTGAACTTGGTAAATATGCAGATGACTTTGGATCTTCGGGCATTTAGAGCCTCCCCTTTGAAGTGATCAGGTCTTTGTGCGACTCCCACTCTGGTATCACGGAAACGGTTCTTTGGCGCAGCCACGGGGATTACTGAAACCTAAAACCTTACAACGCCTCCCTCAATCATGGGTATCCCACATGGGACTGGCTTCTCACCAAATGCTTGGCCCGGGCGGCCATGGCGAAGGTATTTGGAAGCATGTTTTCGATGCCAAACCATGCGGATGAACCAACGGGATAGCAAAAAGCTCAGGGTGGGTGCCCCCGCTTGTTTCTTCTTATTCTACTAGGCCCCCCAGTAGTGGCCTTTTACCCTTTTTGGGGGAGGGTTCCCCCACTAAAATAGACTACAAGAAAAAGTACCCTTATTCTAAGCTCTCTACTGGAGGATCTAGTCTAGAATCTATCCATGATCAACTTGACTTGAACCAAACGACAGGCACCTCTTCATCCAGGTGGCTGTGGCTTTAAAAAAAAAGGGTACCCGAAATGGCTTGCCCTGGCAAATGGAAACATGGGCTCCGATTCCTGGTTCAATTTTGACTCCACGCATTTGACATTCGAAGCTCTGAGACCTGAAGGAGCTGCGCCATGGGGGCACGATGGACGCCCCGCTTTTTCTAGGTCCAGAGAGCTAGAATAAGGGTACCGGGTATTTTTTCCGGTAGTCTATTTTAGTAAGGGTTTTCCTCCCAACTAAAAAAGGGGCGAGAGGTCGGGCACCAATCGCTGGGGGACCTAGTTTTGTGTCGGACACTCAGCTGGATTTCGTTTTGTCGCAGGCCCAAGGCTTTGCGGCCTGCTCTCCGACGACCTTTGTGCTACCCTTGGAGCAACCTGGCATGGTTCGGAAGGCGCCGGGAAGACGACGTGCATGTTCTGACTGGTGGAGTTCCTGGACTTTAGTCACTTTTTGGGTTTGGACCATTTTAGTGGGAAATGAAAGGTTCGGACTTGTTTCGGCCAATCCACTCAGGAAGTGAGTGTTTTTATTTGCCGGAAGGGACACCAAAAGTGGATGCAAACAGCGGACAAATGCAGTACTTGCGGCATGTGGTGCTGTTATTCGCATGATGTGGCTTGTGAAAAGTGTCTACTGGGTATAGTGGGGTTAGTGTGTTTAGTGTGTTCGTGTCTAGTGGGTTTCGTGGGGTTTCGTGTGCTAGGTGGGTTTCGTGGGGTTTCGTGTGCTTAGTGCCGGTATGTGTGTATTGTGTGTTTTGTGTTGTCTGCTGTGTCGATTGAACTTTAGTGTTTAGTGTGATTGAGTTCTGTGACTCTCAGTGAGCTTCGAGTGTCTATGTGCTTGCGCTTAGTGTGTGTGTGTGTGTGTCTAGTGGGGGGTTGGTGTGAGTAGTGAGTTTAGAGTTTAGACCCCTTAGCGTGTTTCGTGTGTTTTGTGTGTCAGTCTGTTTGGTGTGTATGGGTTTGTGTGTGTGTGCGTGTGTTTACGTTTGTATGTGTATGTATGTGCATGTATGTGTATGTGTGTGAGTGTGTATTGGCATATGTATGTATGTGGCTCGTTGCATTTGCTTGTGTATCTGTGGGCATAGGTATTATATATATATATATATATGTATTTATACACGTGTATGTGAGTGTGCCCGTTTCTGTCTCTGTGTTCTTGGGTATGTGGTACTTCTGTGCGTGTGCCTGTTTGCGTGTGCGTTGGTGCTTCCGTGTGCACGTGCGGGCGTGCGTACGTGCGTGCGCCTCATCAGACACTTTAGCTTCAAGCACAGACCGGGCATTTGTCTCGACGCAAGGTATTCGATGTTTGTCGAAGAGTCGGTGCCTCAAGTTGCGCAGCCTCAATCGGTTGACAGTTGACTGGAATATATTGCAGTCGTCTCGCCGCGCTGTCCAGGATCATGCTCAAAACATGGCAAGCGAACCCGGGATTGTAGGTTCTCTTGAAACCAATGGGTGAAGCCAAGTCAGTGTTGGAATCGAAGCACGGTCTCAAATTGTGGACTGCTGTAGCTTTAGCCGGTGAAGTTTCGCTTGGCCCGAAGCTGAACACAGGCTTGATCAATCCGCAAGATCCCTATTTAAGATGGCAGTGGTTGCCCTTTTGTTTTGGTATCCCACTGATTGCAGGCACAACCTCCCTTCAAGAACTCACACACAACTTCCTGCAGCCAGCTTTTGGAAGTCCCACGAGTTCAGAATAGAGCAACAGCAAGTGACTTCAAGGGAGCCCAGGGAATCACCCCTTAAGAACTTGCTGGAACGTGGCGAAGAGTTCCCTGCTACAGATGCGAACCGCCTGGGATCCACTAGCAAAGTAGTTTGTGCGAAACATGCTAGTCTTGGAATGTGGTTCCTCTTTTCGGAGAGGGCGGGTTGGACTCTTTCCGACCAATTCATCTCAAATGAGTCGTTCCCCCGCTTAGGTTCAAGAAGCAGCAAGCCAACGGCGCCATCTGGATCATGAAGCCAGTCGGCAAGTTTGGGCCTTGATTCCAAATTCGACGCTTGGAACGGTTGAACATGGCGTGTTACCTGCCTGGGCACAACGGAAAGTTCGGAAGGGTTCCTCTTGAGTCTCCATTAATGAATTTCCTTCTTAGCATAAAGGCCTTCCTAATAACTGTAGCAATAATAATATCATACACTAATAACAATGTAGCTTGTCCGAAGCCTATTCCCCAATGATAGGCTGTTCAATGCTCCAACATTTTAATTATGGATTGAGAAGATTACCGACTAGAGCAAGGATGAACTGGATTGCGGATTGTGATTAGGCCTTAGGGGTTTTCGAACAGTTCAGGGGACATTCATTTGCTGGAACCAATGGCAGGGTTGCCAAAGCCAGCATTCACCGGCTTCTTCTTGGGCATGGAAAGTCTTAGTACCGGACCCGCAGACCTGCCTGAGGCAGAGTTTGGGCAGAATTGAAATCACGACCCTCCCGGGAAGGAGGGGGGATGCGGCCTCAATGCGAGAATTGTGTGCTCGCACGTTCGTAGGCGCTTACTTGCGCGCGCAGCACTCGCAGCAGGAAGCAGACGAGCGCGTGTCTTGTAGTTGTTCTTGAGTCGATCGATGAGTGAGGTTTGGAGCTTATCTTCTTTGCACGCTTTGACGAAGCAGGCGCTTGCAGTTGGCATCTTCCAAAGCTTTGCTTTGGCAGCGTAAGTGGGTAAGAGTGCATTGTCTTTGTGCTGAGCTTATGTCTAGCTAGCCAGTTACTTGGAACAAGTGTCGGGTTCATGTCTGGCTGGTACACCCGTCACTTCGAGGCGTGCGTTGGTTGTCTGGAGGTTTGTTTGCAAGTTGCGCTGGCTCCAAGCCGTTACATCATAGACGTTTTTGGAACGGGCTCGACGGGCAATCTTCCCAACTTAAAGTTTGACAGCGCGCAGCTTAAGTCCAACTACTAGGGTCATTATGTTGACTGTTTCCGGGGGTTGTCAAAGCCTGAGGTTGTTTCCCTTTGCCACTCGGGGGTGACTTCGGCAAAAGCAAAAGTGAGGGCAGCATGTCCTTCAGAGGTGCTTTTAGCAAAAAAAGTTCGCAGAAGCAATCTTTCACGGCGAAGCTTGGCGGAAAGGTTCGCGTAAGGCTGAGCGTCATCCGAACAAGAATGGAAAAACAACAAAGTTCAAACGTGTCCGGATGCAGTCTTTGTCTAGCATTTGCTTAAGCTGGCTTCGAAGGTGTCTTCAACTTCTGAGAGGTGGCATGGGAACTGAATATCGCTGAGCCTGAGCCACTTGGACACATCGCATGCAGCCCAGCAGCCGTCCGTTGCCAAAGTGTCTGGCACAGCCCAAGACTGCTGTGGCTCAAACGTAGCATGTCACTCCGCTTTGCTTTCGCCAGGAACGGGTGTGCCAGACCACACTCCAATCCCCTTCTTTTTATGGGTTCCATGCCGTTCACGCCACCTTTGAAACAAATTTGGATCGCCAGCCTCATGTCGTTCAGCAGAGCGGCCTGGGGCATTCCTCGTAAATCTACAGCCTGCGTTGATTCGCCAGAGATGCAGCAAGCGGGTGCGAAGGTCCTTGCAGCTTTGATGACCAACTGTTTTCTTGCCTTCAACTCGGCTGGACAGTCAAATCAGATTTGCGTGAACACCCGTGGCAAAAGGACACATCCGTAGATTCGGATTCGAGGAGAAGGTTGGGGGTGAGGGTAGTCTCGTTTTTGTTTGTGTGCTGTGTGGTAGAAAAAACATTGGCGCAGGTTTTGGCCTTGCTCGGTTCAATTCAGAGGCAAAACTCTGCGCCAAACGACGCTGTACAGCACCGCACAGAAGAACAAACAACAAGCTTATTTTCCGTGACCTCGATTCAGTTCTTGGTTGCCATGATCCCTTTTGAGAATAGGGTCTAGCTAAATTTCAGCAGGTCACTTATCGAGAGGTCATTTAGGCTACAGAAGCGCCACTTAGAAGCAGTGGTTCCTGGCTACCTTGAAGAGTGTACATTTGAGCCCAATCTATGTAAACTGAGCCCAGCTGATGACGGGCAAGCGGCGACACTCGAATGACACCCAAACGAGCTAGTCGACACTGCCGTGTGAGTGGCCTCTTCGTGAGCTAGGTGACCTTGATTCGCCTCCGCGCCACACTCACATGCCACGCGTTGACATTCACATTTGAACAATAACTAGGTCCCCCAGTAGTGCCCTTTTACCCCTTTTTTGGGGGAGGGTTCCCCAACTAAAATAGACTACAGAAAAAAGTTGGTACCCTTATTCTAACTCTCTACTGGAGGACCTAGGTAATGCGCAAGCTGCTGCACTTCAGGGCACAAAAGGCCACGTTGTCAAGCCAAAAGGAGCCACTTGCAGCCCCGACACTCACTTACGTGGCCTCATTCGCTTTTTGTCTAAGTGGCCGCCATTTGAGGTCACCAAAAAGGAGCTGGAATCCTACAACAGGAACATCCACAAGTCACGCCGGCAGAGCCGGTGGATTCACCTAGATAGAGTTGTTTTGATAGCAGTGTTTTGCCGAATGCACAGGCAGGCCATGGGTTGCAAAGTGGCTTCCTGCAAGTTTGCACCCCCCCCCCAGTACTGCGCCATATATTTCATATAATGTAAACATCCGCTTGATCTTACAGACATATGTAAATCATCCTCGCATGTTGGACATCCCCAAATACGCGCATGGTGTGATATTGTGCCTTGTGATCTGCGTGTTGGCCGTGCTACGTGCACGGAAGGCACCCAAAAAAAAGCGAAACCGACCCGACGCTCCAAGGTCGCAGGGTCGGGGCATCTTCCTCTTTGACAAGCTGAGCATCTTGGCGCAAGTTGCAGTCCGTCCTCTCGCGAGGTCAACAATGGCTGTGGGTCAAACATGGGTATCCATTTGGAACCCTAGACAATGGAGCCAAAGACTAAAACCTGCGGTGGACCCTGGTGCTTTAATTTTGACCCATACCCATATTGAAATTATTTTATTTAAGATTCACTAAATATAGTATAGAGCAGATCTATATTGAAATGATTCAGACTAAAGTTTCACTAAATATAGAGCTGAATCAAACATGATTGTTGTCGCGTGTTTCTTTTTTTTGGGGGGGGA